CACATCGACGCCATTGAGATCACCTGCCAGCAGCGTGCCCTCAAGGCTTTCAACCTTGACTCCTCCAAGTGGGGTGTCAATGTCCAGTGCCTCTCTGGTAGCCCTGCCAACCTCCAGGTCTACCAGGCTCTCATGCGTCCCCACGACCGTCTGATGGGCTTGGACCTCCCCCACGGTGGTCACTTGTCTCACGGTTACCAGACCGCCACCAAGAAGATCTCCGCTGTCTCTACCTACTTCGAGACCTTCCCCTACCGCGTTAACCTCGAGACCGGTATTATCGACTACGACCAGCTCGAGCGCAACGCCGAGATGTACCGCCCCAAGTGTCTGGTTGCCGGTACCTCTGCCTACTGCCGTCTCATTGACTACAAGCGCATGCGCGAGATTGCCGACAAGGTCGGTGCTTACCTCATTGTCGACATGGCTCACATCTCCGGTCTCATCGCCGCTGGTGTCATCCCCTCTCCCTTCGAGTACGCCGATGTCGTCACCACCACCACCCACAAGTCTCTCCGTGGTCCCCGTGGTGCCATGATCTTCTTCCGCAAGGGTGTCCGTAGCCAGGACAAGTCTGGTAAGGACATCATGTACGACCTCGAGAACCCCATCAACTTCTCGGTCTTCCCCGGTCACCAGGGTGGTCCCCACAACCACACCATCACCGCTCTGGCTGTTGCCCTCAAGCAGGTCGACACCCCTGAGTTCAAGCAGTACCAGGAGCAGGTCATCAAGAACGCCAAGGCCCTCGAGGAAGAGTTCACCGTTCTCGGCCACAAGCTCGTCTCCGGCGGTACTGACAGCCACATGGTCCTTGTTGACCTCCGCCCCGAGAGCATCGATGGTGCCCGTATCGAGGCCGTCCTTGAGCAGATCAACATTGCCTGCAACAAGAACTCCGTCCCCGGTGACAAGTCTGCCCTCACCCCCGGTGGTATTCGTATCGGTGCTCCCGCCATGTCTTCCCGTGGTATGGGTGCTGAGGACTTCAAGCGTATCGCTCGCTACATTGACCAGGCTATTACCCTGTCCAAGAAGATCCAGAGCGAGCTTCCCAAGGAGGCCAACAAGCAGAAGGACTTCAAGGCCAAGGTTGCCAACCCTGAGAACATCCCCGAGATCCTGGCTCTCCGCAAGGAGATTGCTGACTGGGCCAGCACCTACCCTCTCCCCATCTAAATTAGATGTGAAGAGAGTATGGTGAGGGAAGGAAAAGGGGCCTGACGTAGGTCCCGCGAGTTCAACATCATTTCGTACAGAAAAGAAAAACTACATGAGTGCGTTTTAAGGGGTTTAATACCGGACTGCTTTTTTCAACCTGACGCGGGTCATTGGGATATTGGGATTTTTTTTTATGCATGACGAGCAATGCTATTTGGTGAGCAACCGCACTTTTTCAACAGCGGGCTCATATTTTCTACGGGAAAAGTTCAACATTTAATGGGGCGTCCTATGTATATTTTACAATTTTGTTCTCAACACAAGAATTATACAATTCACGGACGATTTCTACTGATCTTAAGACTTCATACTTCCCCCACGTAGTTCATCACAGTATCCAGGGTCACGTGCGGTCCCCCTCTTTCCCGATGACCCAAGGTTCTCTGCACTTTGTCATCGCTTTCTTTCAGTGCCTTCTTTGAAGCCTGTTTACAGGCGACTCTTGATTCATTACTGCACTGCTTTCACTTCTTTATAGACACCCTCGAATTCGCCTTTACGCCTGAGTTCGCCCCCTCTATCGATAAGGACATATCTCTTATCGGGAGACTGAGGTCATTGACAGTCAAGATCTGAAACAGTGCAGTACATCATTTGAGCGTTTGGCCAAGAGTGCCTGGGCGACATGGCGAATACAGCGCAGTGTTATTATTGCTTTGAGTCTCTGTTTGCCTCATTCCAGGACCGCGAGCCAGCCACTTTGGCAGCCGTAGAAGCCCTCTGGGAGCAGCATGAGCAAACTAAGAAGCTGTCAAGTCTGCAAAGTCAAACAGAGCAAGAAGCAGACAGACAGCAGTCTGTAAATGAAGAGGACGAAGATGATGCCCAGTCATCATCCCTGACGAGTAGTCGTCCCAACAAGCTGAAATTTCCCAGCGTCAGTCGTCTCCAGAGCCAATCCTCTGCCGCATCCAGTGCAGCTACGACGCCGTCATCTGCTTCCAATGCGTCCGCCAACTCGCTTGGCTCAAGTTCAACCAACATCACCTCACCCGGGCTGGCGGAAACCCCGTCTCAGCTAACATCACCCGATCAACGGTACCCCCTGTTTGTCACATGGAATACCCTCTCACGAAGTGGACACAAGTCTCTGCGGGGCTGCATAGGCACATTCGAAGGACAGGAGCTGGCAGCAGGGCTGAAGTCGTACGCTTTGACCTCGTATGTACAAGCAACCAAACACCTCCAGTATGACGGACCCGCTAATTCATGATATCTCTCTTTTTTACAGGGCTTTTGACGATACACGCTTCTCTCCTATCCCCAAATCTCTTCTCCCTTCTCTATCATGTTCTCTCACCCTTCTAGGATCGTTTGAACCCTGCACAGGCGCCCTTGACTGGAGTCTAGGCACCCATGGCCTGCGGATCTCCTTCATCCATCGCGGCCGCCGTTACGGCGCTACTTATCTCCCGGACGTTGCCGTCGAGCAAGGTTGGACGAAGGAAGAAACAGTCGAAAGCTTGATGCGTAAGGCAGGATGGGACGATGGTGCTGGAGGTACTGCTAGGAGACTACTTCGAGGCGCGGCAGGCGGAAATTCCAGCGCTGCCAAACCCTGGGACCAGGTTTCCGAGTTCCGTACAGTCAGATACCAGGGTCTCAAGGCCAGCGCAGATTATGTTCAGTGGCAGGTATGGCGAGACTGGGTTCTGTCTCTGGATGATGGAGCGGAAATTCTAGCTGGTTTGGCGTGATCGGGGTTTTAATTATATCTAGACCGCGTGGATTGCTCCCCTACATTTCAAGCCTGCGTGAAATGATTGATATTGATTATAATGATCTTACTCTGGCCGATATTGGTCTGGAAGTCTGTGGATATGTTTCGTTGGGTGGCAATAGCGCACTTTACATGGTGTCTCTAGTGAACAGTGAAATCTTGATGCGCGCTATTTTACGCTAAACGTCGTATACTTTTGTCTTGATCAAAATGCTAAAGTGGCGTATCAACTAGAGGTATTGACATCCATAATCAGTGTACTGACCATCGGGTGATTCTACGTATCTGAACGTATACACGGCACTCTCTTCTGCACTGCCAAAGACAAGGCCTTGCTTCTGTACCTTCAAAGCTCACCCAGTCATATAGAACAAAAAGACTATGATGCATATATGTTGAAAATGCATGTACGGAGAGAGGGCCAATATTCACCCTAGACACGCAAAACGAACATCACACAGAGCTCAAAGATGATATCTCCAAAATGCGTCATGCGAGGAAACAACAAGGGAATGGAATCTACCGAGGAGTCCGACTCCACAATCCAGCAACCATCTCCTTAACCTTTCGCTCCTGGGCCCGAATCTGCTCCTCAGACTGGCCACGAGCATTGCCCCGACTATCAATCTGCCTAGCAGAAGTCTGATCAGTCGACTGCGCCGGCGCAGCAGGCCTCTCTTCCTCAATAATCTCATCTCCATTCACACGCTCGGGCTTAGGGTCAACACTCATAACACCGTCCATCATGAACCCACCGCCCTCGCGCAGCTTGTTGATAGCACGCACGGTATCGATGGCGCGGTGCAGTGTGCGCCGTGCGTTGAAGTTCTTCTTGACAGTTGGCAGGAGATCTTCGCCTGAGCCGATCTTGGCCGTGTCATACGGCGCGTTGACCCATGGGTGCTGGAGGGCTTCGTGGGCGGTCATGCGCGATTGCGGATTAATTGTTAGACAGCGATTGATAAAGTTGCGTGCTTCTTGCGATACACCGCGCCAGTACTCTAGCGGTGTGAAGGAGTAATCTGCTGCTAGGATTGCTTGCATTTCTTCCAGGTTTGAGTCGCGGTCGAAGGGGGTGTAGCCGCATAGTAAGAAGTATGTGATTACGCCAATAGCCCAGATATCGCTGGCGGTTGTTAGGTATGGAGGTCTCCCTAGTGTGCATGGGAATGGGAACTCACACTGGCTTGCCGTGGCCGCTTTTTTTGAAGATCTCTGGGGCCATGTATCCTGGCGTTCCGCAGGTTGTTGTCAGGACATGGAACTGCTCCTCGTCCATGATTCTTGACAAGCCGAAATCAGCGATCAATAGATCGGCATTGTCTTCCGGTGTGCGGAAGAGCAGGTTCTCGGGCTTCAAGTCTCGATGCACGATTCCGTGGTCGTGCAGATATGCCACGGCGGAAAGCACTGCGCGGATTAAATCGGCAGCGTCCGACTCGTAGTAGCTGCCTTTGCGACAGATGCGATCAAAAAGTTCTCCGCCCAGCGCGAGGTCAGTCACCAAGTACACTAGAGGGCCACGCTGGTTAGTGGTCATTCAACACCAATGGTATACACCACATCGACGGGAAACGCACAGTTATTCATGGTCTCGAAGTAGTCGACCAGCGTAAGGATATTCTGGTGGCCCATGGACACCTTCTTCAAGACCGCGATCTCATTCCGGACCTGTTTGGCTCCATCAGCATGTCGTGGTGTCGACCGCAGTTCCAACACGTACCATGTGCTCCCGCCCGGACATCAAACGCTTGTTGATGACCTTGGCTGCATAGTACCGACCGGTGTCGATATGCACGCATTCCTTCACGACAGAGTACGATCCAGCGCCCAGTGTCTTGCCCGTTTTGTATCGGCACGGTTGGACCTTCGGCTTCGGGGATGGGGCCGCCATGGAGGGGATACGCGCAATACGGAGAGGATCGAAAGAGGTCACGCAAACAAGCTGCAAATTGCTCAGGGCGCTAAAGGGATATGTTTCGACGTGGGGGCATGCGATATATACGTTCGATCTGTGCATAAGTTCAAGTCAGCCTTGCACTGAAGTGCCACTCGCAATATGCGGCTGAGCCCCGCCAAGGTAAGACATTCAGAGAAACGCACAGGAGGCCACGACAGGGGGAATTTCTGTGGTGTTGGTTTTGCGTATCCGACCGAGACACTGCGGGGTTGAAATTCTAGAACGCTGGAGATCGCAGATCGGAGGTGGGAGGTGGGAGGTGGGAGTCGCAGAGTCGCAGGGTCGCCAGAAAGGGCTATATAACGGAGACGTCGGGGATATATTGAAACAGCGCGGTTTGGAAATGAAGAAATACGGAAGAAGTGGAAACAAAACCGAAGATCGACGGATCGTCAACGGCGCCATTAACTATTGAATGCGAACTTATATACACAACTCCTGCCCAATGCCAGATATCCTCCCAGTACTCCCCCAGAAACAGACAATGAAATACATCAGAACCTCGCCAGTACATCCACAACAATGTTCTCCAACAACTGCAGCTTGTGGAATTTGGCCACACTGTCCAACACTCGTAATTTCTTCTCAATCTCGTTGCGATCGAGAGATGCGGCCCAAGTACCACTGCAAGAGCAGTGTTCCATGAAATCGCTGACTTTCAGGCCACCACATTTGGAACATTTGAGATCCTGAGTCTGCCATTCAACAACGAGGCCATGAACTTGCCCAATGAGAAGCTCTTCCTGTGCCAGCCGGTCGTAGTCGGCTTGGCAGAAGGGACATTTCCAGGGCTTGGAGGTAGTGGTGGCCTCCGAGTCGACATCGGGCAGCACATCTTCGTCTCGGCAGAGGTCCAGGTCCCGAATAAGACAACAAGAGTTACAGCTCATTTCGGGAAGCTTCAAGCTAGCACTGGGGTTTTCGAATCGACCTTCTTTGCTGAATTCTCGGACCTCAAACAGAGCCAGGAGCTCGCGGCGCAACAACCGAGATTCCAGGGTTGTAGTCTTGGAGAGACTCAAAACTTGCATCAAAAGCTTTGTCAACTCCAGGGATGGGTTGCGCTTGTTGTCCTTGGGATTGACCAGGACACCTGGTAGAATGGGGAACGCATAGTCAGAGGCAAGCTCCGGGTGGAGCATCTCGTCGCGCTGTCTGCGGATCAGACTCGAGATTTGCTTCTTTAGCGGCTTGGAGAATCGGTCGGCGAGAACAGCAGTGATCTCATCGTTGTCTGCTTCGTTGTTTCGTCCGATTGGAATCTGCGTCGGACGAGGCGTCGAGGAAATCTCGCCATCCGGCTCAGGTCTTTTCAAGGCATGCATCAGTTCGATGTATTCGACAATCCAGTCGTGGAAGATGGTTTGCATGGGCTTTGGCAAAAATCGACTGAGCTGCCAGTGCATCACCGTCTCAAGGTTCTGTTCATCGGATTCGGTGACCTCTCGGCAACCCTTGCCTCCATAGTTGTACTCGTCATACCACACAAGGTAATCCCAGTACTCTTTGATCTCTAGATCGATGAAGTGGAACGAAGGATTGGCGCGGATGGACTTCAGCACATATTGACTATAGGCATAAGCATTGCCAACCTCGGTCTTTGTTGTCTGGAGCAGAAGACGTGTAGGACTGGCAAATACGACATGCGAGCCAACACGTCTGAACTCCGCCATGAGTCTCTGAAATGACTTGCGTGACAGCAATCTGACATAATTGTGCAAAGACCGATCATAGAGACAGGATACGGGGCTTTCCACCCATCGAATCAAATGCGAGACCATGACATCCGCCATGCTGTTTCCAGCGCAAGCTTCTGTCCACCAGTGCTTGACCATTTCTCGAAGAACAACGACACCGGCGGAAGCAAAGGCTTTCTCGGAATAGAAAACACCCGTGTCTTCAGCATTACCGGAAGGAGCGAGTAATGTGTCACTGCCTTCCATCTCGTTGATTATAGAAGAAGTCAAGATCGTGTTGATAGAAAGGTTACGAACTTCCAACTCAATGCAGACAGTCGAGTAAGCGCTGGGCACATTGACCGATGGCATGTTCACCTTGTCCAGCGACCCGAGAATGTCATCTCTCTCATAACCTGCATGATCAGGACGTGGACCAGCAGACCACCAAAGAACAACATTATTCTGCTGAAGTCTTCTGGCATAGGATATATCGATGAGGTAGCGAGGATCATCACTCTCCAGGTTGCAAAGTGGGACATCACCATATCGAGCAAGACCGGTCAAGTGATGGATCCAGGAAGACAAGTACAAGTAGCGGGTGACGATACGCCTGGCTACAAATGCTTGCCAGCCGAGAGGAGGAAGTTCCATGTCCGACGGCTCAGGCTTCACAGATAGGACTGGGTACTCTTTCAAGATTGGGATATCGTGGCAAAGCCGATCTTTCTGCTGAGATTGGATCACAAGGACGGCAGGCCTGCTCTCGTCGTTTCGGAGTTTTCTGACAAGATCACCGACCTCAAGGTGAGCCTTTCTCCGTGTCATCACCTGGGTGGTCTTGAAATGAATCTTGTCTTGATATTCAAAGGCATCCTGCGAGTCATCACCCGATGCAGCTTGTATCTTGCGAGTGAGGAACTCAGTGTACATCTTATCGACATTTGGAAGACCCTGGACATCCCTTGTGCGGTTGAGAATGATGATATTGGCCTCGTTCTTTGCTGTTGAGAAGAGCGCAAAGATTTGTCTCTCGCCGGAAACAATGTGATACAGATAGTGATATACCAACGATGAGTTCATTAGGTATGGCTGGTCCGAAGAGGCGTGGAGCAGGGTTGAGAGGTCGAAGCCTTTGTCCAGTCCTTCACCAAGTACGCCACGCTGCTCTTCATCGAAAGTACAATGGCTTCCTAGCTTGAGAACCGCCCGAGTGCTGAGCGGGATGTTTCCCTCGTATACGCCCTCAACACTTGGGTGCTGGAAAATAACATCCATCTTCTCAGCTTCTTCCAGATATGTCTCTTCTGACAGAGAGATTTTGAACAAGTAGACCGAGGGATGGCCATTCGGTAAAGTGTGATTCACTCTCTTGACATCACAGTTCTTTACCTGGATATCTGGCAGGGACTCACGCTTCATATTGAGAAAGAATTGCCGCGGAACCCTGATGCTGAGAGCATGGATCTTGTCGTCAATCAAGACAAAAGCTCGTACAACTCCCGGAACGCCGGTCTCACAAAGCTGCAAGACCTGCCATGTGCTAATGTATAGCATCTGCGCTTGATTGCGGAAGAAGCTACTCAAAGAGTCCGAGGCAACATTGGTTCGTTCGCCGAAGAGTTGACGGCGACGTATCCGGGCTTGCTTCTGGATCTTCCACTTCTGCTTTTGATACTTCAGGAATCCTTGATAGTCTTCGTTGATAGAAGGCATGGTAGTTGGAAGGCTAGCAAAGGGATCCAAAGCCGTCTTTGAGACATTTTCAGGGTGCTTTCTCTTTTGGGAAACCTTATTGCTGCTGGGAGACTTCAGTTTTTGAGTAGAGCTGGCAATCGCCTCATCCAGGTCACCAGTATGCTGAACGCGATGATCCAGAATGTTGGTCGATATCGAGGAAAGAGGCGCCTTGTCTGACTTGGTGAATAGATCGGTCATCTTCTTTTGCTTAAATTTATCATCCTTGGCGTTAATCCGGCGCTGTAACCAGTCGGGGTGGGCAACACGTGGTACTGGATTGCGAAGCTTTTGAAGTGCAGCTGGAATGGTGATCAGCTTCTGCACCACGGATCCCAAACGCTCCAAGTAATAGTCCCAGTCAATGACGGTTCGAGGGTCCATATCACCGGGGTCCTCCTTCAGCCATTTGCGCAAGAAGAAACGTTTGACATGTTCTTCGGCCGAGAAGATAGCGACGGGGATGGCTCTTTCGGTGACGGGTGTGTTCCGTGGTCTTGAGGAGATAATGTATTTGCAGTTGAGACCCTTATCCTTGACCATTTGCTCGCCCAAGAATTCTGCAAGACGTTTTGCCGTCGTGATCGATGTGGACTTTTGAGAACCATACTCTTCAAGTGTTTTGGCCATGCTTCGATTCTCCGAAATGAGATCGATAAGCTCCTCGTCCGCCAAGGTGGTACCACGCTCGTAAAGAACGTCTAACCATCTATCTGCAACTCGAGCCACAGCGGCATAGGTTTCGGCAAGATTGGCACCCTCCAGGAAGAACTTGAAGATTTGAGTCTGGAAAATCTTGATCAATTTCAACTCTCCTCTTCGCTTTACTTCGAAACCCTTCAATTCGGCCAGGGAGCCATCATGATTGAAGACTGCATATCGTTTCTTTAAGTTCTTGTCTTCTTCCTTTGAAGTAGGCAGAATCATTGCTCGGTAAGGCCCATCCACTTCGAAGAAAATGGAGTTTTCACTATGAGTCTCGTACTTGAAGCTCTTCGGGTCAACAAGAGCCTGGTATTGGTGGTTCGTATACCTCGCATGAACGAGGTGGTTAAGCATGACACAAGGGTAAGAGATGGTCATTTTCTTTCCGTTCTTCAAAGAGAAGGAGAAATTCTCAGGGAAGCCTCCTGGAAGCATACACCAAATACCGTCGGTATCCAGTTCCAGGGGTCGGCCAATACGTTCGACAAGCTCTCTGGCCATCTGAATAATATGGGCACCTGTAAGACAGGTAACACCGGCCATTTCCATGGAATACCATCGAGAACCCTTTCGCATGACATAGCCGTAGAAACTGTTTAGAATGACCTTGTGCGCAAGTTGAAGAGAGTCGTAAAGAATAATCATCTTCTTTGCCTCGTCAATATCAGCCGAAGAAGCCCCAGCTGATTGCAAACTGTCGGCCTTGTTCTTCCAGACTTTCTGCTTGCCCTTGAAGTCATATCGACGGTCACGGAAATCACGGACAGTATCAACATAGAAAGGATTTTCTCGCTGGCAAATGATGGCCTCTCGCTCCATGGTTTTGCTGTCGTGAATCTTGTGATAGATTTTCTTACTGTAATCCTGCAATCGTTTCTTGACAATTCCAGCTTGCTCTTCAATGCTCAACTCGCTAAACAGCCTCGTTGGTGAATTTTTGAATTTCCCCGGGAAACGCTCGTTGGCAGTGGCACGTCGAATCATATTGTATTCATCACGCTTCGCAGGCAGGTATTCACCACGCCAGGCCCAGGGCATGCGTCTGTCGCAAGTTTTGCCAGGTCGATTGAAATCACAGGCAGCACAGTCTGACTCGTTGATCAATGAGTCTGGCTGCAGTCGATTGGTGATCATGATGTTGGGATACATGGAGGCGACATCCAAATGGTAAATGAAAGGAACTTCATTCCGGCTCGGATTGTTCTTCATATCGAGAAGACGTTCTACAATCTGAGCTCTAACCTCGTCGTAGTTCACAATATCATCCATTGACTTCTTTTCTTCGACCTCGATACTGAACTTGAGGGCATGGTCCAGGTCCTTGAGAAGCTCTTCGATTGCTGTAGGATCAACATTGAAGTGTGTTGGAATGTCACTTCGGAAAACACCAGCTTCAATACTCTCGACGTGACCACCGACGTAGGTCTCGGACTCAAGAAGGTGACCTTCGTAGAAAGCCTCTGCCGGGTCCTTGTGTTTGTTGGGCAGAACAATCTCATGCTTGTAGGCTTGCACCATGAGCAACATCTCACACAAAGTTCCAGTTCCCTTTCGCAGGGTTTCATCGGGGTTGAGAGGAATGATTGTGCAGAGAGAGAAGATGAAAGGGTGGACATATTTCATGTACAGGTAGTAGGTAGCGACCGCATCGGAAACTGAGTACTCGGCCAGAGTCTGTGGCCTTTCGCTCGCGTAAGGTGTCATCAGCTCTGGATCGAGCTCATCTGGATCATAGCCAAGCTTTGCGACGGTCACGGCCTTCAGGCCACGACTTCCCTGGGGAAGATAACTATCACGATTGACCCATGCGAAACAATCCATGTGCACACAGTTGTCTGCTTGGTAGATGTCCTCACTGTTTTTCCGGAAGCCGATCTCCATGTACATATCAAGTCCATTAACACTAGCTCGTGTCTCCACGAACGGCCAATCGAAGAAGTCACCGTTGTATGTGGCAATGATAGTAGGTTTCGAGATCTTGACGTGCTCGAAGAACCGCTCAAGAAGGGCTCTTTCGTTGGGTTCATTGAAGATTATGAATGGTCCGTTGTACTCTGGTTTTGGTGTGTATTCGAAGTCGTTGATGTCCTCCGATACAATCTCCCTGTTGGTGATGAGGAATCCTTGCCCATCAATCATGTATGAAATCATCATAACTTGGTCAAATGCGGCGTCTGGGAATTTCAGTGGTAGCTTGGTGGTTTCGATATCGAAAGCGAGGACGACTGGATCTGCACGCTGAAGTCGGTCTTCTAAGCAGGTCAATGATACGACACCGTGCTTGGCCTGCACATCGTACCATTTTCCTATCCGAATGTCTGTAGATAGTTAGTACATGGATATAGTTTATATACATTTAACAACCGACCTTTGTCAATGCAGACACGGACATGATAAGGAACGTCGTATTCTCGAATATCAACAATAAAATCACTCGCTTGTAGGTTGCTATTAGGTCGTTGCTCATTAATTATTTCGTCGTCAAAAAGATCAATTCCAGCAGTCGCACTTCAGAATATTAGCGTTCTATCTAAAAAAGCAAGTGATGCGGAACAAACCTGGTCATCTCAACATATGCATCCATTGCACTCTCATTTTTCTTGTTCTTCTCAGCCAGAGGGAGAATTGTTCTCCTCACCTCAAGAAGGTTGCTCACATTGGAAAAGCTGAACTTAATGTAGGTTTTCCGGTAGCCGAGGAGGTGATTGGGGAGGTTCAGGTCTTCCTTCTCTAGGCGCGTAAACTTTTTGATCAAGTCCTCAAAGGATCGGCGACACCATTCCTCGACCTCCATCTCATAGCCTTTCTTGACTGCGATCAAAAAGTATGGATCATGCTCCACTGTCGCCTTGAAACTGCTGCCATCGTCCTGTAGAAAATAGTAATCCACACCGGCGCGGCCTCCTGGAACATTTGCGTCCTCGATCGTCGTGCTGTGCATGTTGATGAGCCAACCAGCTCTTGTCTCGCCAGACTCGAAGCGCGGAAAGCCGAGAGTTTCATCGATACTGTTGGCCAATCGAATGGCCTCGAATTTCTCATCTTGGGAGGTCGCTTCGGTGGATCGTAGGGAGCTGAATTCGACTGTCTTGGCTCGTCGGGGGTTTGAGGACGCAGCACTTGACCGGAACTTGTTTCCATACTTGCTTGGTTTTCTGGAAGGCATCACGACGTTGTCGCCCGGCCGGGCTTGTGAAATTGGCTCCGTTAAAGGATGCGCTCACTGTGGAACATAAAATGTGCGCTTGGAAAAATTGAGGACAGATTGATGGGGTCAAGGAGAAACAGTAGGTCGCAGGTGGAAGAAGATTTGGTTTTGAGACCAATGGTGCCTCTAATAGGGTCCAACAATGGCCTGCGATCTGCTCTAATTGAATCGATTTCGGCCCCGACGCGTTCGCGTAGCGCGTTGAAGGGGTTAGTCAGCCTTCCGGAATAACTATCCAAATTTGCCAATGGCGGAATATTCAATCATCCGATATTGACGATCTTCTTTTGGCCGCAAGTGAGAGACTCACAGGCAATTTACTCTACAGCTATGGCAGACGACTCACGAGACACCAGCTCTCTCCAGGAGGCTGCAGATATCCCACGCTCCTTCAACGCCAACCCCGATGCGAAGAAAACGAAACATGAGCCCTCGTCGTCACAAACCGGCAAGCTATGGGATGCGTTTGGAAACCCCGAGGAACCCGCGAACGCCCTTGCGAAAGCAACATACAAGCCCCCAGGCAAAAATCCGCAGGAAGCATCATATTCCGAGATCATTGGCACGGTATCTCTATCCGAACTGTCTACCATTCACAAGAGGCCATGTGCCCGTGAATCTTTAATGACAGGAATCGGTGTTGGATTTGGAGTCGGTGGTCTACGCGGTGTGCTGAAGGGTATGACTTGATAACTTGCGATGTTAATAAAGGCTGTGGGGCTAAAATGTGCATGCAGGACGTTACTATTTATGGTCTGCGGGCAATTGGGCTGTTGGCATGTTTGCAATCAGCTCATTGGCAGCATATGAGTACTGCCGCTATCGACGAATTCAGGAATTAAGCGGTATGGCCGAAGCACTCGATCTGATGAACCAATTGAAGGCCAAGAAACAAGGCGAGAAAGATCGCGCAGAGGAAGAGGCAGCATTGCGCGCGCGCCTTGCCGAGGAGGAAAGGAGGAAGAAGAGTTGGACCAACCCTTCCAACTACAAATTTTGGTAGTGTCGCTTGTGCATTAGAAGGTGTCATGGAGTTTGTGGGATATCAGAAACTGTATAGTCCGATCAAGTGATCGGGTGGGAGGTTGGCATCATATCATGTCATAAGTCATATCCGTGTATCATAGCTGTCTGCAAAATCCATATAATCCACCCAGTCATCGCATCCACGCCAATCAGCCAGTACAAGAAGAAAGAAAGAACCGCCGTATGTTTCCCAGAGAAAAAGAACGCCAAGAAAAAGAAAGATGTCCTGCTGCCGAGTAGTGGTAGCCTTTTGCTGCCCTCTTAGACATCGAATTTGACTCGTTTGTGAATTGCACCGTCATGTATGCTGTGTATTTTATCTAGTTCGCCACCCTCTCTCCTTCTCTCGCGCCGTCTTTCGCGAGCCTCGCGGGCTTCGCGATTCTTCCATTCGCTGACTTGCTTCTGTCGTTTCTGTGACCTAGCCCATGCAATGGACGCAGTGGGTTTGAAGCCTATACCATTGATACCATAGCCGTCATCACTTGGATCGGATGGGTTGTGGCCTGTTATTTCGGAATCATGCCATACCAGCGGGTCTTCAGAAAGGGTGTCTGTAAGAGGGGGAGACACTCTTTGCTTGCGTTTGGAGGGCGAGGAATTTATATGCTTCTGAGCGAAAGACGTTGATTTCTTCGTAGGAGAAGTGAGTAAGGAAGTCGGTTGATATTGTGTCGCAGGCGCTTCAGATAACGTCGCTTGGCGGTCACTGGACTCAGTGCTTGCCGGTAAAGCTTCGGGCATATTCTGGGATACGGTGCAGTCAAATTCGCATTCTTTGGCCGAGGAAGTAAGCGATTGCTGAGAATCGGTGAAAGCTGCCACGTCTGACTGGAGCTCGCCACGGATGGCCAACTCTCCAAACCGTCCAGCTACCGCGGCTTGCGGACTGTGTCTCCCTAGCTCGTCCTCTTGGAAACGAGTATCTTGAAAACTGTCGGTGGAAACGGTAGATGTCGGAGAAGCGGAGGGGCTGTAGCAGTCTGATTCTGAAGGTTCTCGTTTGCGCTTGGGAGAAAAAGATAGGGTGGGCATCATACTGGAAACGGAAATGGTGGGGGCACCTCTCCTTTACAAAATATATGCGAGTCTACCAAAGAATGGCAGATTTCAGCGATTCAATACTTGCCAAATAACCAACACTTGCCAAGGGCGCATATCAGAGCCGAAGAGGGGTTTGGTCATTGGACATTCTTGAATCGGACTGTGGGGTTCAACGATCGCCGTATACAATGGCTTTGGCCTCTTTGAGCGGCATATGAAGGAACCAGGCAGAGACACAATGAAAGCAAACAAGTAAACAAGTCATATAGATAAACAACTGGAAAAACTTAGATTTGGAAAAAAATATCAGAGCAGCGATAGTCAGAGCTGCTGAGGCGAAAGGCCTGGTAATAATTTACAAATACCTGCAAGCCGTACCCATCGAGTTCATGAAGACAAAAGCAAACCAAACGCCGTGACGAAGACTCCCTTCAAAAAGAACAGCGCATTTAGGCCTTTTGCTTCTTCTTGGAGGGCTCGGCATCCGTGTCGTGCTTGCGCTTCTTCTTCTTGTCGGACTCGCCCTCACCACCCTCGGACTTTCTCTTCTTCTTCTTGTCGGCCTTCTCGCTCTTGTCCTTCTTTTCCTTCTTCTCCTTCTTCTCCTTCTTGGCCTCGGCAACCTCAACATCCTCCATCTCCTCGTCGCTCTTGTCACCATCGACGTCGTCAAGCTCGGCCAGGACAGCATCCATGGCGGATTTCTAGCAATCGTTAGCATCAATCCATAAGACGAGAAATTGAAGTTGAAACATACCATGGCAACCTCGTTCTTGGTGGGGGCAGCGCCAGAGGCGTAGAACTCCAGGCGCTCCTCGACCTGACCCTTAAGAGCCTCACCGAACTTGGTGGTGGGGCTCTCGGAGAAGTTATCGATACGGGAAGCGATGGAACACTTGTTGGCAAGGAAACGCGAGATTCTTCCCTTGTTCTTGGGGCCAGCACGACCAATGAAGGAAGAGTGGTAAAGCAGACCGTACTTGGGGGTGTTACCCTTGGTCTTCAAAGCACGGAAGAGAGCCTTCTCGGCACCAAGAATCTGAACGGTAGAGGCGGGATACTTGGAGAGGTTGGTCAAGCTACCGGCGTGGGAGATCAGACGGGCTCCAACGACTTCACCGATCAGGGCAGCGAGGTTAGGGGCAACGACGCTCATCTTGGCGACAAGGTAAGAGTAGAGCGACTTGCGGTAGTTGGCGAGCTTGTTGACACGCTCAGCAAAAGAGATGACGTTCTCCATATCGGCCTCAGAAATTTCTTGACCCATGCTGTGCTTGGCGGCATCAATGACGCTCTGGGCAATACCCTCATCATCCTCAACAAGGGCAGCGAGGTCGTGAAGGCTCTCATCAGTGAGGTTCTTCTTGTCCTTGACGAAGAGAGCGACCTGGGCGTAGCGCTGGTTGTCGGAGACAATCTTGATGAGCTCGGGGAAGTGCCACGAGTACCATTCGCGAACTCTCATGGAGAAGGTGTTGATAGCCTTGTCGAGCTGGTCCAGGATGGCAATGGCCTGGATGATGTGGTTGTCGTCACGCTGAACGGAGAACTTCACCTTAGCACGAGAGTAGGCGTGACCAAGACCGAGCTGGGCAGTGTCCATGTCGCCCTCACGCAGCTGCTTCAACAACTTGCTAGCGTGGAGACGAATACCACGGAGAAGATCCTGGACGACCTCGCTGGTGTCACCGGTCTCGCAGTCGACGTGGGGGAAAGCAGACTTGATGCTTCCTGCCAGACCCTTATCGGCAAGACCCAGAATCACCTTCTTCTTCTTGTTCGCCTTGGGGAGGTTCAAGTCAAGGAAAGAGATCAAAGTCTCGGATGCGACACCTTCGGAGATGTCGTTGATTTCGCCAAGGGCCTGCTTGTTGTTCCTGCAACATTGTTAATCGACGGTGAAAAAAAAGGGAAAAAATCCCTTCTCGAGGAGAATCGTACTCAAAGGGAAGGAAACTTGAAAGCTCGACCATCTTGCCGAACTTAGCAAGATCATTGACTCCATCCTGAACTTCCTTCAAGGCATTGCCGACAGTATCGCCCTTGTGGACGGTCTTGAAAAGCGAGTAGCCCATAGGGCCCTCGAAGAGGAGGAAGTCGGCCATCGTTATAAGCCTAAGACCAGATAAATCACGTTCAAAGGGGCCGAAGGTATGCAACACCGGCAGAAAACACTCCTAAGTGTAATTCGATGGGTTGCTGGTGCGAGTGTTGGCGATGTGCTGGAAATGGGCAAAGTCGAGAAATCGGCAGCTTTTTTTTCGCCGCTAGTGCGAATCCGTGTATGTGGGCTTTTTGCCAAAACTGCCTTCACCGCATTCGCCGGGCCTAACGCGGGCCTCACCCTCATCCAACAAGCTCCTCTACCATCCATTAATTTATTAATTTCTGGTCTTTGGACGTGTTTCCCTGTCATTCATTTCCTGGGAGATGTCTGCAACTCAGCTACTTAACCCCAAGGCGGAGTCGAGGGTATGGAAAAATATCTCCCAGATAGGCCCCTCAATGTGCCCGCACACTAACATTTCATGCAGCGGAGAGGAGAGGCCTTGAAAGTGAACATCTCCGCTGGTGAAGGTCTTCAAGATGTGCTGAAGTCTAACCTGGGTCCTTCCGGGACTCTGAAGATGTGAGTCCTCGATAAATGCACCCCACATACAAAGGCAATGAAGCTAATAAAACTTAGGCTGGTTGATGGTGCCGGCGCAGTACGCAATCCGCTTTCCCTTCTCGATCAATTCCCACAAGATTCTGATGCGCTATAACAGATTAAACTGACTAAGGATGGAAATGTTTTGTTGCGTGAGATGGTTCGTCCTGCCCTGAGAATCCTTATGCTTGGAGCTCATGAGCTAACATTCGACAGCAAATCCAAAACCCTACAGCCGTAAGACGAACCTGCCTCGAAGATCTCCCTGTTTATACTGATGGAATGAAAAGGTCATGATTGCCCGCGCTGCAACAGCCCAAGACGATATCACCGGTGATGGAACAACATCGGTTGTGATGCTGGTAGGAGAGCTCCTGAAGCAGGCAGACCGACACATCGGCGAGGGTTTGCACCCCCGCGTTATTACCGATGGATACGAAATTGCAAAGAACGAGGCTTTGAAGGTATGTGGTGCATGAATAATGGTCTGAGACGCATTTAACAATTAGGCATTTAGTTCCTCGAGAAGTTCAAGCTCGAGCGTGCCATTGACCGCGAGTTGCTGCTTTCTGTCGCCCGTACCTCCCTCTCCACAAAGCTGAGCGGTGCTCTCGCCGAGAAGCTCACCCCCGACATCGTCGATGCCGTCCTTGCCATCCACAGAGCCCCTGAGAAGCCCGATTTGCACATGGTTGAGATTATGACAATGCAACATCGCTCCTCATCCGATACTCAGCTCATCCGCGGTCTTGCCTTGGATCACGGTGCCAGACACCCCGACATGCCTAAGCGGGTGGAGAACGCATTCATTCTGACATTGAACGTCAGCTTGGAGTACGAGAAGTCCGAGATTAACTCTGGATTCTACTACTCTAACGCCGAGCAGAGAGATAAGCTGGTTGAGAGCGAACGCAAGTTCGTCGATGCCAAGTTGCAGAAGATTGTGGAGCTTAAGAAGGAGGTTTGTGGAAACGACCCTAAGAAGGGATTCGTTATCATCAACCAGAAGGGTATCGATCCTTTGAGTCTGGATGTTCTCGTCAAGAACGGCATCTTCGCTCTTCGAAGAGCCAAGCGCAGAAACATGGAGCGTCTGCAGCTGGTTTGCGGCGGTACTGCCCAGAACAGTGTTGAGGATCTTACCCCCGATGTTCTTGGCTGGGCCGGTCTCGTTTACGAGCACCAGCTTGGTGAGGAGAAGTTCACTTTCGTGGAGGAGGTCAAGGACCCCAAGTCCGTGACTATCCTCATCAAGGGTCCCAATGGCCACACTATCACTCAGGTCAAGGATGCTGTCCGTGACGGTCTCCGCTCTGTCTACAACACTATTGTTGATGGCTGCGTCATTCCTGGAGCAGGATCATTCCAAGTTGCATGTGCTCAGCACTTGAAGTCAGCAGAGTTCAACAAGTCTGTGAAGGGTAAGGCCAAGTGGGGTGTTGGTGCCTTCGCTGATGCTCTTCTGATCATCCCTAAGACCCTGGCGGCCAACTCAGGTCATGATATCCAGGATTCACTTGCTTCTCTCTGGGATGAGGCCACTGATGGCAACGTCGCCGGTCTGGATCTGGTCACTGGTGAGCCTATGGACCCTATCCAGGAGGGTGTTTTCGACTCCTTCCGTGTTCTTCGCAACTGCATCGCTTCCAGCACGGGCATTGCATCCAACCTTCTCCTTTGCGATGAGCTCCTCAAGGCTCGGCAAATGAGTAAACCGGGTGGCCCCGGTGGTATGGAAGAGTAATGCACTTTCTCAATTACGAAGTAAGGCGGTTCATGTAAAGAATAAAAAGGTTATAGACTCCGTTCTCCCATAATCGGGAGGAGGAGCTGATCTATTCAAAAATGCACAAACTTCATGTTGCTTATCATTATCGTCATTAAGAAATATAGTAAACACTATCGTACATTTGCGAACCCCAAACTTTTTCGCTAAATTAATCCTGCGATAGAACGCCGTCGTCGCTCTCGGAAGAAACGACCACGGGAGGCCATAGTCCCTCAAATCCTTTTTCGCTAACGGGATCATCTAGAGACAGATGATGTGATTGAGCCCACTCCCATACATCAGATTTGGATATGGTTACCGTCTGACCCGGGGGAGGTTCCTCCCCTGTGGCTGTGCGGTTGCTCTTACGCTTTTTCGGGGTTGCGTGGGGTTCAAACAGCCCCATGCTTTTGAGTGCAGTGATCACATCTTCCGTCAGCATACCAGTGCCCAGACCAAGCTCCTCGACTGTCATGGTCTCGCGGGCAGGCCTCTTGCGGGACCCCTTCGGAGTAGAATTGGGTTTCTGGTCAATGGGTTCACGGGGATTGTCGCCAGATTTGCCGCGGAGCAAATACCTGGCAATCCGTTCGGCCCAGAAGCGGGAATAGCTCTTGTGACCCAACTCGCTCAGTGGCTTTTCCGGCCCACCGATATATCCACCGGTCGAATCCCAACCGCTGAGCTTATAGCTGACCCCCATCAACAGCTTTCCGAGTTGTTTGTGTTGGTATGGTGGGAAAATCAAGATGCAAGCAAGGTTGTTCGCATCCCATGACAATTTCTCCTTTGAGAAGAAGCCGAGCACATAGTAGCTGCCGGGCTCATCAGGGTCGGTGTATGTGAGGATGTAGTAAAGGAAGGTTGCGACATCAAAAAACACCGTCTTGTGATCAAGGAATAGTTTTGCGAAAAGGGAAAGGTTTTGGCCGAAGAGTTTATGGTGTTCTCCATCGACTTCCCACACTGCGTATCCGCCGTGGTCGTAGACTTTGGTGCCCGGGGGCGTTGTGCGATGCTCACAGGCGCGTTTGTGGTCGGTGAAGACATCCTCCTCGCATGAGTATCGGAAACACCACCGGCAGACATAGAGTCGATCGGTATCTTTGGTGACAAGATCTTCAGGGTAGATTGATTGATTCCAGGGTTCGAATAGGAGGTCTCCTAGTACGACGTTTCTGAGGTTGCGATCCGCTGGGGTCTGCAGTCGCGCAGACTTTGGTGTCGCCATTTATAGCGTTGATGTACTGAATGGCACACGACGCTGTGGTACGTCTGTCGAATGACTACTGTATGTATCGAGAGCTCTTATGCAGTATACCGTCTGCAATAGTCCGGCCATTGGTGTTTTCGCGGGAAACGAGAGTTGTCAGCCAGTCGAGGACTTGGAAAGAAAGAAAAAGGCCAGTTGCACCGACATCAGGACCACATATACGAGTTGAATGACATTAAACCATTGTCGTCTCGACGGAAATCGCGTGAATGGAGGCCTCAAATTCCAGGCGAACGCGAAAACCCAGGCTGGTCAGGTGACTTGGGCGGGGAGAGCTTCATGTGACGCTTATCCTGTTGCCTGAGACCACTTCGTTTTGATTTCTCCCCTTCGTCTTCGTATCGGGGATCTTCCAGGAAACTTGGAAAATGATCACTTTTGCCACAGGCAACAACTCGCCAGCCTGAATTTTCTCTTTCATAACCAATAACCGACGTTTCCCAAATAGCCCTGGAGGCATCATAATTCCATATCCTGTTATCAGCTCCATCTCCATCTTCACTAATTTTTACTTCTCTTGATCCGTAACATCTCTTCCCACCGGTCCCTGATATTTGGGATTCACGTCCACCATGTTGAAGCCTTTTCAGATCCGAAATCTTAGGGAGTCTGAGCAGGAGCTTGCAGACTCTCATTCTTTCGGAGTCGTCCAGATCTCCTCTACCGATTATGATGATTTGGCGACTACTCATCCACGCGCCAGGCTGACCTACACCGAAGAAGATGATGAAGATGAAGGTGATGAAACTATTACCGTAAGTCCACTATACAAGGCCGAAATTCGGGCGACATCAAACCTAATCATTTGTGTAGGTCGGATCGGCTCTCGAGCTGTCTCAACGCCTTGAAGAGTCCCCAGAGATCGGCGCGCGGCTCGATTCCTTACAATTATCTCATGACGCCCCTCCGATGCACATATTTGATATTCGTCGATCGAACTCTGTCACAGAGCTCTGGAGGCGATACGAGTGTGAGGCAGAAGAACAAGGCTCTTTGGGTGATGTGAAGAGTGATGTGCTGGTTGCATCTCAGACTGTTGTTCATGAAGACGAAGTTCTTGCCGCTACTAGTTCAGAACTTCCCCCGACGTCTGAAAGAGAATCCCGGTCTCTGATGGAAGCCTTTGAGACTGAGCTAGCAGGCATCCTCCACGCCGCTGAGCCATCGGGTACCAAAAGACCCCGACCAGAATCGCAGCCTGCTGAGCCATCATCTGGCACATCTTCGGAACGCTCAACTCATCCCGTCGAGGTCCTAGCAGCTCAGGTACTGGACCAACTGATTAATGGAGCCACTATGGTTCAATCTGAATGGAGGGCAAGACTACCAGAAGTGCAGCGTCAACTACATAATGCGCAAAGACAGTTTGAGACTGCACAGAGATCCCTCCCTGCAAATGTGGAAGCATCATTGCGCACACTGCTCAACACCCTTGAGGCACAAGTGAGAGCCGCCTTCAGTAATATCCCTGATAGTGGAAGACAATTTGCGGAAGATGCGTTCCAGAGAGGGAGACCTGTTGCAGAGAATGCCGCCGACGGGTTGCGCATGATGGCCTCGGAACTGAACGAGGCAGGAAGAACGCTGTTCGCCGCGTTTGAGACCGAGTTTGGTCGAGCTGGGCCAGCTACCCCTTCTACACATGAAGCACCGAGCTCTGGTGTGCCTGGAACATCTGATGTCAATGCCAATTCTGCAGAAAATAAGCCTGCCTCCTCATCGCCTACTTTTTCTCAGGTCCCAGACGTCCATCAGTCCTCATCAATGACCGACAAACCGCATGCTCCTAGTAAAGGTCACTGGAACCCTTCGGGTGTCGCTGAGAGTCCTGCGATTGCTTCTCCGGGCTCATGTCCTTCGTCATCTGCCTACTATTATCCTCCAGGGACCACGGATCCCACCATGCAACATAGTCTATATCAGCAGTACCTTCATCAAAACCTTTCTCCATATTATCTTCCACCTTCATCTAGCGTGCCTGGTGGTTCCTATTATGGGTCACCACTGGAACAGAACCAGATTGTCCCGAATTGGCCTCAATGGCCCCCTACGTTCTCGTCGCTCAATTCCAATGAGCCGATGTACCCAACACAAGTATACCCGACGTCCCATCCCAACGAGCCCATACACCCAGGACAAGTACCCCCGCCGCTCAGTTCCAGCGAGCCGATTCACCCTGGAACAGTACCAATCAACCCTGTAAACCCAGAAGGGTCGGAAACCAAATCATTGTTTATTGGAAACGTCGGGTTCAAGGTCACTCAGAAGATGATACAGGACGTCTTCGCTTCCAAGGGCTTTATCGTCGAAGTTGACCTTCCGATGGATAGTGCATCAGGACAACACGCAGGATTTGGCTTTGTGCATTTCCCGGGGTCACACTCAGCATTTGCTGCCATGGAAGCATTACAGGGTGCTCTTATTGACGGCCACTCTATAAACTTGGAGAGCATGCACCACTCGAATACTGAGTCGTTGCGTGTGGCCCGCAATAGATCAGGCAGCGGATCAGGCGTACGCACTACTCGGGTGAGACACGTGAATAAGCCGAATCGTCGCAGAAAGTCCGTCAGTTTTTCCCAACATCAAGTTGATGTTGATACTGGTTCTTCTCGGGATCTTTCTTCCAGGAAGGATTCCTCCGGGTTGCTTGACTCTCCAAGCGATGACCCTGGGTTCAGCGCACGATTTCCTTCGCTCCAGCCGGTCAAGAATGAACAGCCTAGTGGTCTCTCAAGTGGTCAAGGCATATCCCCACCTGTGAAACCGGAGAAAGAGATGGAAATGCTCCATTTCCCACCTGTTTCTCAATTGGATGCTCTTCTTCTGACGAATCAGCAAGAGCGCCCAACAGTGTCATCCACTACTGGTACGTTCAATGAATCAGAAGATCTTACTCAAGAGATTCGGTCTGCCAGCAACGGAGATGTAACCGGCAACAAGTTGCAAGTGATTGATACTGGACGATCATTGGATCACAGCAGTTTAAACGGCAACTCTAATCCTACGGCGGTCATGCGCCCAGCAGCTGACAGTAATAAACCTTCAGCCTCCTCGTTGAAGCGCCAGTCAAGTGCTCGTTCCGCAGAGAGAGATACATGGGCGCGGCTCTCTAGAAGAGAGCGAACAAGGTCATTCTCTCGCCAACAGGTCCCTGGTGGCTTCCCGGTTGAGGAAACAGCGCGTGATACAGTGGCCTCTAGTGTGGATCAGGTTTCAGATCCTATTGAACAGTGTGTGTCCGCTCTCGTCGATATGGGTTTTGGAACTGAACAGGAGGGTGGACGATCCAGGATGGTCGTATATGCGGCTGCAGCCAACGGCAGCCTCCTTGATGCGATCGATATGATTGAGGAGGAAAGAAGTGCCTATGAACGACGCTCTTCGCAGTGAGTTATGGTTTCCCAAATGCTTTCGGTTTGTAAACGTATCAGGCACGCTTTTTTTTTTTGTGCTCGGCGTCGCTGGAACCTTGACATTTAATATTGAAACTTAGTCTGTGACAGTTCTAGCGTGAGTAATTTAACTCTTTGCTCTCTTATCCAATAGTTCAGACATAAATGAAGAAAAGAAAGTGCAAGTATATAAGGGGTTTGTAGTAATTTAGCGCGGAATGCTAATCGGACGATAAGTTTTCCCTTGCCCGCAATCTCCAACCCTCCAACCTCAACTTCCCCAGCAATGCAGATATGGCGACGCTCCTTCGCTACATCTGTTGCCAGATTTAGCAACAGCTTGACTCGTCCTTCTGTTTCGCGATGCGTTCAGATTCTACAAGCTAGCAAGAGCGAGGCCTGCAGCTTCGAAGACCAAGAAGTCAAGGTGAACGGATTCATCCGCAGCGTACGAAAACAGAAGCGCATTGCATTTGCGGAGATTTCCGATGGCTCTACTGTAGAGCCAATTCAGGCGATTCTAAAGCCTGCGCAAGCAGCAGAGTATGTTCGGCCTCACGCGAGAGCTACGATTCCGTCACCAAACAAGGCTAATCGAACGTCGTCTAGTTTATCAACTGGAGCAGCTGTGGAAATATCAGGAATATGGAAAGCTTGTCCATCAGGGAAGGAGCAGAGTCATGAACTTCAAGCAACTGATGTGACGGTTGTCGGCGCATCAGACCCAGAGGTGAGTCAATCTTCAATCACTCAAAAGATCTACAGATGAATTGACCATGGTATCTCCAATTGCAGACCTTCCCAATCCAAAAGAAATACCACAGCACCGATTTCCTGCGTCAGATTCCCCACCTTCGCATCCGAACACCCTTTAATTCTCTCCTCGCGCGATTCCGGTCCGAGTGCATGTTCCAGCTTAGCAATGTCTTCCACTCCCATCCAAATGGCGGCTTTACACAAGTCCAGCCTCCGATCATCACATCCTCGGACTGTGAAGGTGCCGGCGAGACATTCACGTTGGCACCGCGCGGTGCAGCGACTACACCCAGCGCCGAGAACGAGCAGTTCTTCCGAGCACCTAAATACCTGACTGTGTCGTCGCAATTGCACTTGGAAGCCTATGCAGCGGAGCTAGGTAATGTCTGGACATTGACACCGGTATTCCGGGCTGAGAAGAGTGATACACCGCGCCACCTCAGCGAGTTCTACATGCTCGAAGCGGAAGTCAACTTCATGTCCGATCTTGACTCGCTTACCGGTCTGGTAGAACACATGCTACGCGATTTGACGCGACGCCTATATAATACTACAGTGGGCCAGGAGATCTTATCGGCCAAGCGATCTGGCGAGCCAGGAGAGGAGACGAACGCTGAGACGGACGCTTTGCGAAAACGATGGACTGACCTGATGGATGGCCCGAAATGGGACCGTGTCACATACACACAAGCCGTGGAAATGTTGCAACATGCTGTTGCCGAGCAGGGAGCTTTGTTTGAACATCCCCCGACATGGGATGGAGGTCTTCAGCTCGAACACGAGAAATACATTGTTGAGGAGCTCTATCAGGGCCGTCCAGTCTTCGTTACAGACTACCCGAAGTCCGTCAAGCCGTTCTATATGGCGCCTTCTCGGGTTGTCGAAGAATCCAACAGTCCCGGTGAGACAGTGGCATGCTTCGATCTGCTTCTCCCTGAAGTCAGTGAGGTTGCCGGTGGTTCCCTGCGTGAACACCGTTTGCCCGAGCTTATCCAAAATATGCGTGAGCATGGTTTGATTAAGGCTCGCGAGCTTCCCGAGTCGGGGAATTCCGCCTCCCTTGAGTCGCTGTATCCTTATCTTGCTCCTACCGAGGATCTGAGTCACCTTCAATGGTATGCTGACCTCCGACGCTGGGGCTCTGCTCCTCACGGCGGTTACGGACTTGGGTTCGATCGGTTCTTGGGATTCTTGAGTGGCGTTTCTAGTGTGCGGGATATTGTCTCTTTCCCGAGATACCATGGTCGCGCTGATTGCTGATATGTATAGAAGAGCTTGTATGATAGATCTGTAATATAGTATGCATCCAAACCGGAATTACGGAGATTGATCGGGGAGCAATTCAGCCCGACAGGAGAAAGATATTGGTTGGCTCTATGATCTAGTGCAGCCATAATATGACACTCTCGCAGCATGAAGCCACTTGTAGTATAGCATCGTTTAACGAAAATTCCGACGGGTCTAGTGTACTCTACACCCACCCTTTGACCAGCTGAGTATAACCAGTCATTCGAATATACTTTCCAACCCAGGTTCTGTGGCCTGCACCAGACGCCACAGAAACAGGCCCCAAGAAGAGGCCAGCTTGCACCGGAACGCCCGGCACAGGCCCGTTCGTAAGGTACCATTTTAATTTCTTGAAATTACTATTGCTCTCAGAGTCAAATGGCTAGGAAGAGCGCCTATCCGAAAAAGAAATCAATAGTCAGAACCCCCGAGTGGACAGAGAGCAACGGATACTGACAAATCTATATATATTGAATCGGACGCCTCCAAAGAAGCTCAGATAAAGCCCACGCCGATGCATTTACCCATTTAAGCCCAACACCAGAAACCCAAGAATGCCGAGTCACGCAATCGACTAGACAGATAAAAGCAAGACACTCTCCACCCCAGTCCAATCTAGAAACAAAGCCATAGACCCCAAGCCCCCAAGTGATACGATATACGGAGTCAAAGCCGCCACCGAGGCCTCTGCTAGAGCCTCCACCAGCGCCGAATGGGCCACATTGCGACTAGCCAGCAATACAAGTCCAATACTGTAAAGGTGCATGTGTGGGACACACATGCACCGTTCACAAACACTAAACAGAGCTTGCATACTCTCACCGGGAGCGCCCGGCCCCCCGGCCTTGATTTACAATTTTGCCCCCATGTCCATCCCACTCTAGTCCCTCTAGTGATCGTCCGAGGCCAGGGAATAGAAGGCCTAGGGTAATGACACTAGCACCCAGGATGCAATGCGCAGAAGGACTAAGTTCATATTAATCTCGACAGGGGTGAAAAGAGGATTTGTGATTTCCGAAATCTCGTTTTCGTTTAAGCTTATGTTTTGGAATGTTTAGACTTTTACGTACTAGACACGGAGAGTCGGCGATTAAGCCCCGATGCAAATAAACATTAAACTCAGAGATTGGGCATGGGTTCAGGGTTAGGTTAAGGCTGACAGGGTTTGGGGGAGGAGGAGGAAAGTTGGAGTCCGGTGTTCTCCATCTTTAATCCCGGTTCGAAGTTAATTATATCTCCTGGATCATCGAAGGAATGACCGCAAGGCTGAGTACGGAGTACGGTATCGTACCAGGATGATCAGGCGTATACGAAACTAGCTGCACAGCACGGACAAGGGGAATGAGGGGCGGAAAAAAAAAGATACGGATATACAGTAGGCATACAGTAGCCTGGGCGAAATGTCACTTTGAACAGGGGGGAAAATAATAAAATACAAAGGATTGCCGACTAAGTGTCAAGTAACAGGGACGATCGTTTCACGATGTAGTAGCTCTAGACCGGACGCGGTGGACTCACTTGCATGCAAGTACAGTAGTAGGTGTGTAGTATAGGTCATCGCACCGCAGTTGAAATACTCCATACAGTAAACCCGGAAAGCAGATCCTATCTGTGAAAGTAACCGAATTATGCGCCGGAGCTCTCGGGCCCCAAGCAAGGCCAAGCACTGTAGTCTGGGATGAGGCGTCCATAGAGCGAATGTAAAAAACCGGGGCGAGGGGGCCACTACAGATTGATGATGCAAATGAGTGGACACTCGGCGGCCGAAAGAACAGATAAGAGGGTTATTGTAATCTCGACGGTAATATAGAGGGAATTGATCGGATTTAACAAGATTCGGCGTACTCCGTTAGAGAACGTGGGCGCCGAGTGGGTTTGGCACTGGATTTTTTTGGCTTTCGGGTGTCGCTTATTGTGCCGAGGTTTCACTTAGAAGATAATAGCTGGTGTCTTGATGCTATCTTCTGCCTGCAATTTCGACCCTGGAGAGATCTAGAAAATCCGTCGTCCATCTGCATAACTGTTTATAAATGTGTGCGAAAAGTGAAGCACACACACACACACACACACACACACACACACACACACACACACACACACACACACACACCTACATACACAGCCTTCATCTACACTGTAATAAACTCTCCTAAGACCAATAAGGAGTCCAGGATCCGCAGGCCAAGGGGCCCCAACCTTACCAGGGTTAAGCATAAGCAACAGAAGTTCGGGCACTGTCCGCCTTGTACGAGTCATGCAGTACATCCCTAGCCTGACGTATCACAATGCGATGTGTACACAGGACTGATTTTAACCGGACCGAAGGTGATGGAATGCCACTTGATTCCCAAAGTATAAATAGAGTCGACGTCGAGACTCGTATTCGGGATGACCCAACTCCCCGAAAGGAGGTGAAATAAAGGTCAAACGGGTGACCGAAGTAGTGAAGCCACCATGGTTCGTAAGGGGAAAACTGGATTTTAGGCTTCACTGACAACCAGGACCAGCCATGGGTCAAGGGCGCCACCTAAAATTGGCGCCATCAGGCTTGGCAAAAAGCCCAGGCACCATTTACGGCCATTCTCGGCAGTCGGAGACTCTTGGGGCCAAGAGTCCGAGGGGATGTTGTCATTCTGTAGGCACCAGCATTGCACTAAAATGGGACCCTGGAAAGGCTACGGTCCATCTGCAATGAAACAATACTTTTTCCTACCTTAAAATATGCGAGTGGAGATAAGCTCGTGTGACGTTTCACAAAAGTCGTTCTTGGCAACCTTTAATTCGATTTGATTACAGCGGATCTGTACGGAGTGTACGGAGTGTATTGTATTAGAGCATTCGTGAATGGTGGAGATGAAAGATGAATAATAAAACAACCGAAGCATGAACCGGTCGGCAAAACCGTCGGCTTAGCCCGCAAGGGCCTCAGGTGATTGTAGTTGCAGTAGTTGTGGAGCGAGATCCACCAGGTAAAAAAGGAGGGCTCGGATGATCGGATAGAGCCTATCTCGTATCGGGGTCAAGTTTCTACATCTTGACAGCTCGAGGATAGTGATATTACCATATTACCAGAGGGATACATAGACTGTACCTCACATGAGACGTTGCACCGATCATGACCGCTCAGTAGGAAATCCTGCGAGTCTCATAACTATGAATATTCAAGTCGGGACAATAACAAGACACCGCACTATCCTATTCTAGTAAGACTTGCGGGATCCCGTTAAGGTGGATTCAGGCGATCTTCAGACAAGTACGGAATACTGTACGGAGTAAGATAAAATCCCCCCCCAAAAAAGAAGAGGTCTGAGCTTCGGAAATAAAAAGAGGTTCGCATCGGATGCATAACTTCGCGTAAGGGAGACATGTGGTGATTCGTGGTTCTGTTATGCTTATTTCGGATTGGGATAGCCAATGATCGGGTGCCCTAGGCGAGTTTGGAATGATCAGCTGAGGGAAGCCTGGAACCTAGGAGTGTACTGTAGATGTAGTCTTCTAACCCTGGACGGTCTCTCATTCAAAACCTGTCCTCGAGCTTGTTTCAACGGTACCACCTTGCACACTCTCCGTCGACCTGGTAGATGGAAGATCGGATCACGGCAATGTCAAAGTCACACCATGTGAGACACTGCAGAGTCAAACACATGGACCCCCGGTCTCTCCAAGCCAAGGAGAAATATCAGCTGCCAAGGGTAACCAGCCCCCGAACCCTATTAGAGTAGCTCTTGTGCCACGGGGGGCTTTGTTGGCGATACGCTCAGTCAGTGCGCTAGAAGGAGAATATGGGGTCCCAAAAAAACACAACAACCAAAAGAGCGAGACAGAGTCCACAAGGCTAGGGGAGACACTTAACCTTATCGCTGAGTCAAGGTGTCAGCCACGACTCAGTCAAATCTTGGTTGGATCGTGGCTGCACAAGAGAAATAAGTCATGTACTGCACATGTAAGCCTCCGATTATTTATTGGTTTAGAAGAAAGCCAATCATGGGAGACAGGTAGACTTTTTCGGGGGTGTGATCTTACTACGTGGCTTCTTTGCACTATTTATGTACACCTCTCTCCCAATAGTGCCGATAGAGTCGACATTCTTATTAAATTGCAATAAACCCTAAGCTTTGTGGTCAGCGCAGTGAGAATCAAAACACGCAATACGAGTACGAATCACGAGGGGAAGTAATGGCCACTGTGGCTGAATTTCAGGGTGTGTCTAGAACCCTTTAAGATTACCGGGATATCACTGTACCCAAGGGATAAAGTGTAAGGCGGACAGAAGCGCAGCATTAATAATCCAAGTGGATTTCTCACGTTAATCACCGTTTTAGATTAAACCCATAATTAATAAATCCACGAAATTCAGAAAATACAGGAAATAATGAAATATTCTACAGAATACGCAAGCCCAGACGCCAAGCGTGGAGGCCTCGCTGTAAGCGAGCATAAAGTTCAGCGCCGGCCTCCTCGTGTTGGATTAAGCTTAAGAGTTGCGCACTAACCTTCTTTTTACGATCAGAGCGCCACTTTTCTGACACAGAGCATTTTCCTTATTATTCAGCTCACATTTTTTTTCTTTTTGTTCTATTCCTGCCCATTCCCTTTGGATTTGATTTGATTTGATTTTTTTTTCCCTTGTTATTTACCGGTATCTATTTTATTTGTTTATTGGAGGGAATGAAGGGCCTGGTTGGGTTCCAAGGTCTTTACTTCATGGGAATGCCTTGGCTTCTTACGTCCGTACAGTCTACTGTGCCACTCGCCACCCCCAGTCCAACTCTTTCCAAGGTTCCCATGCATAAGTTAAATTTCTCGACAGCTCCACCGTATTACAATGAAATCTCGGCGTTTAGCAAATTCCGATCTTTCGCTTGGATCGCTTGGCCTCTCCGCTTCTTTTATTTAACCTTCTTTTTTATCTTTTTATAAAGTTCACCCTGAATAAAAGAGGGAGCCTCTCCTTCTTTCTTCTTCTTTAGTTTAATTTCGTGGAGTTATAGTAAGGCCCCCCCTCTCCCTGCTATCTGTATCCTTGGCTCTCCCTTGTAGCCTCTCCACAACACAATCTCTGCAGGCTTCCTCTTTCCATTTTGAGAAGAAAGAAAAAGAAAAAAGAAAAAGAAAAAGAAAAAAAAGAAAAAGGGAAAAAAAAGAAAAAAACCCCAAAAAACCCCCTCCTAACCAGGTTGGGCTCGGATTTATCGGTCTACTCAGCCTACCCCATACAACTTGATTTCCTTTTATATTTGGCCTTCCTGAACCCTATTCTTTCTTTCCTTCCCTCCCCCCACTTCCGTTTCATAACGCTTATATTCAGCTTTGGCTTCTTCGTTACTTCCCTCAAATCTGGCCATTAAAGCATACGGGTCACTTGACTCGAGAGGTTGGATGGAGACATATTACGGGCACGTCCGCACTCCGGCGGACGCTATTATTTTATTCGAGGCTTGTCGCATCGGCCTTTTACCCCGAGTTCAAAGACGACTTTCAGAAAAAGAGCGACAGTCGATTCGATCTGGCTCGGTCTTTGTATGGGATGAGCGCGAAGCGGGCATGCGACGATGGACCGACGGAAAGTCATGGAGCGCCAGTCGTGTGTCGGGGAGCTTCTTGACTTATCGAGAAATGGAAGGCAAGCGTGGAGGTGGTGTTGCTCAGAGCTCTTTACAACGCGGGGGCAAAACACCGGAGAGCCGGGGCAGCGATGAAGATCGCGGCGATGGGACAGATGAGGGACCAGATGGGTACCGATATAAGCCCGATGGATTGATGAAGCAGTCGTTCAGTATCACAACGTCCAACGGCCAACACCTGCATTTGATCAGCTACTATTCGCGCTCTCACCCATCTGCCGCCAACCTTCAACAACCGACATCCGATCCTGCGCTGCGCCATGTTCGCCCCCAAAAGGGCCTCTACCCGGAGTCCACCGTGAACGACCAGCAAAACCTCCCCGTGGTCACTCGGGGACCTATGCAGGGTGCCTCGTACCCAATTACGCCTCATCCCATCGGCGCTTACCAGCGCGCCGCCCATGCACCCCCATTCCCACAAGGCTATGCATGGCCCCCAACTCCTCTAGCCACGCCCCCAACTGTTGCAGTTCCATACGGCGCCCAATATCTTCCCCCCATGGCGGCCGCCGGGCCCCCTCCATATGGTCCCCCACACCACCAACCACCGCCTCAGCATTCTAACCTTCCGCCCCCTCCGCACGGGATCCCCGGTCCGTACGATCGGCCGCCCCATGTCGAGGCGACATTACCACCAGGCGGGCCTCCGGCTTACTTAGCCCGGTCGCCGCGTACAATGCATGACCAGCACGAGCAACGAAGTCCTCCAGTATACGGACATGCGATGGTCGATCCACGCGTGGCTTCATCACCGCGAGTACCAGTGCAACCCCTCGTACAGCAAAACGGACACACACATAGTCCTCGTCTACCGAAACAAGAACACCCCGCATTGCAGCCTCTCAACCCTATCGGTACACCACCAAAGCCCCTGGACCCCAGTGCCGGCAATGGAGTCCCAGGGATCAGCTCACTGATGAACGGCGCCGCCCTGGCTCCTTTATCTGCGTCAACTGCTCCACCTCCTCCCGGGGCCGTCGCAAGCCCCAACGGAGCGCCCACGCAGGCAACATCAGGCGAGGGGCCGCGCGACATTCCGAACGAGAAAATCGGATTCGGAGGCGAGGACATGAGAGCCCTGCGCCAGCTAGACCGGGCCTTCATCGCATAAATGAACAGCCCTCTTTCGGTCTAGAGATTACGCCCAACTCAACCCCAAGAAAATGAACCACCTCCTACTCGTCCACCTGGATAATCCAGTCGACCACCGAGTCATGTCTTATAGCGTGTTACTATTTGCCTTCCTCTGCTTGTCTTGTCGGGGCAGGCCTTGCTTCGATTGCCGATTACTGTTTCCAGTGATATCCTTCCTGTCTATTATTTCCGTCATCTTCTTTGTCATTATTAGCATTTTGCATGGATCGGGGCACTTTGCATGTTTTTCTTTTCTTTTTCTTTCCTGCCTTTTCCTTCCTTTTCCTCGTGTGATCGGGTCCTGGGTCATGGTTTATGGATATGGGTCCTATTTTATACATTATGCATTGGGATTGGTTTTTATATGGTCGGGTTTACGGCTGTGGATTACCTGTATTTAGTCAAATTGACTTGCTTTCACGCTTCATTCTTTTCTAGTAGATTATGTAGTAGACTACGTAGTAGATTGGGGATCCTGGTTGTGTTTCTTCGTCTTGGGCCTATGGTCCCGTTTGGGATTCATCCTCGCTAATTGGGATATCAAAATGTGAAGGGAATCGCAGAATGGTTGAATCATCTTGACTTGCCCAGGCAACCTGCCTTGCTTGCATCATATGGGCTTCTGGAACCCACAGACGGGTTCACCGGGGTGTAGTTTTCCAGGTGGAACCCGTAGGCTTCATGTCAGTATCTCCTATGATTATCCGGGTTCTGTTCTTCATTCTCCTTGCTAACATCTTGTCCTTCCTAGTGGAATTTCCCATGATCTCCTTATTCCTCTGCCCCTTCTTCGTTGCCCATTGTTTATGAAGATCCCAAAGCCGAGGCTTTTTCTGTGACATTTCAGGCTTGATGAAGTATTGAACAGTGATCGACGCATGTTTCAGGTCCCTTGTCCTCCACACTGCCTTCAATTCTCCTCTAGTCATCCACGTCTGCTAGAGCTTTAATTTTGTCAATCGCTCGTCTCGAGCAGAGAAACATGCAAGGGGAACTAAACTATGAAGTGTTACGCCGATATTTATTACTGAAAGAGACATGTCTGCTGCTCCTTCCTGAATCTCTCCTTGGGCCAGTATTGGATACCTTCCTATAACATTGTAGATTGAACGGTACCTTGTACTCGCCATAATGGTCATCTTTGGAGTTTGTACGTACGTATGAAGTATGTACAATAACTGGCAGATACGAGATCGAGAAATGATTCTTCGCCCGGGGTCAGTTGTTATTTGTTCTTCACCACGCTCCCAGATCAAAGATTCATGGGATAGCATGGCGTTTTGTCTTTGCCTTTCGATGTTCGACATAAGCAGGAGGATTAACTATACGTCTATTGCCTGCCATGTCTCGTGCTGGGTTCTTCAATTACCCACAAAGTAGTCACAGCTGTATAAGAAGAAAGTAGAAAACCGATGGCATCGGTCATACCCCTACACAATTCGACCAATGCCTGCTTTTGGCACAGCTGGCTCAATTGAACTGGGCTATATGTTGCGCTATACGGAATATTTTCGTCAAGCAGATATAGAAGTTGTCAGATATTGGATTCTGAGTATGCGCTTTTTACCAGCTTGGCTATGCGATGTACGCTTCTGACAGATCCAGAGTGATGCGATTATCTCTCATTGTGATCATTTGTTCTGAGATTGGCAAGGTGCTCGTGGAATATCGCAGATTGGCAATTATGATTCTTTCATCTTCGTACACTTTGACAAAGTCCATATATCTAGTGACTCTGCCTACTTACTCTTTGCCAAGCTAGTTCCCTTACCCCAAGCCTTGATGAACCGATATACTGACTTCTCTCCTCACCGATGCCTCCTACGGACGTTTTTGCCTCCTCTGATTCATCTCTCAACGAGATGCCGCGAAGTCCACGCCTGTCTCTTTGTTTGATGGATAGTTCGTTGACACATTTGCTAGACTTTCCCGATTATCGCAATACGGATACTCCCGGCTTGAATGCCAACCTCTACTCGAATCGAAAACGCACCTTCTGGGCAAACTGCCCACTTAGTGAAAACTGTTGCCGCTGCCGATGAAAAAGTAGATTGGGTTATTGACGAGAACGGGGAGTCCTTCAATTGATGCGAAACGTCCCAAGCGTCCTCGTTCCAATGCCAAGGAACGTCGGAACGTCGTCGCAAGTACGTCACCTGTACGGGCATCTGAATAATCTGTTACTGGTCAAAGGACGTAAACGGAAAAGCCCTTCCGCGCTGCGACGATTGCACTGATCAGAATTACAATCGTGCGGAGGTGTCGCTTTCCCATAACATCCTTGATCTGTATCTGGAAGCGCTTGCTGACACCCCCCGCAACTGACGCAGCTCCTAGCATTAGCCCTCGATTCGAGAAATGTCACCTCACAAGACCACATGGTTGCCGTCTGTGTGGACAATACCTGGGTGTCGCTGGTGGATCTTGCTGTGGCCGAGACAAGAGCTGCTTCACCACTTGCCGCATCGCGGTCGTCATGCTTGTGGGGAATTGTCGTAGTGCTCTCTAAGGGTGCTTGCATGGGATGCCATTTTTCCAGACAGTTCTTCGTCACGGATCGCTCCCTTGTCGGTTCTTCAAACCCAAGGAGGCCAAGGCATGTCTCATATGGCTCTCTTTTGCAGGAGGTTGACAGAATTACCTAGAAACATAGGAACACTCCAATCAACTGGCACTGTCAGAGCAGGGAAACAATGTTGGGGCGGGACCCTATTTTGGTATGATTTGGAATATTCTGAGCCCTTCTCACGGCCATGTCAGTAACCTCAAGTATATACTGAATGTAAATTCTGTCCGAGAGTATGAGATCGTACTCTTTGATATGTGGTGCTGGTCGACCTTCGTATTGACTGTTGCTGATATAGCAATCAGTCTTGGTAGTCGGATCATCGCTCGACATTAAAAGTTGCCAAATTCAGACTTCAGGCTGCGACCTCGGGAGGTCCCACATCTCTAGCAGCTGAGAGGACACCCGGAGCTGAGACCAAAACCTTACCCTTCCAACCCATAGTGCGCGGGATTGAGAAGAGTGCCTAATGACCGAATATGTCGTGAGCGACTTCTACATCAATGCGACAAGCTCGACAGATGATATGAATTATCTCGTATGGACAAAGTGATGGCCCCTGGGGCTCGCAAAACCGTACATGCCCTGGCAAAATCGAGAGAGAGATACTCACTATTTTTCTGGAGCCCTCATCTCAGTTAGTAGGAGGTCCTGAGGATAGATATGGAATTGTCTTTATTGGTTGAAATGGATTCGGCAAGCTCGATCGTTTGTTGCCATCTCAAACTCACCTGTAGCCGACAGCACTGTCTATCATGACACGGCTGCTTTCAAATCTCTTCTAGTGGAGTGCTATTAACACGAGATAGGTAGCTGCTCTCCATTGGGATGGAATTGTTGCGTCCACTTTGCTCAGTCGTCACAGAGCATTGTGCAGCTCACATTTCCTTTCTTGTCATGTATATGCCCGTACTGTATCAATCAAGAATGATAGGGATGATCTGCGCGATACACCTAATGTCCCATGGTTCTGCAATTCACGCGTGTGAATAGCCGATCACGTTCTCCGATTCCCACGATATCTTGTGCCGATGCGATAAGGCACGATTCAGGCCCACTTTCGGATCTACCCGCAAGGTTGAGACAGTCAGGTCATCGTGGACCAGGGATGGAGAATATCCAGTACCAAATTCCCACTTCGATCTGAATCGTGTTCAGTGACGCTTGGATACCTCACTGGTTGCCCGGAAGCGCCACTAAATGGGGGCAGAATCCTTCGAGCGGCAATTCTAGCATGCTCCAGGGCTAACATCAATTAGGGGCCCGTAAGCGAGCGCAACAGAGCCTCCAAAGCACCAAATTAACTTTCCCCGGTGCAAATAGTCTGTTTTGCAAGGCGAACAACACTAGGTGATCCAAGGCGACTGGCGCCACAATGCAGCTAGCCAGTTTTCCCAATGGTTCGTGGACAACCCGATCTCCGCGGGACAGGGCACTCTCATGAAACTTTTGAGGCGCCTGCACCTCCTATTTACCCGGTATCCCGGATTGGGATCTGAATCAAGATCAACAGGTGCGACAGTAGTAGCCTGCAGAGTGAATCTTGGCAACCCCGGCCGAACAAAGACGACCCTTATTCGCCGGAAAGGATCTGACTTTGGATAACCTGAGGGGGCAGGAGGTGCATATATATACACATACAACTGACACCTCTGCATCATTTATTGAATAGTACCATACGAGCGGGATGACTAGATCGCTTTTCCTCTAGTTGGGCCGACACGAATCCGAGATTCCCGCAAGTCAGAGAGGCCTTGGCACCCTTTGTTTGTCAAGCCTGCATACTCTGCAAGTTTGCTCGACACAATCCCATTCACCGTTCATTTCGGTTCTCGTAATCCCTCAACCCAACATTCTAGATGAGCCTTTCACAGCCCAATTCTGAAACCTCTAGAGGATCTCCCCCCCCCCATGTGACGCTGACCCTTGGATTCCGCTTCTTCCGCGGGGCAAAGTCGGGGCTGGAAGACCGAGCTAGGCCGACCTTTGATCGAATTCAGCAACGACGTCAATGTTGTTGAACGGACCATTGTACATGTCCACCGTCTGATTGGCGGGGTTGTATGTGAAGAGCCAATGGCCGAGCTGACAATAAGCCAAGGGGGGGAGAAGGGAGGGAAAAGTTAGTTTGGGAATCTTCTCGCTCTCCAGTAGTCTAGTCTCCCCGTTTGAAGCTCTCGAGTGGATTCACACGGCCCATATGTACCTGCGGGATTTCCCTGCGAACACAAACAATGATGTACAGGTCCGCGTGCCGGTGTCAAGCCATGTCGGAGGAGGGGGATGCAACTAAAATAGGCAATCACACGCCCCCACATCTGCATAGAAGGAGAGAGAAAGTGTGCAGGGAGAGAGAGTGATTGGCCCGCCGAGAAGAGGTCCAAGACAGCTTCGGTTGACCTGCTGTGTCGGGCCATGGTCAGGTGGCCCACTCTGGGACTTTTGTATGCCCTCACTTTGGCTCTGTTTTCTACCTGTATACTTTCTCTCTCTCTTTTCCCCCCTTGCGCTCTCCGCATTCCCTGTCAATGCCAACTTATTTGTTTTATGAACTGACCGTGTGGGCATATATACTTATACTTTGGTCCCACTTGGAACGGGAACAACCTTAGACTATACTGTAGACCCATCTTTTTTCGGATATTAATAACGGTCAGGTATTCAATTAAATTCTCAGACAATGGTACCAGAGTGAAGCTCCGATCCAAATCCGCAGAGCACGATGGGCCTAGCTTGGTACCCATGGACTTGGACTTGCAGATGTCGATCTAGCCAACTTTTACTCGGTGGATAACCCGTAAAAGCTCGTACCTGGGCCAGGCAACGAGACTAGCAGGGGGGATGAAAATCCGTCTAGCGTGACCTTGGGCCGTTTCAGCTGGTTAAAATGGCTAAACGGGCTCTCGTAACAGCTATTTCCTTGTTGGTCTTCCGGCAGAACTCTGTCTCTCGCCACATTCCACCCCTTTTTTTCGGAGTCTATTGTGATGTGAGTCCAGAGTCCATTCGGTTAATTGCGTATGCTACAATAGTGATTATCATATCTATGTCGAAATGGCCCTTTTATGTTATTTTATTTTTTAATTCCCTGCAGCGGATGTCCGTGCTGCCCAGACGATCTGGCCCACTTACCCCAGATTGTGAAAATTTCCAATCTGACGGATGTGAGGGCGCTTAGGCCTTGGATAATATCTCCCATTTCCGGTCTGAGTTTTGTATAGCGTGGGGGAGAGGGGGGGAGGGGGAAGGATCGGACTCAGCTTAGAATGGTTCATCATGCGTCAGTACACATGATCAGTATCAAAAGTTTAGTCATTTCCGAAGGCCAGAGATGTAAGAAACTTTACTTTAGAAATGATCAAGGGGGCCGGTTTTTTTTTTTCACTATTACGAATCCCGCGTCATGCCATCTGCATCTCCGACATATCCCCCAGATCAGGCAAAGACAAGAAAAAACAAATAAAAAAAACAAGAAAATAAAAAAAGCAAAATAAACCGAGAGTGAGAGTAAGAGAGAGAGAGAAAATTAATCACACAGCCTCGTAACATGTATTGCTTTTTGGGCGTCCGATCATGCCTCCCCCGCATAAGTTAAAGTGATTTTCGTAGATCAGAAAAAAAAAAAGTGATCCTATTCTATTATTCGATTATATGACTACTTAGGACGAGACTATATTCTCCCCTCTTTGCCAAAAGTCCCTAGATCAGGTGGACCAAGCACCTTCCCCTCTTATATCCGACGAATCCCCTCCCATCTTCATTTTCTCCAGCTCATGTTGTCAATGCATCCTTTCTTTTCAAATATCGAGGGTTCGGACTACCCTCATCCGAGGGGTAGCACCTCCAACAGCAGCAGTCCGGATGATACCTCGACGGATTCCCCCGACTGGAATGACGATAAGGTCGAGGTCTATCAGGAGATGGAGGTGCCCAAGGTGGAGGAAATCGATGAGGATATCTTGAGCATCAAACCTGCCGAGGTGGGGGACTCGGCCGCTCCCGCTGCCGTCCCACGGAAACGTGGTCGACCTCGCAAACATCCGTTGCCAACAGGCGCCAAAGTCACCAAAGGTCGCTCCAAAACAGGTTGCATCACTTGTCGCAGGCGCAAGAAGAAGTGCGATGAGACAAAACCTGCGTGAGTTCCCGTCTTCGCAAACCTTGCCGAAGCTGGTCTGGGAGAGTGGTCTTGGCTAACGTGGTCGCAGATGTCTCAACTGCCAGAAGAATGCGGTCGTCTGCGAGGGCTATCCGCCCAAAGAGATCTGGAAGAGTGGGCGACAAAAGCTCGCCGACGGTAAGGGACATATTAGTTCCAACTTCCTTCACTGAAACTGACTTCATTCCAGTTGTATCCCAGTCCCTTGCAGCAGTGCCGCGCAGCTTACCCCTCCTCATCGACGGCATCGAAACCGACATCGATCGACGCTTCTTGGATCACTTCGTATACGGCTTCAGTCGCGTACTGACACTGATTAATGATGATTCAAATCCCTTCAAGGAGATTCTGCTCCCGATGGCAACCCAACACCGCGGTCTGATGCATTCGCTCATGTGTCTATCCGGGTCACACCTGTCGGGCCTGGACCCTGAGCCGAAGCTGAAGGAGCGCAAATACTATCACTTCCATCGCGCAATCCAGGATCTCAAGGATAATATCAATGCCTCCTCAAACTCGTCCCCCAAGACCCCCGACGCCGAACAACAGCTTTTGGTGGAGGACCCCATAATAGCATCCACCATCGCTCTGAGTCTGAACACCATCTGCGAAGGTGAAACCAACGGCGAATACCGCCCGCATATGGATGCCGCCCGGTATCTGTTGGTATCACAGCAACCGCGAAATGAAAAGTTCCGCCAATTCATAGTCGAGTTCTTCCAGTACCACGATGTTTCAAACTCCCTCACTTCGCTGGACCGACGCCCAGCTCTCTTCCACAGCAACATGAATATCCCCAAGTTTGTACCGGGCGCCTCCGCCGGTATGTTTGTGGGCGTCTTTGATGGTTTATTCAACTACATCTCAGAGGTCACGCAGCTACGAGACCGCATTCGTCAGCGGATGGATGAGGGATATGAACCAGCGGTAGACTATCAGACTCTCAGCGAGGCGGTTTCGATCGATACGGCTATCCGGAACTGGGAGACCTCCCACGAGCCGGACACACCAAACTGGTGCTTGGCCCAGCTGTACCGACAAACGACCTGGGTATACCTATACCGGACTATCCGGCCCTCGCGACCAAGTGAAAAGATCGCCCAGGTGGTCGATGATGGCCTGGGCTATCTGGATCAGCTGCCACAAGACGCTGGCGCTTACAGTATTGTGCTAATGCCACTATTCTTACTCGGTTGCTCGGCATTTGTGCCCGAGCAACGTGAGCGTCTCAGAACAGGCTTTGAAAATCTCAAGTCCTATTCCAACCTGCGAAATATCGAGCCTGCTTTCAAGGTTGTTTCGCGGGTTTGGGAGGTCATGGACACCAATATCGAGGATAGTTGGGACTGGGAGAAAATCATTCGTGACATGAACATGGATTTCTTGATCACTTGATTATCCTGGCCTTTGCTTCTTCTTCTTTGATACCCTCGACTTCTATTTCGATCCCTCTCTTCTCAATTATCCTCGACTTCCCTCCCCAACTTTCCTTTCTCTTGTTTGATTTTTCGACTACTGTCGTCCGGAAGGTGGTTTCGATTTTTGCTTTCCGAGCATAATGATAATGGCCTGGCCTGTTTACTTTTTTATTTTTTCTTTCTCCTTTTTTTTTTTACTTTCTTTCTTTCTTACTGTGATTATATTTGCATTTGAGGAGGTCTGGGGGTGAATGATCATGCTTGGGTTTTGCGAGGCACAGTGCGCCTCGTGCGTCGAAGGCGTCCCTCCGCATATTTCCAAAATTCCTCCCCCAGCGAAAAACAAAAAATCCCCGATTGGTGTACGTGTTCCATGGCACATAGGACAGGTGTTGGATGATCTCACGAGTACGAGTGACGCAGGCGCTGAGCGAAGAACTACGAGGTTCTGGTTCTGGAGATTCTGGTTCTGGTGGTTCTGGTTATTGGCCCAGGTTGTATATATCTTTTTTTGTGTTTTATTTTCCTGGGGTTTCCATATGCATGTGGCAGAATAGGGAATAGCCTTTTCTTGTTTCGCTTTGTACAGTATACATATGAGTCCAGACTCGGGGATCGACCCCCTTACTTTGACTGTACTTCCATTGGTGGCAGGGTAGCAGTGTCATATTAACTCTCGAGGCAAGTTGACCCTGTTCCCCGTGTTTAGTGTAGTTTGATCGAATTTGATTCAATGTTGACAGCTCCTCGCTTATGCAAGGACCCCCACGTTATGGCTGATTCGCCAATCACAGAGAGTCCGGGGTTCAGGAGAATTACTGTATCTTTTTGTGCTGTCCCGTGTTTGCTGGTCATCCTGCGGTCATCGGTATACCCTGCCAAGGGCCTGAACATTTGTCAAATCCTGGAGAAATCACCCGGAGCCTGAACATGGGTCAATCATCCGATCTGTATCCCATTGCATCCCGATATCACTGTGCCACCCAATGCCCCAACCATAGACATGGAAAAGGACGCAAGTGAAATAAGCGTCGTGAAACATCCGACACATCTGCACGATGCAAGCGATGCAAAAGAGGCAGCCAACAACCTCTGCCTCCGCGCCGTCCACCCGACAGACATAACCGTGACCAATCTTTCTCTCCAAGTCAACATCGCACCACCAACATGGAACCCAATATGGAAACTGCGCCACCGACTCCTACCCAGCCAACCAACCCAACCCAACCCACCAACCAAAACAGTCCTATCCAATATCACCGCCGCAATGCCAACAGGAACCCTAAGCGCCATAATAGGAAGCAGCGGCTCCGGCAAAACAAGCCTATTAAACCTCATGGCCAATCGCATGAACCTATCCCGCACCCAAGTCCAAGTCTCTGGAACAACAACCTTCAACAAAGAAAGAAACATCAACCACATCCGCAGCGCATACGTCATGCAAGAAGACGTCCTAATCCCAACGCTGACAGTGCGCGAAACCCTGCGCTACGCGGCCGACCTGCGCCTCCCCAGTCCGACAACGGCAGGCGAGCGCCACGACATTGTCGAGCAGGTCATCCTTGAATTGGGGCTGAAGGAGTGCGCAGATACGCGCATTGGCACGGCGGCGCATAAGGGCTGCAGTGGGGGCGAGAAGAGGCGTGTGAGTATTGGAGTGCAGCTTCTTTCGAATCCGTCGGTTTTGTTTTGCGATGAGCCTACTACCGGGTTGGATGCGACGAGTGCGTTTCAGATTGTGAGGACGCTGAAGAGGTTGGCGAGGGATGGGAGGACGGTGGTTGTTTCGATCCATGCGCCTAGGTCGGAGATCTGGGGGCTTTTTGATCGGGTTGTTTTGCTGGCGAGGGGGGAGGCGTTATATAGTGGGGAGGTGGAGGGCGTTCTGGGGTATTTTGAGGGTCTTGGGTTTGTGATGCCTGAATTTGTTAATCCTGCGGAGTTCTTGATTGATCTTGCTGCTATAGATCGGAGGAGTGGGGAGTTGGAGGAGGCTTCTGTGGCGAGAGTTGAAGGGTTGAGGGATGCGTGGAGAGTGAGGCAGGCTGCTGATGCGGTGGTGCGTGAAGGTGAGGATCATGGCGAGGGTGGGGAGAAGATGGCATCGACTTCTTTGGACGCTCAAGCGGGCACGATGAAGAAAGTCTCCTTTCGTCGGCAGTTTCGTGTTTTGACTTCTCGCACTTTCACGACTACGATTCGTGACCCGATGGGCGTTGCTGGTAGCCTGCTTGAGGCCATTGGAATGGCAGTCATCAATGGATGGATCTTTCTGCAGCTTGATGAGAGCCAGGCGGGTATTCGCTCTCGGGAAGGCAGTCTCTACACTGCCAGCAGTTTGAATGGGTATCTCATTCTGCTGTATGAGACTTACCGTTTGACCATCGATATTCGGCTCTTTGATCGTGAGCGCAATGAAGGCGTGGTTGGCGTGCCAGCTTTTCTTCTCAGTCGGCGTGCAGCTCGATTGCCTCTGGAAGATCTTCCTGTGCCGTTAATATTCTCTCTGATATTTTACTTCATGGTTGGATACCGACTTGACGCAAGTCAGTTCTTCGTCTTCTTCGTTCTCACCTTACTCACTCATTACGTTGCCGTCACCTTCGCTGCAGTGGCTATTGGCATAGCGCGCAGTTTCCCCGGTGCCAGTTTGGTGGGCAATCTGTGCTTTACATTGCAATCCTTTGCTTGTGGGTACTTTGTGCAGTCCAACCAAATCCCTGTTTATGTGAGGTGGCTCAAATGGTGTGCATACACCTTCTACATCTTTGGTGCACTGTGTGCCAATGAGTTCATTGGATTCAACGGCTCTGAGACAGGCCAGTTCTACGACTGTCCTTATTCCGATGATCCCTCTGACCCGGCTTGCAAGGAATACACCGGTAGATATATCATGCAAAGTCTTGGATTGCCTCCTAATTGGATCTGGCGGCCAATTGTGGTGTTGATCGCATTTGCCGTGGGTCACTATCTGGTTGCTGCTCTATTGCTGCAATACAATCGTTTCGCTATCAACGTTGCCCAAGCAAGGACAACCGAAGGGGAGGCTTCCAGCAAAGCCAAGACCGCAATCCGCCCAACACAAGAGACGCGGAAGGTTTCCATCTCGCTCGATCAGTACTCTTTAGAGATTCGGAAGGGACGACTCCCGTGGCGGACGGCGCAGAATCTTCAGATTCTCAAGCCTATTACTGCTGAGTTTGAACCAGGTCAATTAAACGTGATCATGGGTCCATCTGGCAGTGGAAAGACATCACTTCTTAACTCAATAGCATGCAGGCTGCATGGATCCATAGGGACCCGATACTGCATTCACGGCAACATGCTCTACAACGGGGCTGTCCCATCAAAAAGTGTCATTCGATCCGTGACTTCCTTCGTCACACAAGACGACGATGCCCTGATGCCCTCCCTCACAGTCCGCGAGAGTCTCAAGTTCGCCGCTGGCCTCCGCCTTCCAAATTGGATGACCCGAGAAGAAAAGAACCGACGCGCCGAAGAAATCATGCACAAAATGGGACTAAAAGAGTGCGCTGAAAATCTCATTGGCAGCGACATCATCAAGGGTATAAGCGGCGGCGAGAAACGCCGTGTCTCAATTGCAATTCAAATCCTCACAGACCCAAAAGTCCTCCTCCTTGACGAACCAACCTCCGGCCTCGACGCTTTCACAGCAATGTCCATCATTGAACTACTCCACGGCCTCGCCGCAGAAGGCCGCACACTCATACTCACCCTCCATCAATCTCGCTCAGATCTATTCACCCATTTCTCCCAGATCCTCCTCCTTGCCAGAGGTGGATATCCTGTTTACGCAGGGAGTGGTGAGAACATGCTCTCACATTTCGCTGCACTAGGCCATGACTGCCCACGCACAACCAACCCGGCAGATTTTGTCTTAGACCTCATTACCATAGACCTCCAACAGGCAGACCGTGAAGCCGTCACCCGGAAACGTGTGCAGCATCTCATTTCCAGCTTGAGCAAGACAACAGTCGATCCTATGCGCAATACAACGCAGATCGCCACGCCCGCAGAGTTGGGCAGTCTCAAACGCCAGATGCTTTCGTTTCGCATGACATTCCCCTTAGTGCTTCATCGCTCGTTTATCAATTTCTGGCGCCAGCCACCACTTATCATGGCGCGCGTAATGCAGATACCTGGTATTGCAATCATCATGGCATTATTCTTTGCCCCGCTGAAGAACAACTACGAAGCCGTGCAGTCTCGCATGGGATTTATCCAGGAGTTTGCGGCGTTATACTTTGTCGGTAAGCAGCAGCCACCACTCGTCCCGAATAGACCCCCCCTCTACTATACATTCGATGACTGAAAAATTCAACACAATAGGCATGCTCCAAAACATCGCAATTTACCCCAGCGAGCGAGACGTCTTCTACCGCGAAGAAGCAGACAACTGCTACAGCGCTTCCACATTCCTACTATCCTACACAACGATCGAAATCCCCTTTGAAATCCTGTCCTCCCTCATCTTTGGCGCGTTAGCCGCCTACGCAGACAATCTGCACCGCAGCATAACCATGTTCCTAGTCAGCGCGTTCAACTGTTTCTGTATAATCAGCTGCGGCGAGTCTGTGGGAATCATGTTCTGCACGCTATTCTCGCACGTCGGCTTCGCAGTCAACGTGACCTCGGTGTTGCTGTCGATATCGACCATCCTTGGCGGCGTCATGAGTCTGAATGTGAACGACGTCCTGCAGGGCATTAATCATCTGTCGCCTATCAAGTATGCGATTGCCAATTTGGCGCCGTTTTCATTGGACGGACAGGTTTTTACCTGTGATGTCAGTCAGAGGCTTGTTGGTGGTGGCTGTCCGGTGGATTCAGGTGAGCAGGTTTTGAAGTTGTATAATTTGGACAAGGATGGGCCTATGAATGTCATGGCGCTGGGGGTCTGTACGATTGTTTACCGGATGGTTGCTTATGCTTTTCTTAAGGGGATGAGGGCGAGGGGGGTTGGGGAGTGGTGGAGGGAGTGGTGGGCTCGACGGAGATCCGTTCATAGATGATACTGTAGAATGGGTTGGAATATACTGTGTCTACTGTAGGGAGTAATGACGATTTGTGATCGTATGCAGTGGGAATTGAGTTGTTTAACTCTGCAAATCGACTGTGAACCAAAGACGATCTGCAGATGACTCCTGTTGTTTCCACATCAAGGACTATGGACCAGCAACACAAACACTCCCAAGTCATTCTTAATAAAACGAAGAATGAGGGATCTGTCTCATACACATCCGACACTTCTACTGAGAGTGCGTCTGGTATCCATCTCTCTTCAAAGTCGACTTGACAATCACAGTCTTCCTTCTGGCCAAGCGGGCAATTCTCGATAGCGATAGCGAACGGGGATATGAAACAAAAGCTTGATAGGCTGAACTCCGCCAAAGGCCTTGAAAGCAGAATTTGGTGCAGGCTTTGGCTTTTGTCGTATTTCGAACAACCCTGTTGTGGTCGTGTGCGTGTATATCTACAGAGGTGCTGGGGTGCCCGGAATATTCTCTGGGTGGATGAAATGGACGTTGGGTGTTGAATGATAATACAGAGAACTCTGGTTAATTCGTGAAGCCAGGCCTGCTGTTTTGGCATATGGCTGACTGAACTGCTAAGAGTTAACTAATTCACGTCAAGTTATTTAAGTTAACGTTGAGTTATACATGTATAGTTCAAGTCCAGGCCTCAAAAGCCACTAAGAAACTGGTCGATTTTGAGCGTTTTCAAGTAGGATATTTTACATCCAATTTTATCCCAAACATTCCATCAAGTTTTGGGCATTTTAACGTTCACTTACAATTTTGGGGCTTGGGGATTTACTCTGTGGCAGCATAGTAAAACAAGGTGTCTCATATCCCTGGGCTCTATCAGTTCAGGTCCATGCCACCAAAGCCATAAAAGAACCACACTGGCAGACATCAAACACTTCGGATCGGTTACCTTCCAGACAAAATACCCACGCCGAAAGTGCATACTGTGGACAGTGATGGACATACGGTGAAGCCTAACTATTCTCCAATTTATCCGGAGGCAGCCGGAACACACATTTTGGCCACATCCACAGCCATTGCCCCTCTCCGTCTACGCCCAGTCGACATGTTCCAACGTTCTAGACGAAAAAACTAGCCAAGCGCTAAGACTTGCCTAGTCCTGTCCGTCTCGGCATGGCGTGGTCTAGTGGTTAAGCATAACCCCCAAGTCCCTCTTAATAAGCAGGTCGCCCCCCCAGGCGTTCGGGCATTTAAGCGGTTCCATGGTGCGCCAGTCCATGGCGCGAGTCGAGAACAGGCGTGGGTGAACCAAGCATTGCATATCGCCTCCTAGGAACAGTCTGCAGTGGCGTCGTCTCGCCAATGTGAATGGCAAGTCGGCCAGGTCAGAGTTTTGTTCCTGTCGCTATGAGTTCATACAGCGGTAAGACACTGGGCCCTGCCATGACGAAAGATCCGAGTATGAAATCAGGGCACCAGGAACAGGAAATGACCTCACAGCATCACCAACTTCCAAATAAACAACTACGTAGCGGGTTCAGACATAGTCAAACAAAGTGGAATCCGAGAACCAAAGGTACTGTAATCTACACAGTAAATCGCCTCGCCTCCCCATTCCGACCTCAAAGCCAGTCAAAAGCCCCCATATCCGCTTCTCCGTCACGGATGTCCACAGAGGCGGGAAATGCCCTTGAATGGACCCGTAGTGGGCGGAGGCGTTACCATTTCCATTTTTCCAAGCCGGAAGATCGACTGCAAAACTTGAAGAGGGGACCTGAGGGGTGGAGCCAGATTTGCGAATTAGATCGTGTGCAATTGGGCGTGTTTAAGGGTCCCTGTCCATCACTTGGTCTAGATCGCGGACTGCATACGTAGATGGGTGTCCGTTGACTCCACATGCTTCACCACTCATACGGACTGATTTCTGGCAGTGACCTTCCTATGTTGGTCTTGTTTTACAGTCAAGGTTTTCAGTTCTCAGTAGTTTGTGACAAGTCGGAAAGGGTCTGGACTGTACGTTCAAGTTAATCTACAGTCTTCTATCTTATGGATCATTGAAGAGTTTTTTTTTTTTGAGTAAATCATGTATTCGTGGAATTTTCATAAGATCTGATGATCATCTGTCTATTCACAAGTCTATTTTTCTCCCCCAACATACATATCTCGTGTAAATCCAAAAGTTGGGGGGTATTCTATAAGTAACAGCGTAAGAAATCATGGCTCGTGACGAATCATCCTGCCCCAGTGGAAAATTCCACAATGGGGAGAAGACATGTCGATTCAACCGAACATGTTGCGTAACAAAAAATCACCAATCTCGTGTCTTGGAAAAAGAAGGCTATCACCAACTAGGGTGATATAGAAAGAAAGTAAAAAAAAGAGTCGCCAGCCAGCTAGGGCTAGATGCGACGCAAGTTGGAAGTGGTATAGGCATAAAGCAAGGATGCATGCAACGGGTCAACCGGCAACGACATCAAAAGCAAAGAATCGAAGATTCGACGCTTTACTGACCGATGGTCAAAGAGAGACCAGTGTCGATAGGGCAGCCGTGGGTAGCGTGGTCATCGGTAGGCTGGAGGTAGGCCGCAGAGCAAGCGGAGTCACCAGCCGCGCAGACTGCCGAGGGGCACGAGGAAGTCTGATCAGTGGGCTCGACAGCGAAGCCGAAGGAAGTGAACATGTTGCCAGCGTCCATGTTGATGCAGGAGAGATCCCAGAAGATGGTGTCACCAGCTTCGGTGTACTCGAACTGGAGGACGTCGGTCTGCTCCGGGTTTGAGGCCAGCTTGATGGAGACACCACCGCCGTTGGGGTTGGTCTTCCACTGCTCAGAGTACTGGCCACCGTTGGCGGAGAGGGTCACCATCTCACCGACCTGGTCGGTGACGGACCAGGCGTAGACGTCCTGGTTGAGGTTGTTGGTGATCTGGACACTGCCACCGGCGGCTCCGTCACGGCGAACGATGCCGTTGGGGAGGGCAGAGGCAAGGGTGGTGAAGAGGGCAGCGAGGCCGAGAGACTTGGAGAACATCATCTTGATAGAGAGTGAAGTCGTCGAGACTGGTATAGAGATATGATTGAAAGTGGACGTGGTAGTCTGATCGACAGATGTAAAGAATGCAACGAGAGTCAATCTCAGTTGAAAGAATGAAGTAAAGAAAGACGGTACTGATGTACTTGAAGTGAATGTGGGTTGATCAAGACAAAGAGAGACCGAGGTGAAGGGGGTTTATATAGATTTCAGGATGCAGCTTGGGATGCCCCAGACAGGTACCCAGCAACGTGCCAAAGCCCCAAAGCCCCAACTCATCCATGGATCGCTTCAATTCTGTGGGTCTCAGGCGAAAGGCGAAAGAACCGAAAAAGAAAAATATGGCAAATAATCCAGAAAGAAAGAAATGCAGAAATAAAGAAGTGGAACCGAATCAGAGTGGAGAGAGACCCTCGCCTTTAGGTTCAGAATCCAGACCGGCAGGTCAAGATTAGGCAGTTCGAGGTGTACTATACCCTTTGAATGGGCAGTCTTGCATGTGGGAATTACTTCTAAATGACGGTGTGAACTGTGAACTGTGAAGTATGAAGTGTGAACTACTATACGAGATCAGACTCGTCGACTGCATAGTTCACAACCCATCGAATTAGGGCTGCAGGGTGATACTATTCAGGCCGTGGGTATACAGTGCGTGCCCTAAGTAGCCGCTGCCACAACCGACGTGGCAATAGAAGAAATCGCCCCAATCCGCGTCATTCCATCCGGTCCCATCCGCAAAGAATTTTCCCAAGTCCACCGGAACAGCGTATTTCCACTGGAAACATGGCTGGCACCAATCTCTCTCATATTTGCCCATTTCTAGAGGCCTTGGCCACCACCAGGACTTCTAGTTCGAGGCGACAACCCCGAAGATAGAATCGAATGTTCTCAGAATTAGCAATTTAGCAGGTGATCGCAATTTCTTCTCATTATTGGTTTCCAGCGCTAGGATAGCGAGCCTCGAAGAATCACAAGCAGACCATATGACGCAGAATCAAGATGGCAATAGAACTTCAGGCAAAAAAAGACCCCAATCGACCAGGTCGAATGATACAATCATTCTCTCTAACAAGATATTCCCTGTCAGGTTGAACACGCTAAATCAATTGCCTGCATGCGACCACTATAATCATTACCAATCACTCTATATTCGGTGTAGGTTTGTGCCAGGTGTGTACGGTACCTGTCCCCTCCAGATCTCCGAACTTTACCCTACTAAGGAGGTGAACAAGCCCACTCCACGTCTCACAAGGAAAACCCCTCAAAAATGTCAACGGCCCCGAGCCAATGGCGGATATGTTGCCTGAGCAGGGTCTCCACCGGGCGCCTCTGACGTTGGACCCTGGTACCTGGCGATCAAGTCTGGATGCTGTGGCAATTATCGTGAAAAAATCAACCATTGCTCGGCAATTCAGTGAAATTCTCTTCCAGGGTCCTATTTGGGACTACAGCACACATATGCATGTTAGACTCTTGAATATTAGAAGTGGTGCATGCTCGAAATACCCACAAACGTTTTCAGCCCTGGATCGGTTGGAAATTAGGGCTCCGATCGCTCCGATTAAGTCACTTTAGTCCTGGCAGAGAGAGCCTAAGTTCCCACTCTTGCTGATTGGGGGCTTGAGTGGGCCCTAACTAGGGGAAAATAGGAAGGATATCCATACTGGAACAGGGTAGCTCACCGAAGCCCATTCTTTTCCTTTGATCTTCCAGAACATCTAGACCGCCACGGAGAACTGGGCGGATAAAAGAGCCATGTGGAAACTGTCTACAGTTCTTGGCTAATGATTATACAGGCACTTCATTGCCCTGTGGACCAAGGTGACAATTGGAGGAAATACTGTACACGCACTGTACGTCCTGGTATAACGTTATTGAACTGTGCACATGAATTCTCCAATGTCTCACGATTCTGTTCCTGTTTCTGCCGTTTCTTTTTTTCTTGTCTTTTCTTTTTTCTTTTTCTTTATAGCCGTTGCATCGCTCGCTCCACCCTTCATCAACTCAGCCACTAAACTATGTGTTCCCCTCACCCTCATTTTCCCGGCCTGGGCAGGTAAGACCCCTCACCTGCCCTCCCCTCCCCCCGCCGCCACCCCTCCAACCAACCCCCGTCCCCAGTCTCGCAGGTAAGCCTGCAGCCTAGCCGGAGGCACCGGCCTGCCACTCAGGAGGGTCGGTGTACCTGGCAGGGTGTGGATAGGAAAGCTGCGGGCTAATCTCACCTCACTATCTTGCTCTACCAATACGGAGCACGCATAGCAGACAAACTAGCCAAAGCACCTGAGCTCTCACTAGAATCGTCCTTCTTGCGGTGTCCAGCCAGCTCCATGTTTATCTGGCGGTGGATATGAACCAACCAGTCAACGTAGCTCTGGGCCTCATTATTCCGATCTTCCAGTAGGAGTCGGGCGAACTCGTACTCCGCCCCATCCATACCCTGTCGAGCCAGTTGGATCGTCACGGATTTGGACCCGCGCACTGTTGAGAAGTATTGCAGCAGATTGCGTACCTGAGCGTTCAGGTGCGTGTCCAGCACGGGAAGGGAGGAGGTGTTGGCGCTGAGGCCTTGGAGGGAGTCATGGCCCGGGCCAAATAGATCTTCCAATAAATTGGGCGATACCTGGGCGTGCAGCCATAGTAGGACGGCCTGGCCGTTGTCGATTAGATAGACGCCGCCTTCTTCAATGCGGGAGAAGCTGGCTCGTAGGGAGGGTGGGATTTGAAGTTGTCCGTGCTCGTTCGGGAATCCATCTTCTGGTTGCATGTTGTGGACCGGGATGATGCGTGGGTAGAGATAAAGGGACATTTCGGTGCAGCCGAATGACCGAATCATGCGCATGTCATGCACTCGGCGATCTGATGACTCGTTGCCGCCTACGAGAGTTAGTTGGAGCTCATATTGATCATTCCAAAAAAGACAAAGGACCCAACTTACCCTTGAACGCTCTTGACTTGACCAAGCTCAGCATGTACATTGAGAACTCCTTGAGATTCTCAGGCAACACCAATTGCCCAGGTGGGTGAGAACCAGAGAAGATCTTGCGGTATCCGCTAAAGATATCAACTGTCTTTTCCGAGATATTGGCCCGGATGTCCTTGAGAGTCTTGTCCAAAGTCTTGGATGCAGCTACAATGGCATCAGTAAACGAAATTGTCAGAATATGGTCATGTGCAAGACTTACCCTCCTTGGCGATGACAGCAACAACGGCATCCTGATCGACAAACTTCATGGTCTCCATACCACCCTCATTCACTGCCGCTACAACATTGATACAACGGACGCGCCGTTGGCCGTCTGCAGAAGTGTACAGCAAGGCGGCCTGGAAGTGCGCATCAAGCTTAGGGTCAAGCTTTCCATCATAGCTAAAGAGAACACCAATTGCCTTGTCAGCATCGATGCCACCAATCTCAAGATCCGCGCCAAGTGTATGTTGAACGAAGTTTCCATGGTAAGCAGACACCTGAAGCCCATTAGAGCATCGAACTTTCATCAAGGTTTGGTATCCAGTTTCACGGGTGACGGCGTGAGAAATCTCATTCCGCAACTTCAAGAGATCTCGAGGGGCATGGAAGTTAGGGTAAAAGAAGGTCTCGCCTCCACTGAGACCAGAGACATGTCCTGTAGATGATCAGCTTCTGTCTACTAACACTGGGGGTACTCGGAATTTCACATACCGACAGTAGCCACATCCAGATAAGTGCCCCCGGGGGCTGCCATAAACAGGTCAACGCCCACACCTGCTTCAGCGAGTTTACTTGCTGTCTTCTTCCAAGCTTGATTTTCTGTGCTAAACAACTTTCGCTCTGCCTCGGTTCCGTGAATCTTGGGATCCTCTCTCATGGACAGGGCTCCCGGGCCCGTGGGCAAACTGGCCATAGCACAGACAATCTTGCCGCCGGTAGCTTGGAGTGCGGAGAGTGCCGAGTTCAATGTAGGTAGCAAAGCAGACTCGGGATTCTTGATTTGAGAGAAAACACTGGGTATCTTGCTAAGAAGCGAAGTAATAACGGACCTAGAAGAAGTCAGTCATGCTGTTTCAAGAGGGCACGACTTGAAAATTTGCATACTTCGATTCATATGGGTCCACAAAGAGACCTTCGCTCAAAGGCACAAATGGCTCCTCCAAATCGGTCATCACCATCATTTGTGCATGGTCCAATGTTGCCTATACATGGGTGAGTAAATAGTTGCGCCTTGAAAGGAAGGGATACATACGGTCAGGTTGTAGAAGTGAATTTCCCTGTCATACGTGACAATGCCGACCTTTGCCCCAGCAGGCAGTCTGCGCGTCGGTTCCTCGCCTTCAGTCGCAGATGATTCACTGCCATCGCCGTAGAGCGCGTCTTGAATACCTTGGCAAACACCCTTGAGGAATCCTCGATGAACCGACTCTCGGCTAACATCGATCAGGAAGAGTGTCTGCAAGCCAACAGGTTCCTTGTTCCAGTATTCCTTGGGAACAGTAAATTCGACGGTTCCCATCATTAATTCCGGCCGCTGCATGCGATCGACACGAGTACCTGCGGGGTCTAGTGGCGCAAAGTATTCGGGAGGTGTATCGTTCGGGAAAGTGCACATATTACAAACGAACTTGCTGCCGCCAGATCGGAAGGACATGAAAGGGTTGATATAGGTTCGGCATCGTCTGCATCGCGGGGGACCAGAATCCCCGAAGTCCAGCACGGGGATTGGTTGTTCGCCAGGGTCCAGAGGTGCGAGAGGCTGGAGGATCATGCCCAATGGCAAGCCGGTTGAGGAGAGGAAGTCGGAGGCGGAGGGGATATTGTTCAACGTTAGGCGAGCGTATTTCGGAGAAGAATTGCCTTGGTCCTGTGCCACGAATGGAATTGTCGCTGGCGGAGGGAGATGTTGGTCCATAGTCGGGTAGACATGGTTGAAGTAGTACTGAGCAGGCAAATCCCGCGATCGTGGAATACTGGGGATATGCTCAGGGTCAATTCGGCCTTGGGTAGGGACTGAGCCTGCGCCGCTTGGCATACCAGGCTGGGATGTAGCTTGTCCAGATACCAACCCTACTGCTGGAGAGACTGGCCGGTCTTGGTTCAGGCCCGTATTCAGACCCGTATTCAAGAACTGCGACGGTTGCTGTTGGAGGCCTGCTTGGTCCATGCCACTGTTGAACCCTTGCGGGGGTGCCGCGGCACCCCCTCCAATATCATGGTGGGCATGGCGGGACTTCTTCTTGTGTGTCCTAGCCCCCGCGTCCGCTGCAATTCCCAGACCACCCATCTGCGATGCCAGTCCTGACATTCCCGGGTCTCCTGCGACACCCGTTGGTGCTTGTTGTCCATTGTATGCGACATCTGATCCCGGCGCTAACCCGGGTTGTTGGGGTGAGCCATAGGCAGGCCACTGGTTCGATGATTGAGGAGCGTAGGCAGCTCCTGGCTGCGGAGGGGCAGCCGGAGAATGGGGAGCTGGGTATGCCTGAGAAGGTGCTTGTTGACCGTACGGATTCGAGGGGTCGTCACGAGAGCCCTGACCCATTGCGTTATACGAAGGATCGGCCATGATCGATCATGCCGTGAAAGAAAAACCAAAGAGCGAGAGAAGAGAAAATTACAAGAATTGTATATGGGGAAGTAAGAAGGAGGATCTACTCCATGATATTGACCACCTAAACTCCGGATTTACGTGGCTCCGAGGTCCTTCACGTGGATCCAAAGTATACTTCGGCTTCCCATAGTGAAGAGGTACTCTTTTCCTTTCTTGCTTCACTTTCTTCCCTTTCTTCCCTTTCTACTCTGTGCACTCTTCACGTACCTTTGTAATCTCACTTGTCCTCTATCCCCTGTACTCTATCCCCTCCTAGACTCCATATATTCAGCCCATTCGCCACCGTGCCAAGCTGTCAACATGTCGAGAGGCTAACCCTGCCCAACCATGCCACTCGGGCCAACGCTATTCCCGTTCTTTGTGCACATGCTAAGGCCCGTGAATTTCCTTCCATCGCTACTAATTCTATTACGCCTTGACTGTTTCTATTACGCCTTGACCGGCAGTTGTCTCGAATCAATTCATTTCCGCTTATCAAATTGCAAGCCTAATTTCCATGCTAGTCCCGTCTGAAGCTTAGGGCTTGTTTTTTTTGCTGTTCATCTCCCCGTTAGGGATCTCCACGTTGTTCGGCACTTCTAGCCCCTGGATCTGGCCTGCCGTTGGGAAATATAGATATAACACAAGTAGGGTAGACACTCTGTGAGTTGGAAGCCTTTCTCTTTTCTTTTTCGTTATCTTTCAGGGTTCCACCTCCTTGCATATCCTAGCCACCGCACCTCGCCATGGATCTAACAGTAAAACCAGACCCGGATCGCAAAGACAGGGACCCGGAAGATATACAGTTCCTCCAAGCGCCCCTCCAAGTTGCAATGGCGACAATCCACGATGATGATGAGCTGTTGCTGGCTCGAATTGGATATAAACAGGTACACCTGACGATGAGCAATTGCGGGGCACTATTTGATAACGATCTGGAGTAGGAATTGCGACGCGAATTCTCCAAATGGTCGACCGTTTCCTATGCCATCTCAATTCTGGGCGTGCTGGGCTCTGTGCCGGCGACATTTGGTGCACCGTTGTCGGCTGGCGGTCCTGCAACCGCCGTGTGGTGCTGGCTGATTGGCTCTATTATGGCCATGTGCATTGGAAGCTCAGTGGCGGAGCTGGTATCAGCATATCCCACAGCAGGAGGAATGTACTTTGTCACAAAACATGTCGTACCTCCCGACCAGGTTCCAATCTTTTCGTGGATTCAGGGATGGTGCAACCTTCTTGGCCAGACTGCTGGAGTGTCGAGTGTGGCATATACTGTCAGTCAGATGTTATTGGCTTGTGTCAGTATGAACTCTGATCTTGTCGACGGCAAGTATTCGTATTCACCGTAAGGTTTCAAGTACGACGTCATCAACATGGGCTAATGTGGACAGGACTGCGCTGGAAACCGTCTTAGTGTCAATTGCACTACTATGTGTCCTTGGAGTTATTTGTTCGCTAACTACCAAGTCTTTGCATCGGATAATCCTATGGTTTGCTCCGATTAACAGTGTGTCTCAATCATTTTGTTGCCTTTGGATGACCGGAAGCTAATGGAAGTATAGTTGGCGCCACAATCGCAATCTGCATTGCGTTGATAACCCTAACCCCTAACAAACAGCCAGCTTCCTGGGTCTTTGGCCACTTCACCGATGGCTCGGGATGGGGCTCCAAAGTATTCTCCTTTTTCTTGGGATTCCTCTCTGTGGCTTGGACAATGACAGATTACGATGGGACAACACAGTAAGTGATTTACTGTTCGCCTCATTGATCATTCTAATGCTTCGCAGTATGTCCGAGGAAACCCATGACGCCGCAGTGCGAGGCCCAGTCGCCATCAAGACAGCCGTGCTTGTCTCCGGGGCCTTCGGATGGCTTCTCACCGTCTCAATGTGTTTCTGTCTGACAGACTACGAAGGGATTCTAAACTCCCCCACCGGTCTCCCAGCGGCTCAAATCTTCCTCAACGCCGGCGGGAAGCGAGGCGGCACGGTAATGTGGGCATTTGCAATCCTAGTTCAGTTCTTCACAGGCTGCTCGGCCATGCTGGCAGATACAAGAATGGCCTATGCTTTCGCCCGAGACGACGCTCTTCCATTTTCAAAGTAGGATCTTTCCACAGACAATATATCAAATGCTGATACCACATAGATTCCTATCAAAAGTTAATCCACGCACCCATACACCTGTCAACGCCGTGTGGTTTGTGGTTGTATTCAGCATCAGCTTGAACTGCATCGCCATCGGTTCTACGCAAACTGCTACTGCCATCTTCAACATCACTGCGCCGGCACTAGACCTGTCTTATGTCTCTGTTATCCTCGCTCATCAACTCTACAAGTCCAAGGTCAAGTTCATCGAGGGTCCCTTCACGCTTGGGAAATGGGGTACCCCTATCAATTACGTTGCTGTTATCTGGGTCTTGTTCATCAGTACTATTCTCTTCTTCCCACCACAGTTACCTGTGACACCTGCCAACATGTAAGTCGCCTTGGTCGTGGCTGCTGATCTTGAAATATGCCGTTGACTAATTCATACCACACAGGAATTATGCTATCTGCGTTGGTGGTTTCATTGCTGCGTTTGCAATGGCTTGGTGGTGGATTGCGGCTCGAGGGTAAGATTCATTGGAATTCTCAACCCATATTACATCTCGTCCAACTTACTAACTTGCTTTGCCTTTGCAGGAAGTACACCGGCCCTCAGACTAATGACATCATTCAAGAGATTCCTACCGAGGATCACGATGATAATGAGAGTGAAGTGTCGGATGATATTACCGTTTAAGGGGTGACTCTGTCTCTTCACAGAATCTTACAGTTTCATTTGAGAAAAATAGATATAGAGATAACCCATATTTGGGACGCGGATGTTGGATAACTTATATACGCTTGGGTCAACATCTTTCATGAAATTAGCACGTTCGTCAGATTTGTTCCCTGCTCTCCATTCGCTTCCAAACCCGGGTGTAATCGATTGTCGCAAAAGTGGGCAGTTCAAGAAACACCTCATTTGAATGCCTCATAGTTAATGTTGATCATAGGTAGAAAGAGAAAAGGGCTATAGGGGAATAGATGGCCATGAATTCATTGTTCATGAAGTTGTACAGCAGTAAGTTAAAAGATAGAATTACATGACATGTCTTTAGCCTCAGTTGCCCGCAACAACAGCCAACCCCTCATAAATCTTCTTCTTGACAGCAAGGAAGCTGCCTGTTCCACGACCCAAAGCAGAATGGCCGATCGAAGACTGCGCAGTTGCTTCGATCTCAATCTTTCCAGTGCCAGATTTGCGGACAGCCACGCACTTGTCGATCAAGAGCGTTCCCTCGCCACGGAACTCGGCTGTGTGGCCAGCGGCTTGCATCAGCTTGCGCAGATCAGCCAAGCGCAAGTCGCCGACATGTAGAGGGCGTGCCATGGATCTGGTTCCTGCGGCCATGTTTGCAGGGAGAATATCGAGAAGGGGGTAAGTTTCTGGCTTTTCGGTTGATTTGCTGTCTTGCTCCAAGGCTGGGGTAACAGCTGAGGATGCTGCTTCGTCCTTTATCTGCTTCATCTTCTTGCTAGCTGTTTCGGTTTCGCTATCCTCGATAGTAGGTTCTGGACCTCGCAGTTGGGCTGTGAGAGCGACCACGCCTAGACTGCGGACGTGCTGCCAATTAAGTCGTCTGACGAGTGTGTTGCTCAATTTGACCATCCAGGCATTTGTATCGACACTGGCATCGATAATTTGACCGTTGATAGGCGTGAAAATGATAGAAGCAGAATCGAAGTGAGAATCGGTGGCATTAGCACCAGGTTTAGCAGCCAGTAGCTTCTTGCATTCAGAGGCCAAGGCATCGGTTTCTTCCTTCATTCCACCGACCAAGATCAACTTCTGTGGTTGAATGAGGGGGATCAACATTTCCAGACTACGCTTGTCGTGTAAGCCCATGAAATCGATGAATGCAATCCTAGCGTTAAGTGTTACGCTCTGCGGGTGAAAAATGGCCTTGGCAGGTCCTTCGAATGTCTGTCCGTCGGCTTCATCCTCAGACTCCACAGCTTCATCGGCATCTTCGCCATCAGTGGCAAGACTGAGATCATCATCATCGACCTTCCGTCCATCCATGTGCAGACGCTTTCGCCCTGCTGCACCGCCGGACAGCTTTCGCCCATTGGGTCCCACGGTATCATCCCACCGTCGCTTTTGGCCGAGCTTAGTCTCCGCATCGGACCGTCGTTGCTGCATGTCAATCTCTTCGCGTTCCTCGGCTCGTAGGTATTCCTCCGGGCGAATGAATTCTCCATATTCGTCACCCTTCTTTCTTGGAGCCACGAAGGGGAACATGCGCTCGCGACCCTTTTTACCACGCACGTCGTAATCGTAGACATTCTTTCGGCGAAGCAAAATATTGACACCAAGATCCTCATCACTGACGGCAAGTTTGCTGCGACTGGCGTGGGCAAGCGATGCTGAAAAGTTTAATGCTCGACCTTGCTGTTCAGGGTCCGAGTCTTCGGAAGATGTTGAACTCGATCCGTCATCCAGAGCATCTGCAACGTTTTCAATAGGCTCCTGGCCCCGAGTTTGTGATGTATCCTGCAGCTGGCGCTTAGTGGCAAGATATTGCTGGTATAGTAGCTGCTCTCCAGCGTCGAGAGGAGCTCGTTGCACGTCTGTCCAAGCCAATTCTCGTCCACCGCTGTGGACTTGTTCCAACAATTCACCATCTGGTCCCTTCTCCATGGCCACACCATCGCGTCGTTCCTCATACCACTCCCATATTGTTCTTCCGAGTTTCATCGAACTCCGAGGATCATCTGTTGATCTAGTTGTCTTTTCCTTACGGAAGGACTCAGTCAACAGCAACAAATTGTTGGGTCCTTCGGCCAATTGTCGAAGGGACTCCTTTGAGAAGCCCCAGTCAAGGGATGTATCGGATGCAAGAATAACTTTAGGACCTTGGTCTGCCAGAAGTTTTTCGAGTCGCTTCTTTCGCTCAATGATCTTGAGATGCTTGAAGTGGAACGGCCCTGCGCCCTTGTTAGAGCCCTTATCTTGTGCACCTGGCTTCTGCCCATTCGGCGCATCTGTGCTTTCCGCGGCTTCAAACTCGCGAACGATGTTCTCATCCATCCACTCGAGCATACTTCGGGCAAGCCGCATTGTGGTGGTGACCTTCTTGCCAGCCAGATATAACCCTGCTCCTTGGAGAACATCCTCTTTGTTACCAGCTGAAGCATCGCGCCAGGAGTGTTCCAAGGAATAGGCCAGCTCCAGAACTCGCGCACTTGTATCAGTCGGGATGAGAACGGTGCCCCCCTTCGCGAGACTACTACGGATCATATCAAGAAGAAGATCATCCCGCTTTTTCCGCCCTCCGGAAAGTGCCAGCTTATCGCCTCCCTGAGTACTGCAGATCAAAGCCGTGGGTTTTCTTAGTTGTTCAATAACCTCTGCTCCGCTAGCACCTGAGCCACCAAACCAAGCAGCACCTGCAACAACACTCTCGCGAGCCTGGTTCCAATCCATGGCATATACAATGGACTCCAGCCCATGCTGGATGTGCCATATTGTTCCACCGACGGTGTGGCCCGCATTGTAGGCTGTGAGTGTGAGCCCGTTCAACGGCGGCGAGAACGGTGAAGGGAGCGGTTGATGAGGTTGTGAATATTTGAGGGGTTGAATGAGGGAGAAATATCGAGAAATCTCTTCCGCAGTCGGTGATTGAAGGAGAATTCGGCTTGTGCTGCCAGCAGTTTCGGTATCGCGGTCGCTTGAAACACCTGCCAACGTTGAAGCTGCGCCCGGCTCTGAGACAGAGGTTTTTGGTAGGAATGTGGCAGCAAGCGGTGCTGAGGCGTAGAGGTCTTGTAGGAGCGTGCGACCAAAGGCGATGACAGGACTTGTGGCGTAAATTGGAATTTGTGTGAACAGAGGGAAGGTTCTGCAGCAATGAACCAGGGCACCAATGTGCGCCGGCGTAGCATGGGTCAATAGAATGAGAGAGAGAGTAGGGATATGTCTGTTTATTGTGTTAGTGCATATGGTTAGAACAGCTTCGTCGCAGTCTCACTTCTCGAGTTCCGCCAAATCAAGGGTATCGAAACCATCATCCCAACCAACGTCTACGAGAATCTTGATGCCTCCATCAAGCTCCAGAATAGATTGCGACGCCCTCGAGGATGACGATTGCGCGCCGAGGAGAGGAGTGAATGTAAACATATTGCGAACTGTGTCGTCGCTCGCAGCGAAGCTAAGCGCAACGGACTTGGACGATCGGTGTGATAATAAACCGAGTTTGCGCTGCGCGGATTTATATGGAGCTGCACTTCAATCAATCAAAGGAGGTATGCATTGTCGGAGGGTGTCAACTAGATCTGTATTGGGCGGATTGAGACAAAAGACCCCGAGGTGAAGCTCCGATACGCAGTTGCACTGTTTGTAAGTATGTCACATGACCATGGTTTTTCATACAATATAGATCAGCTCTACCAATCGTCATCAACGTTTAGACAATAGTCTACGTGATATTCGACTCTAGTGATTTCTGAACGGCAGTTCGAATCTTGCTTTCTGTTTCATGGAAAAACTTTTTCATGCAATGTTTTCAAACCTTCACGGCACCCATTTGGAAGACGAGCAGAGGATCAGAGCTGATGGCTTTTGTAGTCAATATTCCTGCAAATTTTCATCCAATGGGACAATAACTCAGTTGGGAGAGTGTACGACTGAAGCTAACTCAGTCTAATTTCGTAAAGTCGCTGGTTCGATCCCGGCTTGTCCCATTTCTTTTTGCATCCTTTTTTCTCTCTCTATGAGCGAGCCTTCCTTCCCCCTCATAAAGCCAGCATAGCTTGATTACATCATCAATTGGGACAATAACTCAGTTGGGAGAGTGTACGACTGAAGCTAACTCAGTCTAATTTCGTAAAGTCGCTGGTTCGATCCCGGCTTGTCCCAATTTTTTGAATAAATTTCATTTTTGACCTTCGTGAATTTGATGTGACTGATGTATATAAGTTAGCCATAGTTAGGATAGATAGTATGTACAAAGTGAGTGACGCAGAGAAATTTTTGACAACCTTGCACAGATCCCTTTTCAGGTCGCCTATTGTAAACCGAAGAGCAATTTATGCTATCTTTATTTTTTAGAATCCTCCTGCTTAAGCATTGGGCGTGTCTTTAAGAAGGTAAGGTGTAATTTAAATTGCAAATGGCAAGCAAGTGTTTTATCAAGACCGACATAATGGAAGTGTTCAGAGGGGTTTGAAAACGTTTGCTGCATATAGATCATGAATATTAACTTACAAGGCCTTCAGAAAACTCTGTAACGTCATTTCGCTTGAAAGCAAACTTTAGTCTACCTACTTTCAAGCAAAGCATTCATGATAAACTCCTCTTCCTACTACGACACTTAATAATCATCGACTACTTTTACTCTCTGGATAGGCTGATAGAAACCTGAGTCTTCGCAATTGAAAGCTTTACTCTCTGCCACCTAACACAAACATAGCTATCTTCTATATATCAAACGCCATGCAAATAGTTAACAGACTGTGACTAGCTCAAGTTATCGTCAGTCAAAATAACGTACTATAAAACAGAAAATGGTTACCACCGTTGAGTGCCTGTCGGTAGATGGTAGGTCTCTAAATCCCCTGGTCGTTGGGCCTGCTTCTACCCACCGTAGTAATTAGACCAACTACCCCACTCCCGGATGGCATTTAGCCTGCTCAAAGAACGGATACATAGACAGCTCCATTAACCTGTACTAGATCCAGCATGTTTTTGACCCTCAGACCAAGGCTCGTGCTGGTAAGCGGCCGCGCCTTTTGATTAGCGACGGGTTTGCTGCGTATAAATCCCTCGAGAGCTTGAAGTTTTGTCTTGCAAATAATATCATCCCCTGCAGACTTCCCTCGCATATTTCGCATAAGCTTCAGCCGTGTGATGTGGGTGTGTTCAGTGCTCTGAAGACTGCCTACCGGGAACACCGGGAACAAGTAGAGCTTTTCTATCAGGTGGAGCTAATGCTGTGCGGTTGGAGCATTTCACTTCCCTTTATAGTCGGGCACGAAACTCTGCTGGAACGCCCCGTAACATCAACGCGGGCTGGTCTAAAACTGGATTATTTCCTTGGAACCCTAACCGGGTACTGAAGGACATTAAGCCGCCTCCAGGAGCCAGTTGCTCCAACAGGGGGAATGTTGCTAAAGTGGCCCATTACTCTGACGGTATAGAGCTGCTACATAACCAACACAAACACCCACCACAGCTAACGGTCTAAAATCGCTATGTCGTAGGATATAAAACCAAGCTCGTGGGCGGGACGAAGACTCTAAGCTTCTCGCCAACTGTCTTGCCCATACAGCGGAGAAAGCATTCACGAACCTCTGCACTTCTTCGTAATGACCACGAGCGACTGTTGGCACAGAAAAACGAAAAACGATGTCGAACATCAAACCCAGCACGCAAGGTAGGCAATGCTAAAGTCATGAGCTATGAAGATATCATCGAGGCTCAGCGCAACCTTGAAGCAAAAAGGCCACCCAGGCTGGAAAGCGTAAGACCGGTTCCACCAGAGGACGCCAATCAAAGAGGGCTTGCGGTGGTTATGATGTACGGAAAGCTCAAGATAAATTACAAGGCTGGGGCTTTAGACATTATTGTTTCGTTATTAGCTTTTGATACGCCGCCTTTCCTTTTGCTTTTGTCATCTAGGTTACTTTTAGATTGCGATTAATTGTGCATTACATGTTTGATATAGTCTAAGAGATTATAGAGCAATTTTGGCATTTCAAAGTATGAATAAAGCTAGCGTGTGTCAGTGACGACGGAGTGATAGAAGCTCTCAGTCACATAATAAATATCAAGAAACCTTCAGCGATACCGAAGACGGCTGATACCTCAGCATTCCTCACTAGTCTGTAATGGTCTTTATGTACCTGTTCAAAGCTAGCATAAGTCAAAGTGCCGCAAATAATTGTAAAGACAGCCCAAAAAAACTATTGACTTTGTCTCTGAACATGATGCAGTCCTGGCAAGGAGGCGAGCTGATCAATATAACCGCCTTGGTTAATGAAGCCGGGGGTGGCGCATTAGCCATTCTGATCAGGTCCCCATGTCTGTCTTTTTGGTGTGTTAGAATCTCCAGTTGGCTTTCTAACCGTAAAAGCGGCCCGGCTTGAGGGGAAGCGATTAGCCGGTTTAGGGTGATTTCAACAGATTTGAGCTCCAACTCCAATGCCCCAATTTGATCATGTTTACCGACGAGCTTTTCATCCCCATCGAATAGCTCATATTCTAGGTCCTTCTTTCTGTTTCTAAGAGACGTAACTTGACGTCCCGTTTGAGTCGTTAAAAGGAACTCCTCAAGCTCATCGTCGTTTAACTCAATCTCTGTCTCCAGTTCTGAGTCCGGCAGTGTATCGCGTGGGAGGAATACATGACGATCAATGAAGTATGCAATCAACTGCTTTTCTGCGTGACATGCATTGTATTGACCATCTCTACCCTGATCGTGGTTGTCAAAAGGCAAAAGATGGCCCACGACTTCCGATATGTAAAATACATCATCGGTCCACTGCCGGCCGTCGACCCTGAGAGACTGGATAAAGGAATGTGACCATCCGCTCATAGCGCCAACGGAGGGATATTTCCCGCCTCGTTCCAGGCGCGCCACCGTCTTCCAACTTCGGCTGATCGGATATTTTTCAATTGGCCCATATAATACAAGCGAGTCTTGCATTGTCGAGTGTTTGAAAGAGTAGGACTCGGGCATGAATAAGGTGGAAGGTGTCCCAAAAACAATTTTTGACTTCCGGTTCTCTCCTCCGAGGAGGCGAACAATTTCCTGACGATCAATGTCCCTCCGGAATGTGTCCTCGATAAAACCCAGTCGTCGACTAGATGTAGACATGGAGTTGCCCCCGGTACGATGGTATATCTCTCGTCTGTTTCGGTGCTTGCCTTGAGCAAGATCAATGGCCTGTCGGTTTTCGTTATCTCGAATACTTTTGTCTGCATTGTTCTCGAGGAGAACCTTGACATGCTCGACCCAACCAAAGAGTGCTGCCTCCATTAACGCAGTCCTTCCACTATTGGCAGCAGCGTTTACTTCAGCTCCATGCTCAATGAGAAGCGATACCATCGCCGAGCTCTGCTCAGCTGCTGCGATGATTAGGTTTGTTCGACCATCGGTGAATCGGCCTCGAATGAACAAGGGGGCTTCACTAGAGGTGCCCAGATATTTCTGCACCGCTTCTACATCCCCGCTAGCGCAGTCACTGATCGGTTGAAGAATTCTTTGCTGTTCAAATGGGTCGATTCCGTGTCCTGGATTGATGGTGATAACCTCCTTCGCGTCTTGGTGAATACTCGTAAAATTTTCTTCTCTCTGTACTACGACCGTAGCCTCTTTAGCAAATTGAATCGCCAAACGATCAACACCATCGTCATCCTCCTTATCACTCTCATACGATACACAAATATTGTTATAACGTCCTCGTCTCTTGTCGATTTCGTACGCAACCTCTCCTTGATCGTTCATGGGGAAGCAGCATAGATAAGTCTTCATCTTCTCACAATCCGAGCATCTCAACTTCTGTGCCTTCCAGTTTATGCCGTGGCGATGAACTTCGTCACAGAATGGACACCGAATGTAGTAGTCGGTCGCATTCCACCAGATAACGTCGGCTTCAGGGAAGGTTTTCATTGTGGGATGATATTCACGAGCAGGGACAAATTGAATCGACCGGATGCTGATGACTTTTGTCAAAATGGTTGGAAAGAGGCAGACGGAAGGTATGGTAGGTGGGTCCAACAGATTGGGGGGGGTATTTGATGTTCCCCCGCGGGGGGTTCAGGGCATAGGTGTAGGCGTTATGCTGCATAAGCTTACCTCAATGAGGTTGAGCGAGTGCGGCGAGAAGCGGTAGCAGAGGGATAGACGTTACATTGTCAGAGTGGAAAAGAACCCGATTAGGATCCCAAAAAAATCAGATACCAGATCAGATCACTTGGACATGAAGCTCTAGTATGCAAAAAGATATGGGACAAGCCGGGATCGAACCAGCGACTTTACGAAATTAGACTGAGTTAGCTTCAGTCGTACACTCTCCCAACTGAGTTATTGTCCCATAACTTGATAGAGAGCGTGAATTTCAGCACTATGTTCCAAGGCTACTATTTACGCAAAAACGTGAAAAATGAGATGCCAAGAAAAAAGTTCAAAAAGAGGGTTCCACATACTGTAACTTGCCCCCGGTCCTGACAATGTTCAAACGGGAAAAGAGGACAAGCAAAAAAGAAATGGGACAAGCCGGGATCGAACCAGCGACTTTACGAATTCGGACTGAGTTAGCTTCAGTCGTACACTCTCCCAACTGAGTTATTGTCCCATTGGATGTTGATCGGCGCACATTTAGCATATAAGACTCATTACCGTGACTTAGATAGTAATACACTTAAACCCAATGGATATACTATCAATAGTACCAATCCAAGTTATTATTCATAACATCCATACACACCTATCTAATTGTTTTAAAAAGGTTACAATAGTAGTCTAGATCTTTTACTCCTTCGGCCCGAGCCCAAAAGTGAACTGCCTCAAAAGAGGTCATACCCTCCAGCGTGCAGAGAGCTACGTATTCTCCATCGAGATCCGCCGTATCATCTTTTCACTCTTCTCTGCACCAGCCACACGCCCTATGATACACGTACATACGGCTCCATGATCTCCAAGGCCTCCTTGGCCTACCTCTCTGCTCTCTCTTTGCCAATTCTCCCCTTCTTCACCATCCGCCTCTCTACCCCCCCCTAGGAACCGCTCCCTCTTCTACCTATTCTTCACTGTAGCCTACGTATATCACCGCTTGCGGTAAATTTATATACTGAAATCACTGGACCAATGTGTCTAACTTATTTAATGTAATCCACTCGGGTTCCCAGAGGCCACCCCCGCCATTTCTAAAACATATAGTATATGCAATATTTTAGTACCTTATATTTCAACAGCCGCATTGTTATTTTTATTTCACTCTCACTGGGTGGGTATCGATCATGCTCTTAAATATTATATATCAATTTCAATAAAATCGAAATGTTATTATGGTTTTAAAAAATGACGTTGCCAGGGGCCAGAAATATATATATTTATTACGCTCACAGAGTTGTAGCCATTTCTCCAAACCACAAGAGAAGCTAGGTATGAAACAAAAGCATAATAATGTTAGAAACCCCACATAGAATGTCATCGTTGAGATAGCAAGTTGGAGATGGCCGCTCGGTAGTAAAATACGTTACCACTAGCTGTGTCCGATGCGCATTAATAGCGAACCCAAAAAGAAGAAGGCGCCCCGTGAGTAAACAGTGGGTTCCAAAGGGGTTTGACCGGTGCTAACTTAAGGCCCCACTCACTGATCGAAAGCCTTGGGAACGCCACTGTATCACAGTGTAACAAATGTGTGTATTTGACCTCGAGTACTTCGGCATAGAACCCCAACTTTCGTATGACTGCCAGCAGTAACATGTTCTCTACAATAGCTAGTATGCTCCTCCCATATCCAATGACATTAGCTACCACCTGAGGCATGCCCAGGTAAGAGTGACTCCTATAAAAAGGTAAGATACGGCATACCTGCTAGCACGATAATGTGCCCAGCAAAGTATACTAATCAAGTTGTCGAGTTCAAACGCTTGCGATACACCACTGTATAACAGGAGTATTGTCGATCACCGACAATACTGCAGCAACGCGTGTAATATTCCAAGGTTGCCATCTGTGGGGTCCTGGAAGGAGGGGCAAGAAATTGGTCAATCCTTGGGCATTCTTTCCTGACCTCTCAACTTAACATCTCTCATCATTTCCTTGACTTCCTTCTCCAATTGAATTTGATCCATTCTCACATTGACACCTCGGTAATATTATCAACAATGGGCAACGTGCCAGGCGTGAAGGAAGTGGATGGCAAGCTTGTCGCTACAGCCCGAGATGTTCGTTCACTACCGTTTTGACCATATCTCAGTCAAACTGACAAGAAGCATTGAGATAGATTGAACCACCCACCGGATGGACTACTGATTTTGAAACGCTCGGTGGGGAGGAGGTGTGGGGAAGTCGGGGCACAATCTACGGAGTGCTCGGAATGGCGGGCATCAACGCCGTAGCAAAGCCCCTTTACGTGCCAGAGCCGTATACTGGTGCGAGTATCGTGATTATGGAAGCGGGCTCGCCGGCAACCTTCTACCTCTACAACCCTCTCGATGATTCCCTATTTCAAATCACCGAGCCTAGTGACTTGGCCAAGATCGTGGAACAGATCGACGACGAGGATAAAGGAATCAAAAGCCTGGAAACCCAGCAAATACTATAGATATATCGCCAAGATCTTGCAGATGAATGTGCGCTTCCCGTTTTTCAATCGTTGATTGCTGAATGGATTAGCTATTCCCAGCCAGTTGAATGTCGCGTAGTAACACATCTTCACGATAATTTCTGTCTCTATGCCTGAGAGACAGGTTGAGACAAGTCAATCAACGATACTCGTAGACTCCCCGAAGAAAGTCAAGATAGCAATACTATGAAACTCTGTCATGCGTATATAGGTGAATGTGTTGGTTTTAAAGTTGTTTATGTGCATCATGTCAGTATCTCGACCCATTTCCCACACCAGTGCCTTGTCGTGCCTGGAGTTGCCAGGCTAGATTTATGTATGTGCTCTCAATTCCTAATCATACGTTGTCTTATTATCCAAAAATAACAGCTATCTTATTTCAATTCTACTTCCACCTTGGCCACGAAGCGACTCTCGTTGTAGCTCCCCCAGCCTCCATACCAGCCCGCGAGACTGGTCATCTTAATCTTCCTCGCTCTCGCTCCCAGAACCGAGGCACTCTGGCGATTCCTCGCAAATCATGTTAATTTACCTCAAGGCCGCATCTATAGTCCAAATATCAGCGTAAGTACTTGTTCAAGTACAGGGTAAAGACCGAGACAATTGCCCAAATAGGTAAACAAAGGAATGTGAACCGCAAGGATCGACGAGGAATGCGATAGAAAATAAAGTCCTACTTACTGTACACACAATATCTAAACAGCCAATGACAGTGTTTGATGACGCCCCAGGAGATCGACAAGTAATACAAAGTGTATCACGATGGGCTCAAAAGACACACCACCTCTCAACAATCCATTAGGCACAGTGATAGTATACATCATCGCTTGAAAACCTTGAAGACATACAAGAAAAGACAAAGAAACATACAAAGAACGAGAAAGATAACACAAAACCAAACAAATCTGTACTCACCAAATCGTGCAGTCCTACCCTCATCATTCCGCTCCAGATCTTGATCCTTTACAGGCTCCAACTCCCCAGAACCCCCCACTTTTTCAACCTCCAAATGAGTAGACATGCGGCTAGTCGACGAAGGTGACTGATCCCGCGAATCTGCAGATGTACTTGTCAAAGACTCACGCATGAGATTGAACATAGTCTGAGGAATAACATGCACGTTCGCATTGCGCACACCACGGGAATCAGGCCCGATAGACAAGGATGGACGTCTATAGTCGGGGAGGTAACAAGAAGAATCATTGACACTGGGAGGCTTGTTCAAGATACTCCTGCCATCCTCCAATTCAAAGTATCTAGTATGTGGCCTGCCCGGCAGAGCTGGTAAGTATGGAGGCGGCGAATCTGCCGGCAGTCCGGAGGGCCCGAAAACAGCATGTCGAATGCGCTCCTCCTGGAAGGGATCTTTGATTGTCTGGAATAGACACATATATGCGTATTCGTAGAGCTGGTCGTATTCCAATCTTCCCCAGGACCAGAACTCGCCGGCCTCGAAGACCCACGTCCACCTGTAGATATCAGACAATGAACCAGAGCTGGAAGTGCTTGTGACACTGCTGCGCTTGGCATTGGTATTTGTTTCGGGGGAATATAACTGATGTGGACTGCGCTGTCGTGCGACACGCCAACGAGGCATCGGCGCCGTGTCGCCGAAATAAATATTGGGCACGACGATATCTCCAAACTGGCCGATGAGGTTTCTGGGCATAGGAAGGGCCACGTTGTCATCCCATAGTTCGTCAAAATCGAGAATCGGAGGATCCTTTGGTCTTATAACCACCGGAAGGTATGATGCAGGTTTATGCGCGTAGAAAGCCGGACTCCATCTTGGTTCGCTCCGGGAGTTTGTGATGAAATGTCTCTCGTGCTGGGAGATAGATGGTACATTTCTAGTATTTTTTTTATCTTTTTGAGAGACTGGAGCTTTTCTAGCCTTGGTCTTGTTGACCTTCGGGATTGTCTTCGGTTTCTTCGTTGGATGATTTAAGTACACCCACTCGTCCTCTGAACTCTCGGGAGTGAATTCTGACTGCTTCTTCTTCTTTTGAGAACGGATACGCTTGGTCGGCATTTTGTGTAGCTGATGTAGGTATAAGAATCTGTCTCGTTAGTTTCAACATATACAAGAGTATCAAGTAAACCATACCGAGTGTGATGCTGGAAAGAGCCTCAAGGATGACGAGGAAGATGATTGATAGAGAGTGGTCTTGGAACTGTCGCTCTATGTCGAAAGGCGGGGAGTCTTGTGTGTATGTTAAAAAAAAAGCAGACCAAACCAGCACATGCAGCATTCAATGGCTTACCAACCCAAAGATATTGACGATGTTACTGAAATGGCCTGTTCAGAGTTAGAATCAACAGTCGGACAAGGGCCAAAGCTTTGAACTCACAAAAGATAGACGAATCAAAAAGCCAACCCAGAAATACCAAGTAGAAAGGTATAACTTATATGAAACAACGAAGAGATCAGCCACGAAAAGTGAATGTGTGAGAGCAGCCAAAATATAATAAGATGATAACAAAAAAAAATAAGAATGAGCTGCCAATTATCGAAGAAACCGGAACCAGTGCCTATTAGTGAGCTCAAACAAACAAGCTAACCCTGCCCTCGAGCCCCAGATGGTTTGCACCTAGACCAAGACCAAAAACCCTAAGGTCCAATGAGATCAAGGGCCCAAGCACTTATGAGTAATGGCAATAATACAAGACTCTAGGATCGACACATTTCCCCGGACCTTGTGAATCGCTCCATTTCCAAAGGGGGGTTGGTTGCGGGTTAGGGTTAGCTGGGAAGTGGAGATAGTAATTGATGATTTAATCTGAAACCTTGGAAGGGTCAACCTTGGAAGCTGACATCAGACATAATGGAAAAGATAGCATTGAAATAACATAGCAAAAGCAAGTTCAAGGTTACCAAAAGATCCAAATTTCGAGTTAGACCTATTCTGCACCCGAGGTACGCCCAGAAAACAAACAAAGAGCGCTGAGAATTGATAGTAGCAACTCTGTACGGCGATGTTTAGTATCGAGCTCAAACAATTCCAAGCCCCAATCAGGTAATGAGCTCTATCCCTGGAATGTGAGCATGCTACCCTGCTGTCATTATTCTAGGCCTGAATGTTCTATGGCCTCATCTCGAATGTGGACAGGCAGGACTTGTCTTAGGACAGGAATTTATTATACTTTTTGTGAAATGGCAACGATACATTCATTTATCTCAGGAGTAGATTAATGGTTCCGGCATGGTCTCTTCTCATTGTCATATGTAGAATGCCGCTCAGCGAGGATAAAGAAATGTGCACATCAAACATACATGCGAGTCATGACTTTACAGAATAATTGCCTCGAAGTCTACGAGGTGGTGAGTTCGGCATTTGGGAACGAAAAAAGAAGATTCACGCCAAATTGGATACGCATAGACCGAGACACGTTGATCTGTAGATCTGTTCAACTACCCTGATTTTCACATTCCACATTCTGATATTACGATTTCCTCCACAAACCATGTGGAATTTGACATGGATACTGTAGTTGACTTCGGTTCTCCGACTATGCAGGTCAAGTGGAGTGTGAGCTATTCTGAATAAAAAAAATAAGATAAAATAAAATCTAAACAGCCGCGAAGAAAGATAAGAATATAATATCGTCATGTAGGTAGGATTGTGATTGCTGGCCCATATACTGGAATGCCAGCCCCGTCTCCTAAATTATGTCACACTATAGAGAAATCATAGTGACCACCTATTTCTAAGCCATTTTGGTTCGATGACTATGCATCTTCATTCAGACACCATGGCCCAATACTTACTGCCAGTATCTGGGCTCGTCGAAGACGTGGTAACGGTGACCACGGACTCCCTCACCACGGAACAGGGCAGGGAAACGGCGGCCGACGGGGACCATCTCTTCGGGAATGCGCATTTCGTTTTCGGGCTCGGGCTCACCGATGACGAATTTGCCAACCTGTCGAACGGAAAGATTAGATTTGAAGACAGGGTTGGGGAAATTGAGAAACTTACCTGAATCTCGGTGTCGGTGATGGTGTCCCGACTAATACGGGCATAACCGACGCGGTGCAACTTCTTAAAGAGGAGGTACTCGCACCATCTATCCCAGTCACTGGGGTCGATATCCTTCATCTGGCTACGCTCGCTCACGTAGGTGTTGTAGTTACCCTCGAGAGGCTTGGTGACGAGGTAACTCAACAGAATCAGAGGACGAGGCGAGTCGCCCATCAGTTTGGACAGATACTCGCTCTGCAAACGGCGATCTTCGGGGTCCTCTTCTTGACCGGAGTGGAAGACAACGACGTCAATCATCTCACCGTACATGTCGAGGGTAGCGTGGATGGCCGGTGCGAGCTCACCAACGGGCGAAGGCAGGAGGTGGTGGGTGGAGTTCACGATGGGGAACTTGGAGAGCAAGGCAGAGCCCCAAGTGTGCTTGTTGGGACCCGGACCAAAGTCGGAGTAGTAGCCGAGGTCTTCAGCAATGAACTGGGTGACATCCCTGTTACCCATGATGATGCGCTGGTTGTCTGATTCGAGGAATCCAATGACGTCCAACTCTAGCTCACCAATGACATCGCGCATGCGGCGCTCAGAAGACCACATGTTGTTGTCGAGACCGAAGTGGACGGTCCAGATACCCGCAGTCACAACCTTGTCCTCCTTATGGTGGGGGGTGTAGTCGTTAGTTGGGAAGCGCAGGTAAGCCACTGAGACAGAAAGTAGCTGCAATGCAGCCAGAACGTAGATGTAGTACGAACGCTGTCTCTTGCTGTTAGGGCTGACAGGCTTGTTACGGGAGCGAGTAGAGTTGGAGGTGGCGGCAGAGAAGACACCGGCTCCAATCGACAACATAGTGGTAATCATGAGCCAGTCGGTGTGCTCGCGAACGAGAGGACCACCGGGAACGAAGGCATATGCAACAACCCAAACGTGGAAAAGTAGGAGGAACACATAGACGATGAAACCAATGCCAAAGGTGCTGGCAGGAGAGTGGCGGACACTGGACACGATCAAGACAGGGGCAACAGCCATGATGTAAAACGCCAGAACGAGAGCACCATAGTATCCAGTCCAGTGGTGATAGCAAGTGAGGAGAGCAGCACCAAGAGAACCGAGACCAAAGGCAGTCCAGCTACCAGCAATAGCAGGGTGGAAGATACCATACACAAGGCCAGCACCCATGGCGAAAATGGTCAGAGCGCCGTGGGGAGCGGCAAGCGGTCCACGCACTGGATAACCATCCCACACCCACGAGATCATGGTGCTCGAGTCGGTCAAGAGCGACACGATGGCAAACATCAGACCACCAAATCCAATAGCAGCCAAAAGTGAAGACCCCTTCTTGCCACTGGCAGGCAGGTAGTCACCGCCACTGGTGTTTGAGCCTCTCTGGGATCTCAAGACAGCGAACAGAGCGATGAAGATACCAATCTTGTTCCAGCCGCCGTTCTCAGCGTGAACAATGGGCCAAAGCGGGTTGTTGGTCTTGCATGCAAACTTGGCAACAACGGACATGATCAGTCCAATGCCCCAAGCCATGATACGGGCCTCAAGCCGAGGGCTGTTGGCGCGTTCGGCGAAGAAACCAGCGGTCCATGCTGCACAAGTGGCAGCAAGGGCGAAACCAGTCACGAAAAGACGGTTAGCAGGATCCTGGAATCTGTATGCCAAAAGACCAGCAAGCGACGCCAGGTGAAGGAGGCGAAGGTTCTTGACGGCTGCGTATCTCAAGGATGGGATGACTAAAAGCAACGGGGAAGTGCAGCAAACAATAGCCACCTCATAGCCAGAGATACCCATATGCCACAGAGGGAAGTCTATGAAGATTAGACAGGATCAACACAGGCAAGATTCGCTACTTACACCAGACAAGAACGGGGAGAGCGGTCACAATGGTCCAGAAAACGAACTACAGCCAGTCAGTAATGCGCATTGGATAGATGCGAGTGTACACATACCCCATTGTAGACGTCCGAGGCAGCGTCAATGATCTCGGTCCAGAAGAAGCCCTCGCCAAAAGTGTTGCCCACCGACTTGCCCTTCCTATCTACGGTTAACTTCCGGGGTAGTAGTGGTTATGGAATTGTACACACTCTTTTTCCAAGACAGAGTCTGCAGTCGTCTTCAACTGCCTAATGATTGCAAATTCAGAACGTGTTTTCTTTCATAACCAATGTAGCCTTCGGCACTATACATTTGATGCGGGTTGTGTCATTTTGGAAGCCACGGTACATACCCTCTGCTAACGCCCTTGACATCTCTCACCACCAGTTCAAAGCTTTCAAAGTCCAATGCGGTGATCGCATCGAAACCGACATCGAACAAAATCAGGGACCACTCGAAGAAGGCGTACTTGGTGTAGGCTAAATTGAACCGATCAGCAAATCAAGTTTTAAAATTCAAAATTTTGAGGAAGACTCACCACCAGGAACCTTGTGGACCTTGTGCTGAATGAAATAGTAGATCAGAGGTACCAATGTTCCAAAGAACAAACTAGCCATGATCTTGCGGTACTTAACAGCGCGGCGGTTGTTGGGGCTGAGCGCAAGGCAACCAAGAGTCCATGGCAAAGTAGCAACCAGATACGAGATCATAAAGATATCATGCCAGTCATGGTCGTCGGTGGATGTAACATAGGTCCAACCTCCACAAGTCAAAGTACGGAAGATACCCACACCGGCAACGAGCTTGGGCAAAGTCGAATTGGGACGCGATGTGAGAATGTACCACAAGAAGACAAGAGCGAAGCGGGGACCGGAGGTAATGGCGATGAAGACTTGGAAGAAGGACCGTTCGGGATAGCGATCACCAATGGTCGCGGACACGGAGGGGAACCATTCGTCGGGGTAGCCGTAGTGTTCGTTTTGGACAATTTTGTGGTAGTGCAAAGCAACGCCAACAATCAGCGCGCTGATAAATGCTGCGTAGGCGAAGATGGTGTGAGACCAAGCAACCCATTTGCCATTGATCTAGATCCTGTCAGTAGTGGGCTCCAGACCATCGCGCGTCAACACTTACGGCGACCACGGCATCTCCGTCCTTGTATCGGGGAGCCATGGCGAGGAAAAGGCGAACCCGGAGGACAAGAGAAAAAAAAGAGCGTTAAGAAGAGAAGAAAGGAAAGAAAAGAGAACGACTCAGACTATCACGAGCAAACGGCCCCTGAGAGAAGGAAAACAATGTTCGGATCCCTCGGTGTTTCTTAACTGTCCTCAGCGCTAATCCCAATGCGGTCAAGCGTCCTCTGGGGCTGATCGGTGTTTTTTCAATGCGGGATGCCGACTTTTTTTTTTAACAACAGCAACCATGTCCGCCGCAACAGACAAAGCTCGGTTCTTCCTGGAGAAGTCGGTACCAGAGCTCAAGGAATACGAGCGCAAGGGGATTTTCAACAAGGTAAACCTGAAGTGCGCTGGCACGCAGAACAGCAGCTGATTCGCATGCCTAGGATGAAATTTCCTCAATCGTGAAGAAACGATCAGATTTCGAGCACAAGATCAACGCTCGTGGTGCGCAACCAGTGGACTTTGTGCGCTATGCTGAATACGAAATAAACCTCGATTCCCTGCAGAAGAAGCGAGTGAAGCGACTTGGAATTCGGTCGGCTGGACACAGCGGCCAGCGACGCATCTTTTTCGTTCTCGATCGGGCTACCCGCAAGTTCCATGGCGATTTGAATCTTTGGGTTCAATATATCGAGTATGCACGGAAACAGAAGGCACACAAGAAGTTGACTATGATTTTCACCGACGCTCTGCGCCTACACCCAACCAGCGCCGAATTATGGGTCTACGCCGCCAAAAATGTTCTCGATGACCACGCCGATATGACACAAGCTCGGGGTTACATGCAGCGCGGTCTTCGTTTCTGCAAGAGTTCAAGAACGATTTGGATCCAGTATGCCAAGCTGGAATTGATCTATATTGCCAAGCTAGTCGCTCGTCAACGCATCTTGGGTTTGGATGAGAACCAAAAACCCCAGGTGGTGGAAGAGAAAGGATTGGGTGACCCGAACGCCGATATGATTGCCATGCCCAAACTCACAGCTGAGGATATCGACCCGACTACGGAAGAGGACGCAGAGGTCGACCAGGCTGCGTTGCAAACCCTCAACGCTACACCTGCTCTGAGCGGTGCTATTCCGCTCACCATTTTCGATACCGCCTCGAAGCACTTTGATCACGATGATCGTTTCGGACAGGAATTCTACGATATGATGTGGGAGTTCCAGGACGTGCCTTGTCTTCAGAAGATCCTCGGACATGTGGTCGAGACTATGCGTGAGAACAAGCCCACCAGCCCTCGGACCCAGATTTGTTATATCAAGTTCCCCACAGCTGGAATTCCCGTCACATCGCCCGAATTCCCGCGGGCTCTTGGTAGCTCGCTTGCGCGCCTGAGAGAGTACCCTCTGGGCAAGGAACTTGCTCGTCAGGTTGTCGACTGGCTTCAGCCCGTTGCAGCGACCGAGAATTTGGATCCGTCGTTGCAGAAGGTCATTGCGGCCACTATTCGCAATGCGGAGCGTGCGTCGGAGTAAAATAGCATACCCAGGTATTTGCACTTAGCATTTAGGCGTTGATCGGATTGAATCGATATTCAGGATGGCGGATTAATCCTATGTTATTATACACTGCCTCAATTATCGTCTTTGCTTCCCCGTCGACTACTTTTCTTATCGCTGTGGAGTTTCTTCGATTTGATGCGACCCTCATTCTGAGCGCGTTGCCTGTAATCTCCGTTAGATCCGAACTTGGACTGGAACAGTAGGGTCGCACACAATTTCTGAACATGATCTCGTTGTGCTTGCGTGGTCTCGCCTGGGACGATCTCCTTGGCCGTGTTCTTTAATAGCTGGTAGAGCTTGTCAAAGCACGTCTCGACGTTATTAGCTTGTTTGCGCTCCTCGTCGGATTGGATGACGAGGCATTGGGCCCGCTCAGCGGCATATCGGGAAGTTCGTAGCGATTGGTACATCAATGGAGGGACTAATGGCAACAAGGAGTCGAAGGGGACCTTCAATGTTGCCTTGGAATTTACTCTTCCAAGCAGATCCAGGTCAGCATTGCGACCCAACTCCCTCAAAGATCAAGTTTGTCGGCTCAAGTGGAGAGTCACTAACTTGTTCACATTCTGCCCGCCCGGGCCGCTGGACCGACTGAACGAAACCTCGCAGATGTGGCGGGGGATGGTCTGGCGATTGAGTCTCGTCAGCCAGTCCCTGGCCACCTGGACCTCTGAGCGAGTCGCAAAGTACCGCAATTGGGGTAACGTTAGTATTCGCAGGGACCTCATATCGGAGATGATGAAGAGAAAGTGGAGTGGGAACTAAAAAAAGGGCTGTGAACCTGGGAAATGGCCACGCTAGTCCAATATCGACCGTAGAAGCCTTTTGGAGGTTCTTTGGAGACTAAAAGTGACTAAAAGCGACTAAAAACGACTACGGTAAAAAGACTAAAAAGACTAAAAAGACTAAGAAGCACTGGTCATCTGACTCTAATTCGCGGAAATGTCGGGAAACCTCAGGGAAACGTGTAGGCCCCTAGGTATGATGTATGTCCAACACCCCAGATCCTTCGATGTTTGTCTCCTTTCCCCAACTCATGACTCGTGACTCTCTTCCCTCTCCTCTGTAATCTGGACTTTTCACTCGACTTGCTCTCACCCGGTGATTCTCTCCTCCTCTTCCCCTCTAGGGTCCCAAGGCCGACCGACCCAATCTTTTTCCCATCGCCCCACCTTAGCTTGCGCGAAAATTCCCATCGGGCCGATCTTCCTCTTCACACCCTTTTGTTGTAGATGAAACGACCTCTTTCTGCTACATGACGCCTCCAGATGAAGTGCTTCACTTTCGCGGAAAGACCTTGACTCCGGAAAGCCCTCGACCGCTGCATATCCCGGAGCCAGCCAACATCCCCGTCTTGGAGAACCAAATGGACCCCGTCTTCAACGATACGTCAACTTACGAACGTTCAGTTTATAACCAGGTGCAGACAGAAGATGGCTGGCACAAGACTCTGAATGGTGGAGGACCGCGCGAGAGACAGAACGCAGGTAGTTTTCATGGACAAGACCGTGCGACGCAGAATGATATGACTATTGCTGCGACATACTACCAGCCAACCTCTGGGACGGAGGGCTCTGGCAATGCAGGGTACTCTCTCTCGGATTCTTCATATGCCCACGCGGCATCGGCTGCCCCGGTATCCCAAGGCTTCGCCACTGGCGAAGTAGACGGTACCAAGGGTACCGACCAATTGCCAAATCGCCTAGATGCTGAGAATGAAGATGAACGCCCTAATACAGGAGTCAATTTCCAGAGTCTCCTCGACAATCTCTCCCAGCCCAACTCCGGTGCAGTCGCCCCCAGCACCGGGGCCATGCCTCTAGCTGAACATTCGTCTTTCCATCAAGCACCCACGGACGAACTTCTCTTAACCCAAGGCAACCCTCCCCAAACTACCCATTACCCCCCAAATCCTCATCGTGTCCCCAACGATGAGGTGAATTATGACCCGCCTGCCCATGAGGCCAATGCAGCGCCCGCCTATACAGCCCACCCCAGTAACCCACCCCCAAATCAGTCCCAGCCCTTCTCCATTGCCCCTGGCACGGCCTCATCCGTCAAAAATCTGCCTCCTCCCCCGACTGCCAGTTTTCAGACCCAGACTACCGTATCTGAGGCGCGGGGATCTTCGCAAGACCCTGTGCAGGCCCCAAAGAAAGGTCGCGTTGATAAGCAGGGTCGGCCAATCAAAGGTATCGATGACGATTCCCCTTGGGGCCCTGAGGTCCAAAAGAAATACGACGAGTTCCTGCATGATGAGCGTATTTACGTGACCGAAGGTCTCTGGGACCGATTCCCCATGGGATCAAGGCTGTTTGTTGGTGCGTATCATCCCTGCTGCTATCTATATCAGTTATCTAACCGGGTTTCCTACACACAGGTAACCTTCCTACTGAGCGAGTTACCAAGCGGGACATGTTCCACATCTTCCACAAATACGGCAAATTGGCACAGATCTCGATCAAACAAGCTTATGGATTTATTCAATTCTTAGAGGCTCCCTCTTGCCATGCCGCTCTTGGAGTTGAGCAAGGGGCGATCGTGCGGGGCCGAAAGATACGTGAGTGCCTGAATTGCTTCCATCCAATCATTCAATCTACTGACTCTTTATCAGATCTCGAAATTTCCAAGCCTCAAAGATCTACTCGGCCTGCTCCAGCGACAGAAACTTCCCGAGTACCCCCGCCACGTCGCTCGCGGTCACCGGAGTTCAGCCGTGCTTCCGTACGACCTGCTCCTCGAGCTCCTGGGGATCGATATGACCGGCCTTATGAGCATAGTCGATTGCCTTTCAGCGATTTTCGCGATGAGCCCTCTCACCGCAGGCGCGATGATCGGCGTCCGCCACGATCACCATCCCCGCGACCTTTCCGGACCCGAGATGGATATCGCTCGCGCGACAGAACTCCAGAAAGGTTTGACCGACGAAGACGTTCTCGGTCGCCACGTTCTCCTCGGTCTCCCTATTCCAGAGATCGCCGCTATCGCAGTATAAGCCCTAGAGCGCGTGGTGTTTATGAAGGCGAAGAAGATTTACCCGTGCCTCGACGAGTGCCTCGTGATGTACCAGAAGTACAGCTTCTCGTCCTTGAAGAACTGGACAGGTGAGTTACATGCTTTCCGATTGACTTGAAAAACCACTAACTTCACTCAGAAACTTTGTGCTTCATGTCGAAAACGCCTTTCGCAACCGCGGATTACGAGTAGACGTCCTGGTTCTCGGTCCTCGGATTCCCCTTGGTGCAGCAGTTCATCGCCAGTTCATTGAAGGAGTCCTTGCAGTCGTGCGCCTCTCTCGCCCCAATCAAATTTCCCGGAAGATCCCTTTGCAATTGTTTGATCGGACCGCCGGTTTGGACAACGTTCGTTTCCTCGGTAAGCACCTTGAATCAGCCACTTGCCATTGACATTTCTGACAAGGAATCACAGACTATCCCGAGCTGGAGCCTAATATGTCCGCCGAACTTCTCGCTCATCAAGCTCAAGCCATGCAGCGAGGAGCTGCTCCAACTGCATTCGCACCAAATCCCGTTTTTGGTCTTCCCACAGTGCCGCCCATGCCCATTCCTCAGCCAGGTCTACCTGCGCTCTCTAACCCTCCCAACATTGCAAACCTCATTGGCTCTCTGGATGGCCCTAGTCTCTCCTCCCTATTGTCGGCGCTCCAGAGACCTCCGCATTCGCAGCCTGTGTCTGCTGCTCAGTCACCATTTGCTTCTCCCAACCCACCACCTCCAGCAGATCTCGCCAGTCTCCTGACCAATGCGAATCGCCCTCCGCCTATTTCTACAACCCCTCAGCAACATCTTCCTCCCTACAATCTTCAGCCCCCGAACGCGCCTGTCGTCACGGATCCCAATCTACTTTCCCTCCTAGCCAAAGGCTTGGGCGGACAGCAGCCGCAGGGCCAAGGACCATCAAGCCCCCAGGTTCAGAACCTGATGCACCATCTGGCAAAATGGAAGCAATGAATTTACGAATCTCTTGTCATCGTCATTCTCCTTTGAACTTGAACTTAAGGTTCAATTTGCGAGTTTCTTTTTCTCTGGATATTGGCGTTCTCGTTCTTGCATTCTTACCTGTGAACTCTTATTGCTTTATTCGGTCTCCTTTCCCTGTTTATTGTTTTCCTGCTTTTTTTTTGGCTGAAAGCCAGTCCTGCAACATTAGGCGTTTATTGCTCTTTATTCTCATGAGCCTACGGGCAGCAAGATATTAGATATAAGGGCAACGGGTGGTGTTAAGGGGAGTTTGATATTTCATTTCGAACGTTGGCTTCACATTTGCTATACTGTGACCAACTGCTTCTTTGCACAAACTGGATATAATATGATATTTTGCTTCTTTGCACAAGCCTTTCTTCCTGACAAGTGTACTTTCAATGCACTGCCAGCTTAGCACATACTTGTACCCAATTACAGTCCCCATACGTTCTAACAGTCTGGCACAAATCAAACAGCAAGGCCTTCACTTAGATCTACAAATACCAGTGCCGGTGTCATTGAGAGAATTCATCAGAATACGTGATAAGAGTGGATATGCTACATATTGTACAGAAAGAAACAGCCTCTTGACCAAAACCGCCTTGCCTTCTTACTTGGATCCCCAACCCTTCGACTTCAACTCCTTCACCTTGGCCGCATCCTCCTGTTGAATCCGCTCAATCGTCTTATCCCGGTTGAATTCCATCACGCGCTTTTCCTTGAAGTATTTGACCTGTGACCAAAAACCAGCATTAGTAAATATAACCAAGTAAGATAGTGCAACGCAAGCGAAGATTTGACTTGGAAGGTAACCAAATAGTAAAAAAGAAAAAGAAAAAGAGAAACAAGATGAAATCCCAGCAAATGGCAGGTAACCAAATAGTAAAAAAGAAAAAGAAAAAGAGAAACAAGATGAAATCCCAGCAAATGGCATTTCTATACGTACCCAGCTCTGCGAACAAGCAGCCTCAAACTCCTCGACCTCTTTCACGCACTTCTGTCGCGCCTTCTTGTCCTCCTTAATTCCATCCAAGATATCATTCTTGTCTAAGCATGCAAAGAATGAATCACGTCCTTCCCAGCAGCGTGCGCGACTCGTTCGGTCTGGTGCAATGCGGCCACCGTCGGAAGCAGCGTTCTTCGAGTCGCCGGAAGACCAGGGTGACCAGCCCATTTTGCGCAGGTGAGGTATTGAATGTGGAGGGTGGATGCAATTGTTGGAATCAGGGGTCGGTATTCAGTGCCGCTCAACAGTCAAAACAGAGTGGACAGTCGTAAAGACGCAGGTGTGTAGTGTAAGTGAAGGTGACGGAGCGGGATTCGAAAGCCACCGAGACCGCCAAGACTGTTGATCGCAGGTTGATCTCCGGTCCTTTTTCCACCTGCACACGTTCCCTCTATTCTACATATAATCAGAACCCAGAGAGCCCTTTCCCACCGGCTATCTCAACATACTCATCGTCATTCCCTCTGAAACAGCTACTTTACAGCTCCATCGCATGATCCTCTCTCCTCCCTGACGCCTGCCTCCACACCTTGATCTCGGGCACCGCACCGCACCGAGCTCCAGCACACCACGCCACACTACCGGAACACACGCACATAAAACACTACATACAAGAGGGGACAGTCCCTGTAGATATAGTTGATGCCCGCGCGCCGGCGTCCACCAGCGGGGTCACGCACCGAACTCCCTCCGCTGAAGATTATCCGCAAGATTCTCTTGCTGCAGGTTGCATACTATGCCTGCGCGACGATTCTCATTTTGTTCACGACGGTCGTGTATGGCGCGCCCTTCTCGCTAGATCTTATCTTTGGATGGAGCTCGTTGAGAGGGGATACTACCATTGGGTGGATGTTGGGGTTGGTTTGGATGTTGAATTGTTTTATTAGGTGAGTTGGCCACTTTCAGACAGCACAGCATATACAGAAGGTGTGCTCAAGGAGGGAATATATAACTAACCCTATCTCCCAGCGTCATCTTCCTCCTCCTCTTCGTCTCCCGCTCAAAGCTAGTCCCGGACTTCGCTCTGACAATTCACTTCCTTCACCTCGTTGCCACGATCTTCTATACCCGTTCTTTACCCGCTAATCTCCTCTGGTGGGGACTACAATTCGCCAGTGCGGCTATGATGACGTCCGTGGGTATGTGGGCCTGCCAGCGACGCGAGCTCGAGCCTATTTCCTTCGGTGGGCTCGGTGGTGGAGGCAGTACCAGCCAGGCTGGGTCTTCTTCAAGACCTTCTGCTGGAGATGGTCAGCAGGAGTCGAGCTTTGGCCGGGGTCGTGGTCGCGAGCGCAGCTTGCAGGAATATGAATTGGATGATATGAAACATGCTGGTGAGCGTGCTGTATGAAACTAACCTTTTCTCCCTTCTCTGATACATCCTTGACTTCGGTCTTTGGGAATTTTCTTGGGAAGTGCTGAAATTGAGTTATGAACGACTCTTTCTTTTGTGTTTCTTTCCCCCTGGCCTTCGGTTGGGTCTTTTCTTTACGCCTGGGTCCGTGAGGTCCTATTGATGCTTCCTTTGCCATTTCGTATACCCTTGCGGCGGTTGCATCTGTATAGATGGCGTTTGACTCTAATTGCTTTTCTTTTTTATCATTTGTTGAGTGACTTATATGTTTACTTAATATGTGTTGGCGTGTATTACTATTACTATCAGTTGAGCTGATGAAGAGCTGTATGAAAATGAAGCATGTACAATTGCAGAGTTTTAACTCATGTTTTATTTCAATATGGAACACCTAGGGGCCGAATTTATTCCTGAAGCAATATATCCACTTCTGAGATGTATTCTTTTTATGATGGTGAGATATTGAAAGGTAAAATAATCAATAGGAAATTCCCAACTATACGTTGGAAATATAATTTACTATTTTTTGCAACCCTGAAAGTGTGGCTTGAACATGTCGTCAAAGTATTGCCAACAACCAACGGCCAACATGGTCTGTAAAGCAGACTATATGCTGTCCATCGATATCACAGAAGGAACTTTCCATTGGTCTCCTCCACTAGCAAGTCATACTCAGGCTGGAACTCGGTATAGAAGTTGTGCTTTGAGATATCAGTATACCACATTCTGAAAAAAATACCTGGTATCACAACTTACAGGATTCTGAGCAGCTTCCGCAGTGAACTTAGCCGCGTTATCATCAATAATTATCTTTGGAACTCCATTGGCAGCCGCCGCATCGGCCATAAGCTGCGAATGACAAGCATGTTCAAGCATAGAGTAGAGAATGGCGGCCTCGTCGACGGTTCGACCAACGGTCAAAAGTCTGAAAAAGATGGCAAAAGTCAGCCAGAGAAGAGAGGTAGAGAAAATCCACAACGAACCCATGATTCTGCAAAATACAAGCGATATTATCCGGACCTAATGCTTTGGCAATGTTCTTCCCCTCCTCGGAAGAAAGAACAATACCTCCATGGTCTTCATAAACACCGAGTCGACCAAAGAAATTACAAGAATCTAAATCAATCCCGCATTAGCACCAACCGAACCTTCCAATGTGTCAGAATCAAGATTGGAACCAACGAACCTTGAGTAAGCATCTCAATTGGCTTTCCAAATGAGCTCCATGTCTTCCCATGGATACCGTGCGTATGCGCCGCTGCAACAACATCAGGCCGAGCCTTGTGAATCTCAGAATGGATCAAAAATCCGGCTTCATTGACTGGCAGCTGGGCACCACCGTCAACAACGAATCCATCTGCGTCTAGCAGTACAAGATCGGAGGCTTTGATGGTTGAGAAATGCTTTGCGAAGGGGTTCATCCAGAAATGGTCTGCGAGAATGGGGTCTATAGACATTTCGTGTCAATATCAGGCTCGATCTCACTGTTATATTTCATTCTCCATGTAAGAAGAACGAGACCAGAGAGCCAACATAACCAGCCGCAGATCTGGATATTTGGTACATACCTCGCATCGAAATATGACCCGAAACGCCCTCGTTATAACCCAATTTGCCAAAGTAGCGGAATGCAGCAGCCATATGCTCCTTCATCCATTGGCGCTTTTCTTGGAGATTCGTGAAGGTGGGGATGCCCTGTAGCTTGAGACCTCCATTGCGGGTTCCCCGGGCCAGACCTTGGAATGTGGCATCGTTTGCTGAGGGGAGTGCGGGGAGTTGGTCTTTGCTAGTCAGGCGCACCAATTGCTCGGTTTGGGTTGTTGTAGATGCTGACATTGTTAATGCGTGTACTATGGTCAAGTGCGAAGTTGTTGCCCTATAAAAGTCGGAAGACGGGAAAGAACTGCCCTTTAAAGATCCATCGGAATTATCTCCGAAGTCTTATCTGTGGAGAGTTTGGGGAACCCCGCCCTGTCATTGGAAGGCGCTGGAAGTAAACTAGAACGCCGAGTGAGGAGGTTGGAAATGCGATATTCATTGGCTGTGGTTCTTGGGCATCAGGCGATCGGCATTCATGCGTCTTTGGGCTTGCGATAAGCTTGAGACATACGGGCTCTTGAACATTATATAGATGCTCCTGAGTCATAAGACACGTCGATTGACTTGGAGACCATGCGAGATACAATTCTTGGAGTCATTCAAACACAATTCTATCACCCATAGACCATTCCAACCAGACTAACGCCTCAAATCTGCAGATCAAAAAAAAAGAATAAGTCAAGATGTATAGGATGACTAAGACACCAACACGTGATTGGCTGCCATGTGGTCGCTCGCCGATATCCCTCTCCCCCATCTACGTTCTTGATATCACAGACTCGGGCCGATTCAATTCCTCGCCCCACTGCTAGATTGTGGATTGGCTAGTCTAGAGTGTACTTCGACTGGACCAGCTTTTGCTGTTTTTTACATGCAACAATCCAGAGATTAGACGCGTCTAGACCAAAAATGGCGGAAGGAGACCCCTCGTATATAGACTACGAGGCCTTCTTGGACCCGGATTTCTCTCCGTCTTCATTCGCCAATACCTTGGTGAACAGCACAAACAATGCAACTGACACCCCACTGGATCTATCAACACCATTATCCCGGGTGCTATTCGATCTCCAGGAGATCGACACACACATCCATGCATTGACAACAAAGTCAGCTCTTCCCCTGCTTTCACACACGCAGGACAGAACTGCAGCAGCAGATCACATCCTCACAGAATCAGGAACGCAAATTGAATCTGTGACCAAAGGATACGAACGCCTCCAGAAAGAGGTGATCCAAAAATGGCAAGCGGCCGACGAAGCACGCATTGCCGCTGAAAATTCACTGGCAACAGTTAGGTTAGCACGGGCTGTCACACGCAGTCTGACATTGGGCAGACAGTTGGAGAGCCAGGTCGCTGAAATTACTGGCCGAGGCTCAACGGGACCGGCTCTCTCAGCAGGCACGGATGGGGCGGCATCACCATCTGGGAAAGATGGATTCCGTGCGCTGGAGCGAGCCGCGTACACAATCATTAGTTTACGAGAGTTGCTCACAGCTACGGCAGAAGGCGAAGAGGGCTATGGACTGGACCGGGTGAAGGCTGTTCGCACCCTCCGAGGGGAGTTTGTCATGCCCGCAGAGAACATGGTCAAATCCAGAGCCCAGCAAGCCATGAACCGGTTTTCTTTGTCCTCAATTTCAGCAAGTGGAAACGGCCAGTCCGTGCCATCCGGCTACAAACAAGCCCGAGATGCGCGAGCACGCCTAACAACCGCTGTCACCACTTTGTATCTGCTTTCACCCATCCCCCAAGGGACCACCACTGCATCAGCCTACAAGCCCGAACTCCTTTTATCAACCCTACAGGGGTACATGCACACGGCAATCATGACATCCGTAAACTCACTCGCCAGAGCCCTCGCCCAGCTCCCAACCATGGACCGAACTTTAGCCGACATTTCCTCAAAATGCCAAGATATCGTCGCCCTCGAGACTATTCTCAAATCTCTCCGCCCACCACCTCACCCACTCTTGGATTCCACGACAGCCGACGAGACGGCTGAGCCCCAAACAACCTTATCAAGCACGAACAACCTCTTACAGCCTCTCCTCCAGGCCCTGGACACTTCATCATTACCTTCCTATTTCTGGCGCTCTGTCGCCTCCTCCCTCACTTCTCGCGTCCAGGAAATCGTGAATCGTGGCGGAATCTCCGCACGAACATTACGATCCAACCGCGACCGATTGAGAGTCGAGATCAAGGAATGTGTGCTTCGCGCATCCCGATTTTCAGCAACAAGCCTATTGGCCGAAAAGGGCCGATCAGGCAGTGAGATAGTTGTTGTTGGTAACTGGGAACGGGAAGCTGCCGTCATGGTTAGCTCGGTCGTTGGTCCATTGGGACGGTAGTACTATCGCGATTGAAAACGTGATATGAATAGCATCGCGTCATTGCAATGAGGCCAACAATAAGATAAACGTGGCCTGTTTACACGAGAGCCACAGATTTAATATCAAACAACCAAACGAAACTCTATTCTTGATTACCTCGCTGATTCATCAGAAATCATAAGAAAAGATGTCTCCTCCGAGGAACTTTTCTCTCGTCTAGGTAGCTTTCCCATCAGAACAACTCGGCGCACTCTCTGCTGGAACAGTCTTGACAATCTGAGCCCAAGAATCACAAAAATCAGCCATTTGAACGTCCTTTCGTGAGAGACCGGGAGGCGAATGAGTTTTCCAGTGGAAGGTGATAGAATTATAATCCTTGTTAACGGGTCAGTACTTCGTACATGATACATAGAGTAAAAACCCAAGCATAGGTAGGCATCCATACCAAGATCACTTTAGGATGATGGTTCGCATCTTTGCATTTTGTCGCCACACCCGTGAAGAAATCCTATCAAGGTCAATCAATGAATTCATGATGATCTGGTAGTTCCAATGACAAACACTGATCTTGGTCCAGGTTCGACAGTGGTATGTCTTTTGGATTTCATCGTCGCTGTGGAGTTGCCAGCCTGCTGTGTCGACTAGTCTTTGGATCTCTGCTTTTAGATTGTTATGGTCTTCTCCTTCAGAAATTTTGATGTTGAATGCTGAGCCCATATTGATGCAATCCTGGGAGACTGGGGTGTATCGAAGGGATCCAACTGAGTATTGACAATGGAGGGGGATGGCTCATCGTTGGGACTTTGGTAGATAAAAGCGACACGTGACGGGGATGCAATCTGAATATCTCTAGAGAGTGGCGAGTTGGGGAGCTTGTTGATTGTAGAGTATTCTATATATGAACAGCTAGGTAAAGCCCTGCATAGTGTATGTCGAGAAAAAAAATCATAGTTATAAGCTACTAGGTCTATCACATAGCCACACGAATAATTCATGTTGACTGGGCTTGTAACTTGGCTTACATGCTTCAAGACAACCATCATTTGATAACCATGATTCAAGGCACCTGGAGCTTGATCAAAGGAAGATGAAAAGAGATATCGAAGCAGGGCGAAGAGATGTATGGAGGTATGTCTCCCGGGCTTCGAATGTGGGTTTCGTAACGAACAATTTGATACACTTTCATAATGTCTGCTATGAGCAACAGATACGATACGATAGATCACGCATTCAATCGTCAATCTTCACATCATTTCCCCTCCAAATAGTATTGCAATTTGCCGCAGATTTCAGGATTGTTCGCCCGAAGAATTGTGGCCGGCAAGGCCGGGGAACATCAAAGCGTTTACGACCTCGGGATGTCTGCCGGTTGGATTATGAGGTCCGCTGTGATTTGAATTAATATTGTACGCCTTCAAATCAAGGAATGAGTTCGCCAAGTTCATTGCTGAGGGCGGTAGAACGAGTGATGTCATGCTCCGGCTGCCTTTTCCACGTATCACGATATCATCGAGTGGCTGTAGTTGTCTCGCGTTATCTGGTGAGGTGGAAATTGCCAAGCCATCCTTAAGTGTTTTTCGGGCACTAATCCAAGTCGTGATGCGCGTAGATACCCGCAATTCGAAGGCTTGAAGGAATTCACGGGGCCTGAAGGTGTTTCTGGCTCGACTCTGGTCAGGAATCTTCAACGGAAAGTTAGAATCTGTGATCAAGACGAGTTTCAAGAATTGTGAGTATCGAAAGTCAAACTGTTGTGAATGGTATGCTGTCATAATTCGTCACCCGCAGACTCATAAAACTTGTATGGAATGGAACCGCGATCATAAATCTGAATCAAATGCCACCTCCAACCCTTTAGTATTAGAGAGCATTGAAAGATTGATAATTATGGGATTTGATCATCAAATATGAGAAAAGCAACATTTTCGTCTTCAAATCCCGAGAAAAGTGGCCAGCCTGTATTGATACCGGTCATGCAGACAGACCAAAAACCCCCGGTAGTAGGGAATGACCGAAGTCAGAAGGGAAGACTCAAGCAACCGTATAGTCCCACAGAGGATATGACCAGCGACTCGACTTACTATCGCGATCTTTTATACGATGTCTTTGAAACAATACGGTCCGCAAGCCAGGAAAATCAAAAAGGGCTGCTTCAGATGATCCGCAACTACTCGACGGTACAGAATATTCGCGGATATCTACACAAGATTCTACCCGATACACACGCACAGAGGGACGAAGAAGAATTCCGGAGATCCAAAAAGGCGCGACACAACACCGGAGTGGATGCCCCCCGGCTGCGACCTCAGATCATGGATATTCGGTTTCTGTGTGGGAGCGCTCCTTACAAAGTCCCAGCCAAGCCGTGGACAAATGTGACCGACGATGATGATTTGGTGTCGCACTTGATCTCCTTGTATATGACTTGGGACTATCCGTTCTACGCATTCATTGACCGCAAGACCTTTCTTGCGCATATGAGGAATGGAAGCCTGTATTCGGACTTTTGCACTCCATTCCTGGTCAATGCCATGCTTGCAAATGCGTGTGTGAGTATCGAAATTCCTTTGTTTGACGTCTTTCTGTTTAACATTGTCGGTGACAGGACTACTCGCAAAACAACGAAGCTTACACGGTCCCGGGAGACGTCAAAACAAAAGGAGCTGAGTTCCTGGCCGAAGCAGAGGGCTATATGAGGTTATACGCATTTGATAGGGGAAGTGGTACCCGTTTAGCCACTTTGCAGGCAACTTTATTGTTGTATGAGAGGCACGTAACGTTTCGAAGGGTTGAAGCCTGTCCTGGTTACTAACGAATCGCTCAGGTACTCCAATTTGGGTAATAATGACTTCGGCTATGCCATGCTTCATCAAGCAACCGAAATGGCAGAAGAGATGGGAATCATCAACCGGAAGAAATTGAATCTGAACAAATCGCAAATGTCCGAAGAGATGATCAGATCACTCAAACGCACTGCCTGGGGACTTTTCCAAATTGATACGTATGTCTCCACAGCAAGCGTCTCCGTATTTGACATCTAGCTAATACCGAGAGAAAAGCATTGTACACACAAACTTCCTCAGGCCGAGTCGCGTGAATGAAGTCAGCGTGGATCGAATTGCAGCCGTCAAAGAAGACGAAGAGACGTGGATACCCTATCCTCTCCCAGGTCACACACGACCATCTCATATGAGCATCTATTTTGATCGAGCCTGCGATCTGTCTTACATTGCTCGAGATATGTCTCGAATAATACCAACAGAGCAGAGAAAGACAAGTGAAGCGAACATGTCCAAGCAAGAGAACTACAACCGGCTCTGCGAGTGGCAATCATCACTCCCTGAGATCTTCAGCTCATCAGGAAACCCAGTGCCTCATATCCTTCTTCTCGGGTTCGTTCTTCATGCCACCATTTGATTCTCGCTCACTGAATTGACCTCGAAACAGAATGCGTTATCATGCACTTATGATCAACCTATGCTGCGACAACTTCGGTTATTATACATCATTCAGCAATCCAAAAAAACGAACACCTTTGTTTTTCAGCGCAGAAAGCGGACAAAGTGCCAACGAGATAGCAATTTCCTCGGCAAGGGAAATATCCGCCATTTCACAAGTCATGCAATCGCAATACGGAATTCAATACGGCCATCAGTTCACCATGTACGCGATTAGTGTTGCACTCTACGTTTTACTCGAGCAACCCTCCTTCGACGTTCTGGACAACGACTTCTTGTACCTGACAAAGGCCTTCTCCACCATCGCGAAACGTTCTCCGGTGGGAGGCAGCCTTTTCCATTTCTTTAAATTGTCCGTCCAGGCTCGAAACTCTCAACAGCATGGTGTGAGCCCAGATAAGCTTGAAGACATTCCAGAAGAAGTCAAGGAAATATTTATAGATGAACCTCATTCTCAAGCAGCAGAACCGTGGAATCAAGCATCAAAGTCCACAGATGGGCCAGTCTACCCGGACAGCAATCTAAGCGAATTTCCACTACTAGGACTGAAGGGAATGATCAGTGAGTATGAGAAGCTCAGCGTGGGCAAGGAAGAGCGACCGCATGGTCATACCAGGGGTGGTGATTTTTGATTATGAGTTTTCTTGGACGATATATTAAACAGCGACTCTATTGCTATAGCAAGGGGCTCATATTCTATGCCTACCTATGATTTAATTTATATAGTTTCTGAAGCAAATGATAACAGAAACCGCAATGGCAGCTCAACTCTTGAATAACTCGTTGAACCGAGCGGGAAGACCCCGCAGCCAGGGGATCTGCGGGGACTCAGGTTTTACCCCAACTTCTGTACACATCTCCCGTCCATCACAATATCAACATTGGGCACAAAATGGGCCTACTCTCAACCACAGCAGATGCACTGAAGAGCCGGATTGACTCGGCCTGCAGCGACCCGGACAACGGATTGCCTGGTGCTGCAGCTGCAGTCATTGGAAAGGATGGCAAATTGCTGTTCTCTCACGCAGGTGGAAAGAGAGGACATGGAAGCACCGAGCCATTAGGAGCCGACAGTGTCTTTTGGATTGCATCCTGTACCAAGTTGATTACTGGAATTGCGTGCATGCAGCTCGTGGAACAGGGGAAATTGTCCTTGGATGATGCCAATGAGATTGAGCGCATCTGTCCGGAGTTGGAGGAAGTCAAAGTCTTACAAGAAGATGGCTCCTTGGTGGACAAGGCGAGGGGAATTACGTTGAGGATGCTATTGACCCATACTGGTTAGTGATACTCTTCACATACACTCGAGCTTGAGTTCTGACGTGAAGACCTTTATAGCTGGCTTTGGATATGCCTTTATGAATGACAAACTTCGGGACTCGAGCCGCCCTGTTGGCTTCGACGAGTTCTCCGGGTATTTTAATGACTTCAAACAGCCACTGGTGCACCAGCCAGGAGAAGCTTGGGAGTATGGTGTAAGGATGCCTATCTGGACATTTCCAAACATTGCAGTGACTGATTGTCTATGGCATATAACAGGTCAATATCGATTGGGTCGGTGTGGTGATCGAACGTATAACCAAGAAGACATTGAATGAATACTTTCACCAACACATCTTCGAGCCACTAGGCCTGACCGAGATCTCCATGCTCCCGAGTCCAGCCATGAAAGAGAAATTGGCTTATATGCACCAACGCGACTCGGCCGGAAGAATCTCTCCGCGGGATCATCTTCTCCGACGGCCACTAACGGTGGAAACCAAGTCCGATGCCGAGTCCTTGTTCAATAGTGGTGGAGCTGGATGTTTCTCAACACCCCAAGATTATTGCCGTAAGTCTCTCTGTCTGTAACATGCTCTCAGTGGCTAATGATTCCCAGAAATTTTAGCAATTCTTCTGAATGACGGCACTTCACCAACCACCGGATCACAGCTTTTGAAGAAAGACACCGTAGACGAAATGTTCCGCAACCAAATCGCGAACCTTCCACCCCTGTCTGAAAAGTACATTCCCAACGCAAAGCCTGACCTGACAAACTCTGGCACTGGGCTTCACCCAACTGTCGCCGGTGACCGTCAGGGTTGGGGACTGACCTTCCTGCTAACTGGGGGCTTGACGGGTCGTTCTGTGACAACTGCCCAATGGTCTGGTCTCCCTAACCTCTACTGGTGGTGTGATCGTGAAAATGGGTTGGCTGGTTTTGTCTGTGCCCAGATTCTGCCATTTGGTGATGCCAAAGTCTTCCAGCTGTATCAGGACATCGAGGCGGGTGTGTATAAAGATCTTGCATCGGCTTAAAGAGCAATGATTATTACATAGTTCGGAAGGTTAGAAGTATCAGTACGTATCTGGACATGAAACGATAGTACTTTGTCCTAGCTCTAACGAGTTTGAAGTAGGAATGTCCGTAGCAAAATTGTCTATGTATGTTGATTGATATAGAACCATTGTGAAATCCCAAAAGATCCGTAATGATCGATGGTAATCACCAGAGTAATAATATATCATCAAGTGGCAGCTTCCTAGTTCTCAATTGGTACTGTTATATACTTGGGGGCGTATGACAATTAAAATAGGGTTTCGTCATCTTTGCTCGCAGTCCAGGCACTGGATTCAACTGGACCGCCTACCAGTCCGAGGATAGAAGCTGTGTTGGTGACCACTCCACAGTTAATGGACTTGTATAGGGATACTCTCATGCGAACGAAAGTTTCAGGGTCTCCTGCATCAACATTTACTTAAATTGCTCTCGCCCTAGGAGCAAAATCAATTCTGGGTTGATTTTCACCTGAGTTTATCATCATGCATTACGGGAGGTGCATACAATCACGAACCCGATGCCAGGTAGCAAGCGAGATATTGAAGCTGTTATTATAGAGTATGTTTGGTACTTCCTTTTTTTGTTAATAAATTTGAAGACCACTAGACATGCAACTTACAAGGCCCTAAGACGCATAAATATCTAAAAATTCAAAACAGATACATCGGTCCAGATAAGACCAAATCACCAGTGATTGCGCCGGGAATGTACCTCAAGACGGTATGCACCTCCTAGTACTTTTCCACTTGATAAGGAAACCAGTAGCTCCCACTATACTTATGGGAAAGAGGGGAACCTGGTAACTACCCCCATGGAATTCATAAATTCAAACATGGGCATGAGGGAGGCAAAGAAAGGACGAAAAAGGAGAGCTAGGTTAAGGCCCAGAAAATGTAGGAAGAGTCCATTCACTGCGAGAATTACGCATAGAAATGGTTGAATAATACTTCATAGCCCTGTCAACAGATGACCCCTGCTGTAAGCCACTAGTCCAGTGGCTGCTGCTTGTGGAAACACTCAAGATAAGCCATTGCTCATGGGTATGATATGGGCTATGGAGGTAATTAGTTAGGACAAGAAGATGGGTAAATCTATAGCTGCGCCTCTTGGCTTGATTCCGCCATGAACCCCAAACATATATCGATTTCAACAGTGGCAGTTGGAGCGCCCGGAATTCAGATATGTCACTTACTGTAGTGAGCAATCAACAAGGTGGCCGTTGGAGATGCATCATCGAATCTTCCTTAAGCTTCAGTGAGCCTCGACAATTTGGTTATCAACCAGTGGCCGAAAGCGCCGTATGCAAGTACACGAGTCAAAGCCCAGATGCAGCCATATCGAAGCCACTGGTTGATAGTGTAGATAACCCACAAACACAGTACTTGGATTGGCGGCTTGGTATGCCAATAATAGCCCTCAAGTGAAACACCCACCACCCACAACCCTAACCTACGGCGTTTAACAAACAAAGCGCTGAGGCTCCGGTACCTCACTTGCCCCGCAGAATCCCTGCAAGCTGAACAAAGAATACGCAGAGATATTCTCTCCCCCTTGTTTCCCATTTGAGCCCCGCCCAAATGTGATATATATAATCCAGCCACGATCGAAAGCATGCGGTCGCACCACCACCCACAGACCCTTGGAGACCAAGCCCCCTCCCCCCCAAGTCCCAGGTACAGACTCCAGGGAACAGGCTCCAGCCAAGAGAGGAGACCGAAAAGCAAGCGACCAAGTGCGTGTACCTGACATCCCGCTAGCCAATAAGTCGCGTGGGAAGCCAGCAGTCCGTCACACACCAGGGTATCGGAGACAGGGCCATATGGCACCGATAACAAAAAGCAACCAAGCAAAAAGCTCCGAAGGTCGGCTAATTCCCCGAGATAAGCCATGGCAAGTAGATCTACCTCGCGATCGAAGTACACCAACCTCGTAACTTACACCTACCCCCATCTGCAGTGTAGAGGATCAGGCAGTCAGATGACCCCCACCCGGTGCACCCACCTCCTGGGATCAGAGCTGGAGTCTGAGGGGGATGTGTTGGTTTCCAGGATGGCTGGACCACGCTGTGCGTTCTGCATGTTGAGTCATATTTGCCCTGGATTGTCGATGCAGAGTACAGATGCAAGTCAGTAGGGGTGGTGATTAGGGCCAATGAGGTCCGGGTGTTGGACGAGGCCGGGTGCTTTGTTCGTTTTTAATGTTCTTCTTCTTTTTTTTTTGCATGTGATCTTCAGCATCTGTGTATTTGGAAAAGAGGTACAGAGTAAGATATCGGGTGGGTAGAAGTGTAGAGATGTACATATAGAGATGTACGGTAGAAGTGTAAAAGGGTTAGGGTAGGGGTAGTTCGGTATCAAGAAATGAGTTATCAGATTGGCTTCCCACGGTTTAGTCTAGATGGAGAGTATAGAGTATATTTGTCCCGTCGCTTCGAGTTACCCTTTGGTCAACTTGAGACAGAGAAAGCACATTCGATCTAGAATACTCCAACATCTCCTCTAGGGTACAGTACTCACTTTACGTGGCCAGGTACGCCCACCCAAATGATTGGACAGCGGATAAGCAGACCGCTTGAAAGGCAACGCGATCGCCTTTCCAGGGGCGAAACCGACCCAACGCAGATCTCAGTCGACGACGTCAGCACTGAGGGGCTTATCGATAAGCCCTGCAGGTACCTGGCGCTACTTGGCCGTGCGCCCCCAGACCAGCCCCCGTGGCGTCGTGCAGATGTACCTACAGGTACCCGTCTCTCCTTAATCTAGGACGGAGTATACGAGAGAGGGGATCTATAGGGAATATCTCGTGAGATATATATTATCTTGTATATTATCTATGATATCGATCATCTAATGGTCATATTTTTAGGGCAAGTTACCGTGTCGATCCAATTAGCGGGGAAAGGAAATAAATGACTTCGACTCTACCTGATTCGAGCCCAGGGATCCGTGTTCTCACGCCTCTCGACTTGCCTACCAATCGCACTGCATTCTCATATGGTATCCCAGGGGCTAATGCAGAGGGCAAGAACCAGGGTAAATCATAATAGATTAAACTAAAATGCCCCCTCCAAGACAAGCCTGGAGCCAGTAAGCACATCATCCACATCTGGCGTGGCGTCACACATCTGGGGGACTCGTAATGCACAAAAGTCGAGTAACCAGACCCAGCAGGAGAGTCCATGTTATACATTGCAAAGAACCATGAGAACCACGGGATCTGGCGATGGGATGCACCGCAGAGGCCGTTTGCAGACAGGGAAAGTTTAGTCGCGACGCAGGCACATCGCGGGGATTAGTCCCAGGGGGAGAAAGTTTCAGAGAGTTAGGGGGGGGGTTGCCTGAATGCGGCTTGAACGGAGGGTCCGGATCGAAGGTGACGAGTCCTGCTTCCTGTACATGAGATCTGTCTCGTTATCTTTCCCAGTCAGCAAGTCCAAGACAGAAGAGGTGAGGATAAATAAGGCCCAAATGAGGACCCCCAGGGAGGAGAATTCAAGGTTACGACGGGCTCGGACGAGACGGTTCTTGAACCCTTAAAAGAATGCGATGTATGACGGTGGTCTAGATATAACCCTAAACGGTCTCCATAAGGGTCTCGATCGTGTCCAGAACCAAACTGTTCAAGACTTGGCGAGAGCATTCCCAAGGTCCGAAGGTGTTAACGTCAAGGACTCTCTGGACTCTCTGGACGTCTCTCCTTCTTCTCCATATATAACTCGAATGGTGAAACACATCGGTAGCCCCGGAAGTCTGAGAGTCTGAGGTGCCTGGGATCTTCTTTTGCCCCTCGCTTCCGATAAGAATCGTCACCATTTCCTCTGTTCGGATCTTTTCCTGACGCTTCACACACTCCTTGGTTTTGACATTTCTGACCTCCCTTTTTTTTGACTCTTTTTCCTCTTTTTGACTCTTGACTTCTAACCCTTGCGTCCAAACTGGGTCTCACACATTCTCCCCTCCTTTCTTCCCCCCCTCTCTCCCCTCTCTTCCAGAGTAAGCGCCTCCATCGTACGTACAATCTGATCTCTTGGTGTGTGTGTTGTGTTTTTTTTTTTTGGGGCGGTCCTTGTGGTCCTGGTCCCTGTCTCTAGTAGATCTTGCTGAGATTGCCATGTTTACCAATCTCGCCTCCAGACTCCCCGAGTGTCCGATTTTCCCGTAGCCTTGTGCTTCCGAATCGCCATAGAGACGTATAGAACCCCAACTTGCCCTGGGGTGAATATTCCGGGTCGGGTTGGCTTTGCGACCACTGGTGGTTAGGTCCGAACTTGGGGGCGACCTGACATCACTCCCGCCTCTACCAGCATGGCCTCCTTTCTCCCTGTGAACAACTCTGCCCTGGAAGAAATGGATGGAGCGGCCACCCCCCGTGCGAATCCTAATGGTGTGCCGGTCACACCAGAGGGCTCCTCGACGACGGACCACACTCCGAACTCACACAGCCACGATGTGTCAACGCACGTCCGAACCCCTTCCATGTCAGACGAGCCGATGCACGATTCCGAGGGCGAACAAGACGACTCCGACCACGATCACGATCCGGGGAGCAACGCCCCGCCGTCGAAGAAGAAGAAGGGCCAACGCTTTTTTTGCGACGCTTTCCCGCCCTGCAACTTGAGCTTTACCCGCAGCGAACATCTGGCTCGCCACATTCGCAAGCACACCGGAGAACGTCCCTTCCAGTGCCACTGCTCTCGACGCTTTTCCCGACTAGATAACCTCCGCCAACATGCGCAGACCGTTCACGTCAATGAAGAAATACCAGGGGATTCGCTGGCCGCCACGGGAACTCGGTTCCAGCGCCAGGTTCGGACAGATCGGGTGCGGCCTCCAGGCCGGGCCCGCGCCGGCACAGGAGGAAGTCAAGGCGGACACAGTCGTGGTCACAGCAGGAATCTATCGACGTCAAGTATCGCTTCAACCGCCTCGACGTTCAGTCAACCACCCGAACTTCGACGGCGCCCACCTCCGCTGATCATGGCCAACGACCCCGCGGCTCGATCCCGACTGGCGATGAACTCGATGGGGGAGCCGCCGAGCACCCCGCCAGGTCAGATTCGGGGCATTGGCCCGGCGACTGTCGCGTCCCCCTACACCCCTTCGAATATGTTTGCCGCTGGTGGAGGAAGCCCTCAGTATGCTTCACCCATGTCATCCGCTGGGTTCTGGGAAGGTAAAACGGCCGCCCGTCGTCTCTCGGTGCCTACTAGCAGCAATCCTTTCATGGTACAGGGCAACGCTTACCCTCCGCCTTACCATGCAGCCCCGGGTGCCCCTTACCCCAATGGCACTGGTGTGTTTGCTAGCCCCGCCAGTACCAATTACTCTGTATCTCGTGACGAGGGCTCATTGAGTGCCGCCGAGGCTGAGATGAGGAGGAGAACGTGGCACCCATCTTCTTACACAGGCTTCCCTCGACCTGGAACTAGTGGGTTGAATCACTACCATACCCCCGATACTGTTCCGGCATCATTTGGTGCGAACGGGGCCGATCAACCGCCCCGGCTGCCCGGTATTGAGAGTTTTGATAAGGTAGTCTCCCGGCCTCTAACTCCGCCCACTCGGAAAGCCAGCCCCATGCAGATTGATAGTCAGCACCGCCCTCCAACCCACGCTTTTGGAGCCGGCTTTAACTATGCACAACCATCCCATCGCCCAGCACCGCCCATCTCTGGCCCGGGCCACCGACGCGGCCATGTATCTTGGGATATGTCTTTGCATCACAACCTGACCGGACTGGATATTCGGGATAGGCGTCCTTCAAACGCCTCTGCTTCGCAATGGAGCCAACAGACCATTGCAGAACTCCAAAATGTATCTTCCCGTCCATCCTCCTCTTATCAACCTTCATTTGGACCAACAGCCGAAAGAAGCCCAGAAGAGCCCCGCGGACATCGCCCCAGCATTTCAACTAGCAGCCGAGCGCGCACCTCCCCGGAGGATTCCAGTAGCAGCGAGGGTGTCCATACCCCATCTACGGCATCGGTTGATTACCATCCAGCGATCGTACACAGCAGCGGATACATCGAATCTCAAGACTCTGTCCCCTCCGAGCACCCTCCCCCGGTAGGAACCTATCTCCGAACGGACGCCTATCGGCCCGGTTACTAATACCGTCATAGATCTGTGGTCGGCAATCCTCCCACGCGGACGGCTATCGATCTCACGAGCGGGAACCCCGAAACGACGTCTTCACTGACGCCGCCCACAACTCAGGCATGGGCCGCCTAGAGGCACTCGTTGCCGTCGCCACGAGCGAGAACAAAGGAGCTACCAAACTGTTCCTGTAAATTCTCATTTTTCCATTTTTTGGATAAAACATTCTCCCTTGCGACATATCTGAAACCACCCTCGCTTCCAACTGAACGCCTGGAAGCTATCATCCATTGCATCCTTGGCATTCGGCATCTCGCTTTGTTTTCCATCCCAGCAACTACCCTCCCGCCTATCCTATCCTCTCTCCATCAGACACTCAACCTACCGGGCTCATCGCAGCCCTCTCAACTCTTTTCCTAAATCTTTCAGGGATTCATGCACCTACCTCATAGTTATGACATATGACATGGCTGATGAAACCCTTGATGAACTGACGACCTTACGAGACGACTGATACACGACACGGAAACGGTGCCCCATCTTTCTTTTACCTTGTGTTCAGGAGTCTTTGCTTTTTTCGCTTTTTGTTTTGAATTTTCTGCTTTTCACATTTTGTTTGTGGTTCATGAATCGAGATGGCCATATTTCCCTCTTTTGCGGTCTCTGCTCTCTACATTTTGGATATTGGATTCTGGATAGGACATACGTACCTCACATCCGAGCAGCATGTTCCTGGCGTTCGCATGGAATGTTATTAGGTGCTTGTATGAGTGGAGTCGTTTGTGCATGATATGAAATGACGGATCACCCTAGTCATTGGCCTTGTCCAATTGGGTTCATTCCATATTCCATTTTGCTCTCCATTCTCGTCTTGACTGAGATGGCCTTTTTTTTCCCATTTTACTCCTGGCGGACCTTGACCCTCTTCACCCTCAACTTCTCTTTTTGAGTCGTACTAGATCTCTACCTCAACCACCCTTCTTCTCTTCCTCACCATCTTCTCTGCCTCCTTTTCCTCCCTCCCTCTCTGCCTTATTTCCTACCTCTTTTCCGTTTTGTGTCTTACTATATTATTACTCTTTGGTGGATCACGTCGTTTTTCTCATTTTTCTCTTTTTACGGACTACAGGGACTTTGGATAACTGTTATGAACTGAATATGACTGAAATGCATTTTACACTGTGGATCATACCTCCTGTTAGCCCTCCCCATCTCACTTCTCCCCCTCGATGTATTCTTAGCTTCTATCTTCTCGAGTGTATCACCACCGGTCCAGATTCAGACCCCGACTTTTCTTTTGAAAGGGGACGTAGAGAACAGAAGGAAAGCGAAAATACCTCCCGCTCAAACCAAAACCGAACAACTCAGTATATGCCTCACTTCAGCGAGGTGTCCACGAACAGAAACAAGGAAATCAAGCGTGAATCGAAGGGCATCCATGCCAATTTATAATTCGCCGCCTCACTCCCCTCTCTCTCAACACACACACACACACACACACACACACACACACACACACACAGAAAGAAAGGTGTACATGGCTTGACGCAAGTCCGGTCAGATAGGAAGACCGCTCATTGGACACGAGACGGGGATAAAACACCACCATCTTCCCCAAGGGACAGATTGGCCCATGTACGACTGTACACTGTACAGTAGACAGTGATAGCGGCAAAGCCTCATGCCACGATAAGCCCAAACCCGCCCCGCTCATATGTAGGATCGCATTGTGAATGAATCAGACCATGAAACATGAAGACCGCTGGACAATGAGCCTATGCAATGATTGGACCACGTGGTGTTGTTTGCCCGGGTATAGTATATGGTACACCTGGCCATGCAGGATGGTCATCTACAATATCACTGTGCAGTATGGGGTTGTTGTACGTGCAGGACTGTCATTCGATGTGCGGTGGTGTGATGGCCGCTGTGGAGAGTGTATGGGGTATGGGGTATATAGATATTGACTAGGATGAATCGACTGTACAGACATGGTTATTGCTGCGATGACGGTGCATCAAATCAAACACGACACTGATCAACCATATCGGTTCGGGTGTGGCAGGAGGTGATCGCAAAAGTCAGGGCTGACGACAGGGGTGTGTTTTGCCCATGGCGTTCGCATCCGGGCCACCCTGTGAGGGGAAACAACTGGCAACGGCCGCTTGCTTTTTATTCTCTTAAGAATAAAGGAATGGCCCCGGTTCCTTGAGGACGTTTGATTCTCTGCGGATATGTATCAGATGGACCCACGGGGTATTCCGGACCCTGGGAGGTCTCGAAGTGTTTCTTGTTATGAGGTCAAGGTTGGGGATATTGTCGGGACGAGTTATTGTGTGATAGGTATGGGATGTCACGGAAGGAGAGGGATATTGGGGCGAACGCTGATATCTTGATATAGGAATCAAAAGCAAGTCAAGTCTGCACTCTCGTTTACTTTGGCATCGACTCTAATGGTCGGCAGTCTATCTGTATGCGTCTCCCAACCACGATGATGCTATTCCCATGCTATTGGGTGAGATACAGGAGGTTCTTCTTCAGCGTTATATGGCGGATAAGTCGAGTCTGCCGGCGACAGACAGATTCACCATCAAGGATGGCGATGGGAAGGATGTGATGCATGAGTTTCAGCGAGATCTCATCAACTGTGGGTTTCGCGGTAATGATATCGGCAGACACTATGACGAGTTGAGGAAACATTTGCACGAATTGAGGCGAAGTTTCAATGATAAGAGTCTTGATATTACAATTCTCCAAGTGAAGTATGTTCTCATTGAACGTGGAAAGGACATATTGATCTGACGGGCTTAGTGCATGTTCTGGACAGACATCTCGACCAGGAGAGACACCGAAGCCACGAAAGGTCTCTGTTCATCTAGAGCGACAACAAGATGGGCCAAGACCAGGGGGAGATCAAACCAAGCCGAAAATCAACCAGAATACCCACCGGCCACTTCCTCGCAGACCGAAACGATACAATATCAACAGCAACATTGTCGAGGTGGGCGATTCAGCCCAAGATTATTCCTCGGGACCAGAAGTGAGAAGACAGCGTGAACGACGAACACGACAACCACAATTTAGATCCGAGTCACCGTCCGGTTGGAGTTCCGCGACGACAGCAGGCCTGGGATCAACGACGAAAGAAACCCAGCCACAGTTTCGATCTGAATCACCTTCAGGTTGGAGTTCCGCGACGACAGCGGGCTCGAGACCAACAACGAAAGAACACCAGCGACCTTTCGTACACAACTACAAAACCCAAGCCTCTCCCGAACAAGGTCGTCCGACTATGCCGGGCCAGTTCCCTGACCCGCTCATAGATCCCAACTATGCGATGTATGCCACTTTCCAAAGAGTCCCAGGCTCATACATACCACCCCAGAATGGGTATTTCCCACCCCAAGCCTATTACAACCACACATATCAGACGACTCCAGTGCCACCGCCATACTTCCAAGCTCCTCCAGCTCCCCATCAGAGATACGCATATGGTGCTTCATTCCAATATCCATACTCACCACCATACTCACCATATCAGAACCACTTCCCAATTCCCAAGAACGACCCCAACACCCCCCAGCCAACGAACCAACCCTTTCAGAATGACTTCAATCACCCACATCCTCACCCCACTCCAACCCCAACCCAACCCCTTCTCCAACTCACATACGAAAAACTCCCCCAGAAAGACCTCCACCACCCACTCGACCTCCCAGTCCTCCCAGAGGGCTGGGACTGGCGCCTGGACAACGCAAACCGCATCTTCTACGTGGACACCTACGCACACGGACACGAGAAGCGATGTTTCTGGAAACCGCCCATCGAGGAACCGGAAGAGGAGGAAGATGGGAGTTGCCTTCCGCCGGGCTGGGAGCGGACTTGTACAATCTACGGTCGTGTTTTCTGGACGCATGTCCGGTCGAGGATTGTGTCGTATGAGTTTCCCGGTTCCTGTCCGCAGTTCAAGTATAGTTCTGTTGGGGAATTGTATCTTGGCGAGGATGTTGAGCGGGAGGGCGTCCAGTGGAGGCATTGGTCTAGTGTGGATTTGGGCTTGTTTTGGGTTGATGATTCGGAGGTTGCGTGTCGGATTTCAAGGGATGTTTGGCAGGATGGGATTTCTGATGAGGCTGTGAAGGCTAGGGGGAGTTGTGGTGGGGGAATAGTAAATTCTGGGAATGGAAGTTGAGGTTGTCGGTTTGGTGTCGACCTTTAGTTGACGTGTCTTTGGATGGGAATGGATCTCAGAGTCCTTGTGTTGAGGATCCGGTGAGTCGTTCTGCCATTGTTTCTACTGGGGGGTTTTGTCTCTCGAGTTGATGCTAATTGGTCTTCTGATCATCTAGGACGGACTGGACTCTGACACTGCCACCTGCGACTCATTCAAAGAATCCAAGATGTATATGGTGTCTAATTATCAAAGAGCGTCAGTCGAGGATGTAACGGAAGAAGAGGCGGATAATGAGCATAGACGTCCAACTGGTTAGGGCATAGAAAATGATGATATTCCCAAATGACGTATACGCGCTCAACTCTAACCTTTCCAGCCTCAGAAAGCATAAACCAAGTAGTTCGGGAGGAAATCGTGGAAATCTTGGCTCCAAGGATATGAGGCGATGACTTGCCGGTGACGTCGACGGGCGTCTGGCACTTCACACGATACTACATCGCAGCAACCAGAACACACTTCAGTCTCGTAGAAGACGCATAACACCTGAGAATTCAGTATAGCAATTGAGAGAAGTAAATCGGCTATAATAATTCCAAATTCCTTTGGATTTGAAGTATGAAGAAGTAAGGAGAAAAGTGAAGGTGGAGGGTCTAGGCACGGGGACAGACGTCATAGTCGGCTGACTGGCTTTCCCCGGTTTCAACCTCGAGACAAACCTATAAGTACAGGGATCCCCGGATGCTTTGGAATTCACATCTCCAATCATTACATCTACAATATCACAATGTCTAAAAGCCGCATGCCCCTCTTCCTCTGCGCCGGTGGCGCTGGTGCAGTAGGTTACTACCTGTACAGCGCCGGTGGTGACCCCAAGGTCGCAGGAGACAAAATGAAGAGTATGTAACCGACCTGACAGTTGCCATCCATTGTCTCTTGTGCTTGAGCTAACCAATGCTATCAGTCGACGCCGAGAAAGCCCGTGAGAAGCTCCCTGGCAACGAGAACGCCGAGAAGTTCGGCAAGGACTTTGGCAAGGACGCCGGTGCCAAGATCGACGACGCTGTAAGTGCAATTCCATATTCATGATTGTTGTTGCCCACTTCATACAGCAACGTTGAAGCTCTGCCATCGCCACTTACCATAGACCAAGCCATACTAACACAAACCACAGATTGCCACTGCCCGCGCCAAGGGCGAGAAGATCCCCGACTGGGCCCAAGAGGGCAAGGACAAGCTTGACGGTCTCCGCGACGACGCCAAAAGCAGACTCAGTGCCGGGCTAGACAAGGTCAACAACAGCGTGGACCAGGCGGATCGCACGGTCGAGCAGAAGGCCGCGGAAGCCAAGGGTACCGTCTCCGGCTGGTTTGGAGGCAAGAAATAAGCTATGATCCAAGTTTGATGCGTGTTGCCATGATACTCATTGGCAATTAATGTTCTGTTATGCCACGGCGCTGGTTGTTTCGAGAATGGGTTCTCGAGAATATCATGAATAATTGACTTCTTCCTCATCCATGAATGTTACTCCATCAGTATGCAATCAACGCGCTCGGTAAAAAAGAGTCAGGCTCCATGTCTCCGGTCTCGCGAACAGACCCAGTAGTCTAAATTCGAGCCCATTGACCAATCTCCGTAGAGCAGACCCCGAGTATAGGCGGGTTGAGTCGCATTCCAATGCCAGGGGATTACCATAGTGATGAGAATGCCAACCCCCGGACTAGATTGTATTCTCTGAAATTGATTAAATTGACATTCAGCTGCTACTGTCTCCATTTTAATTTTCTGAGTTGCATAATATTCCACACGTTCAAGAGTGAAATTGGCGTTCGCGTTCTAGTTCCTCCACGCGTTACCAATTAACCCGAATAGGCTAGTGTGGTTTCAACGCGCTTCTTTTCACGCGTGTCCCTGCATTTCATCTGACTCCATTTCTGCCCCGTTGCTCTTTCCCACTTTCTGCTGTTTGAGTATATTCATATTTTTTTACTTATCATACTAAAGCTGCATTGATCGCCCCTTCCACTTTTATCTTCTCCCTGGCAACTGAGAAACTTTTCCAGCAATGCGCACCACACGGGCAAGCGCCGCCCAGCCAGCAATTCAAATCTTTACCAGGACAACCAAAGCTGGTATCACACCGTCACTGCCTGGGAAGTCACTATCCGCCAAACCCGCCTCGCTCCCCGTCTCGCCTTCCAAGAAACGCAAGCTCCAGGAACTCGAAAATGTCGACGCCGGTAGTCCAACCCCAATTGAGGAAGGCACACCCTCGAAAACTTTGCGACTGAATGAACTGTCTGTGTCTTCACCACGCAGCGGCCATTTTGCTTCTCCCAAGGCAACCCCCAAGAGGACACCCAGTCGACGTGCTCGCGCCCCTGTCCAAACCGCCCCCTCGACACCCTCGACCCCTTCAAAGCAAAGGACCATCGACTTTGAGAAAATCACACCAGTCAAAGAGGAACTCCCCATTGTTCCTCGGCCTGCATTATTCAACGATGTTCTCAACCTTCATTCGGCCTTTGTTCAGGCTTTCTCATTTCACATGGCACACAACGGCGTCAATGCCCCTGCGGACCTTCGAGATTTTCTTGGCAGTGTAACCCGCATGTGGAAAAAACGCAAGGTGCAGATGAAGGATTTGCAGCGTCTGTTGTGGGTTTGGGAAAAGAGTTCAAAGGCGACGACTGTTTCTTACCGACTGGCAAACTACGGACTCGGCAAGATCTGTGTGGAACGCACCTTCCAGGTGGACGAGCAGCCTGCTGCTCTACAAGACTCGTTCGAAGAGACACTAGATCTCTTGTGGGAAAAGGCTCAGGATGCTCTGCACGCTGCTAACGAGGAAGACCGTCCATCTCTATTCATTGAAACACTCGGCCTTGCCACGATCCACGAGTCGCTCACTCCTTTCACCTCGTTCCAAAAAGGCCAACAGCGTCTCCAGGATCTCAAGGGCGGTTTGCTTCGCTTGACAGCCGAGAGACTCAATGCCGGTTCTTCACAGACAACCCCGCTGGAGCGGACTGCCACAGTCAGTCGCCGCCAGGGATTGCTGGATCGTATCAAGAACAAGGAATTGCGCCAGTCCAAGCTGCCTCCCGCGCCCACCAAGAAGGAACTCGTTCGCCGTGCTGCCATTGACCGTGTCGAGGAGGTTGTTGGAATTCTGGCCATGCTGCGTCCTGCTGGTTACGTCGGCAATGGCATCAAGGCTATGTTTGCCTCTCAGCGCAAGCCTTTCAAGATCGATTCCATGATCGAGCTTGTCCGCGATTCCATCCGCAGCCCAATTCCCCGCGAGGAAGTGGAGGTGTGTCTTGAAATTCTGGCTGAACCTAGTATTGCCGGTAACTGGATCAGCATTGTTACTGTCAAGGAGATGAAGTCTGTTGTGTTGAAGTCTTGCAAGGACGTCTCTGCCAAAGATATTGGTGTGAGAGCTGCCCAACTCAAGGCTGACTGGGACAAGTCTGCTACATGTGTGAAGACCCCCGTCGTGTAAATTTCTGTTTGAAGATGTTGGGCTTTAGCCCTCTTCTTTTGTTCGAATTTTGTTCATCTCGCATCCGCGAAGCTGGTCTGCTCGCGATCCTGCATCAGCGCTCGATACCCTTTATTTTATCATTCGTGTTTTAGCCTCAGCCTGTACTATCTAGAAATTAGGTCTTCGGACAAACAATCATAATCCCATTAATCATCGAATCCATTTCCCACCCTAATTCCACAATATATCCTTAAAAAGACGATCAGGTCTGCCACTTAACGCGCGACGCGTCACACGTGACCGCGTGGCTGGAGCGCGTCGAATTGACAGATCCAACCACCATGATACAAGGTCAATTGTCCTTTTCCACCATCTTTTTCAGCATCAACCGACGAAATGTCTTCTCGACCAGATTTAAAGGTATGCCTTGAGCTTGCTTTATCCAATTTATCAGGCCCTCCCAAACTAATCTCCGAATTCTCCAGGTCGACGATGAAGTCGGCTTCATCGGCTTCTACCGCTCTCTCCCAGCAGTCGACAACAATGAAACAATCCGAGTATTCGACCGAGGTGACTGGTACTCCTCCCATGGTGCAGATGCAGAATTCATCGCACGCACTGTCTACAAAACAACATCCGTTATCCGCAACCTAGGCCGCAGCGAATCCAACGGTCTACCCTCCGTCACAATGAGTGTGACAGTTTTCCGGAACTTCCTCCGTGAATCTCTATTTCGCCTCAACAAGCGCATCGAGATCTGGGCCTCTGGCGGCACAGGCAAGGGCAACTGGAAGCTCGCAAAGCAAGCTAGCCCCGGCAACCTCCAAGACGTGGAAGAAGAGCTTGGCAGTGTGGGTGCCCTCTCAATGGACCAGGCACCTATTATTCTAGCTGTGAAGATATCTGCACGCGCAGCCGAGGCACGGAACGTCGGTGTGTGTTTCGCCGATGCAAGCGTGCGCGAGCTGGGTGTCAGTGAATTCCTCGATAATGACATCTACTCGAATTTTGAGTCCTTGGTAATTCAACTCGGCGTGAAAGAATGTCTTGTGACGATGGATGCGACGCGGAAGGATGTCGAGCTGGCTAAGATCCGTGCTATCGCTGATAGCTGTGGAATAGCAATTTCTGAGCGCCCTGTTGCTGATTTCGGTGTTCGTGATATCGAGCAGGACCTTACTAGGTTGTTGCGCGATGAACATTCCGCTGGGACTTTACCGCAGACGGAGCTGAAGTTGGCTATGGGGTCTGCTTCGGCTTTGATCAAGTACCTTGCTGTGATGACTGATCCTACGAACTTTGGTCAGTATCAGCTTTATCAGCACGATTTGTCCCAATATATGAAGCTTGACGCTTCGGCGTTGAGGGCTTTGAATCTTATGCCTGGTCCACGCGATGGCTCTAAGAGCATGAGTTTGTTTGGTCTTTTGAATCATTGCAAGACTCCTGTTGGAAGTCGTTTGCTGGCTCAATGGCTTAAGCAACCGTTGATGGACTTGGCTGCTATTGAGCAGCGGCAGCAACTCGTTGAGGCTTTCGTGGTTAATACCGAGCTACGTCAGACCATGCAGGAGGAGCATCTGCGTGCTATTCCTGATCTTTACCGGCTTGCTAAGCGTTTCCAGAGGAAACAGGCCAACCTGGAAGATGTTGTTCGCGCATACCAAGTTTCCATCCGTCTTCCCGGGTTCGTCAGTGCGTTTGGGGATGTGATGGATGAGCAGTATCAGGAGCCCCTCGAGGCTGAATACACATCCAAGCTACGTGGCTATTCAGATAGCCTGGCCATGCTGGAGGAGATGGTGGAAACGACAGTTGATCTTGCTGCTCTGGAGAACCACGAGTTCATCATCAAGCCCGAGTTTGACGAGGGTTTGAAGATCATCAGAAAAAAGCTCGACAAGCTACGCTACGACATGGATATGGAACACCGCCGTGTTTCAAAGGACTTGAACCAGGAAATGGAAAAGAAGCTTTTCATGGAGAACCACCGAGTTCATGGATGGTGCTTCCGTCTTACTCGCAATGAAGCAGGCTGTATCCGCAATAAAAAAGAGTATCAGGAGTGCTCGACCCAGAAGAATGGTGTCTACTTTACCAACTCGACCATGCAATCCCTTCGTCGGGAGCATGATCAACTCTCCTCCAACTACAACAGAACCCAGACCGGGCTGGTCAATGAGGTCGTCAACGTTGCCGCTTCGTATTGCCCGGTGTTGGAGCAACTCGCCGGTGTGCTGGCGCACCTTGATGTCATTGTGAGCTTCGCGCATGCTTCGATGCATGCTCCTTCGGGTTATGTCCGCCCTAAAATGCATCCTCGTGGAACGGGCAACACTGTTCTCAAAGAAGCTCGTCACCCATGTATGGAGATGCAGGACGATATTTCATTTATCACTAACGATGTTTCCTTAATTCGTGATGAGTCGTCATTCCTTATAATCACTGGTCCCAACATGGGCGGAAAATCCACATACATCCGACAGATTGGTGTGATTGCCCTCATGGCACAAACTGGCTGCTTCGTTCCTTGTACCGAAGCCGAGCTGACTATCTTCGACTGCATTCTTGCTCGTGTCGGTGCAAGTGACTCACAGCTGAAGGGTGTGTCGACATTCATGGCAGAGATGCTTGAGACTTCCAACATTCTCAAGTCTGCTACGTCCGAGTCTCTGATTATCATCGACGAGTTGGGTCGTGGAACTAGCACATACGATGGCTTTGGTCTTGCCTGGGCTATATCAGAGCATATCGTCAGCGAGATCCGCTGCTTCGGTCTGTTCGCAACCCATTTCCACGAGCTTACGGCCCTAGCAGACCGGTACCAGAAAGCCGTCAAGAACCTGCACGTCGTGGCATTCATTGGCGATGGTGATGACATGCAGGCCGAGGCTGAAGCTGAGGAGAAAAAGAAGCGCCAGGTGACTTTGCTCTACCGCGTGGAGCCTGGTATCTGTGATCAATCCTTCGGTATTCATGTCGCCGAATTAGTGCGATTCCCAGAAAAAGTCGTCAACATGGCCCGCCAAAAGGCCGAAGAGCTGGAAGATTTCACATCTGCAACGGGCGAAGGTGATGGCAAGCAAGTCTCTGCGCCATCCCTCGACAAGTACACCCAGGAAGAGGTGGAAGAGGGCAGTGCGCTGCTCAAGGCCATGCTTCTCAAATGGAAGGCAGCAACCGAGGGCAAAGAGCTTACCGCTGAACAAAAGCGACAGCTTATGCGTGATCTGGCAGGAGCCGATGAGAAGCTCCAAGCCAACAAAGTATTCCAGGGTATCAAGGCGTTGTAAGAATATGGTATTTATGTGAGGGCTCCATGGTGTCCGGCGTTCTGAGAGGAGACATGGAAAGACATGATCATGTACTCAACTATCATTCAAGAGAATAATTCAAATATTGATTACAATTGATACCACGATGAAATCACTTCTCCCAACCTGTCAATAAATCGGTAAGCAAGTCAGGTAAACAACCATGTCGATCTAGGGCCCGGGGCCAGTCACGTGTAACCGACGGTCTAGAAGCCATCAACGCGGGATCTCCATGAAGCAACATACACTTCCAGCCCCGGATTATCGCTCATTTCAGTCTTCAACTTGTCATTTCGGGCCTAAACTCACCACCAACATACCGGCTCTTCATATTACCCCACGGCCATCTCCCGAAACCCATCCCGTCCACCCCTCATCCAGCTATGCGCGCAACCTAAACGCGGAGCGCCTGAACAACCTCAATTCATGCACCCCTTTTCCGTCCTCACCCTTGGAATCTTTGTCGCGGGCTATATCACCGCCAGGTGGGATCTTGTAACCCGCCTGTACGAATTGGCCATTTTTGCCTGGGACCACGGTGTCGTGGTATGTGTCTTTCCTAGTCTTTGCTTTGGCTCCTAGCCGCCCCTCTCTCTCCACTTGCGACTTTATCAGCTTGGCGTCGCGCATGCTCCACGGTTATACTTTCTCTTGCACGAAATGCTAATTGATGTTCGCTGTATAGACGCGCACTGCAAAGGGATTCCTCTTCCTCTCCGTTTTCTTCTTCCTCCTCGTTCTGCCGATTAATCACCTGGCGTCGAAGGAGGGTCAGTTGGTGAGCCACTCGCAAATCCTCTACAGGCAATGAATTGGTGATGAATGCTGACGATTGGGGATGTTAGCATCCGCGCCACGTGAATTTCGGGGTCTCTGCGCGAGAACAGTTGCGCCGTCGAGGTTCGTTCTGAGACTCGAGTGGAGGATGACAATATGCTCATGAGCGATGGACTCCTGCGGGTATTTTGGCCATATGACCTCCCGCGATCTTCGTCGCCCGGTGTAATTGTTGGATGGCGGAACTCTGAGCTTGATCTGTTTGTGCTCACAGTGCTGGAGGATGTCGAGGTAAGTGGGGTTGAAACTGTTCAGCTTGCTTGTTTGGAAGCTAATGGTCCTGATTGATATAGCCTCGGAATGTCGACAATGCGCTTCGGGCGGGGATTCTCTTTCGCAATAGCCCGCACCCGGTTGTGCGTATCTTTGCGCTGTGTGGACGGTCCCAGATGCATGTCCTTGGCTCGACCAATTCTGCTCAGCCTCCCACTTCATTCAGCTCCTCTCATCTCTATGTGACTACGCACCCGCCATTAAAGGTCCCTCGTATTTTCTGTCCACCGGAAGCAGGCGTGTCGGTTCAGGTTATCATGTATCACCGTCCACACCCAACGCGTATGGAGTATATGTCCCTGGATCCAATTTCTCTGGCTCTGGGCGATAAAGCCACAACGGCGGAGATTTGGGGTCCATCTTCTGACAAGATAGAGACCGGGGAAGATGGAAACAAAGCTGGATCCAAACTGCTAGTTGAGAAGCTCAAGCTTCACTCAGTCGTCAGGCACATCCCATCGCAGAAGGAGCAAGCGCTCCCGCTGATAGTCAACCAAGTGAATTGTGCATATGAGATGGGGCAACTTATGCACAGGAACAGCCATTTAATTGGGATTCGTGCGAAGAGAAGTATGAGTGTCGGAGAACGTGTGGTTGAATCAGCAACAACGCTGTGGGGATTCCTTGTTCTCTGCATCGCCCATGTTTTCTGGAAATGGCTCTGGCCTGTTGTGACCAGAGTCTTTGTCATTGGGCTTGTGTGCCACCGATCTGTTGCGGAGATCGTCTTGCAGGTTCTCGAGTGGCGTGCTCGCCCTGACGCTGCTGCCCTCAAGGATATCTCGGCGACCGCTCAACAGGTTGATATACGGTTACAGCAGTTTTGCTACTGGCCGATTCAATATGTGAAGCTTCGGCAGAGAAAGGATAATTGGGAGAGCGTGACAACTAGTCATCCTGACTATATTCGATTCTATAACAGTTTGTGGCTTGTTGCTAATGATGTGATCATCGGCATTGCGCTAGGATCTTATATCATGGACAACGCGAACTGGGTCGCTTCTCAAATAAACACTGTTCTCACCGGATGGACAGTGGAAGGCCTGCAACGAACAATTTCATGGCTCATGGATTGGCCAGCTGGGCTGAAACTGAACAATGAACTGGCAGCATTCCTTGGTGACCTATTCCTCTGGGTCATTGAGAACTGGGCAGCTTGTATTGCCAATTTGCAACCTTATCTTCCTGCTGTCATCTATATCGTTGGATGTTCAAGCTTTGCAGGTGCAAGCATGCCAATTGCACTGTTCTCTGATCTTCTGTCGATTCTGACAGTCCACATTTACTCCTTTTACATTGCCTCGGCACGCATTTTTAATTGGCAACTCACCATTATCATTTCCCTTTTCCATCTATTTCGTGGCAAGAAACGCAACGTCCTACGCAACCGAATTGACTCATGCGATTATGACCTCGACCAACTTCTTCTTGGCACCATCCTCTTCACTGTCCTGTTCTTCCTACTTCCGACCGTTGTGGTATTCTACTTGACCTTCGCCTCGGCTCGGATGTTAATCATTTCAATGAAGGCAGCACTTGACACCTGCCTCGCGTTCTTAAATCATTTCCCACTTTTCGCCCTGATGCTCCGCGTGAAAGACTCGCAACGTCTACCAGGTGGTATCAGATTCGAGCTACGAGATGAAACAGACAAGAAACAAACTAATAAGGACTCGACTACGATGACCTCCTACATCCACCTTGAGGTAAGTTTTCTACATAATCAATCCATTGGGGCTGCCTAAATACTAACGTAAGCCAGTCCATCCCCTTACCACTACGTGCAATGTTCGACCAGTACTTCCAACTAGGTCATAGACTCCGGAAGCACTACCTCGCGCCCCGAGTTATTTTCTGCCTTGTCACTGGCCGTTTCGTACCTCCCATCCACCGCCGCAACCTGTATAGCATGCAATACAGCATGCTACCTGCCCGTCGGGCCGGCATGGCAGAGGTCTGGGCATTACTCACGCAGCCTAAGAAAAGCAGTAGCGGGAGTAGTGGCTCTGGCTCTATGGGCGGGGGCATTGGTGGCCTCAATCCGATTGCTAAAGTGCCTGCGAACTTTGGGCAGCTTGATATGCGGCGACGAGGTCATCGCTAATGCCATTAACCGCCTCACCGCATCTTATTTTGTACATAATTTCTTAACATATTCCTCTTTCCCGGGGTATCCTTAATTTCATGACCGCAAAGATATGTTTCAAGAAAGATAATCGATGATGAAAAGAGATATTGGTATATGCAAATGTAGAGATGAGATAGAATATGCACAGAACGAAACAACAATGTAGACATGTAAACCAACTCCGTCCCATGATTAGTTGCGAGTATGCGTGCTGTCGATGAACAGGATAATAGTGTCAAAGTCTTAGAGTAAAATGATCAAACAGACCAAAGATTTCCTTCAAGACTTTTTGAGAAACTCTGCGTCAGTTTCACTGCTACCGCTTTTGCGAGCATCATCCAACATGCTGTCAATGCCCCTTTCCTTCAAAACTTTCTAAGAGCAGCAAGAAATGCCCGTTAGATCATTGATGTCTTCTTGAGATGCAAGAGAATTTCTAGAAACTTACGTTCAAGCATCCCTTGTATTTCTTGAATAGTTCTTCACAGTCATTGGAAGCGGTGTTGCCACGCAGATATTCTGCTCCGTAGTTAGCTTCTGGTGTCTGTATGAAAATTGACATAACCGTGAGGCATACTCTCACTGTACCATTTGAGAAAGCAGGTGTCATATTTCCTAATTGAGTCATGTTAGTATATCCGGTTGACATGTAAACCTGGGCCTTCACTGAGACGTACTCTTTGATATCATTACATTCGGGGGCGATGGAGGCAGCCATGGTGATCAAGTATTATCCAAGCAGATGAGAAGACAGCTTTGATATATTCTGACAGCCAAAATTAGTCCTGATTGTCGATAGCTGAGTAGTTGAAACAAGAGAAAAGAGGTGATCCGCGGACCTTCATACAAAGTTCGCCACTCTGGGAAGGCGGTCAAAGCGGGCCAACCATTTCTCCAGTCAATTTCCTGCCGCGACTTTTTTTTCGGAGCGTTCTGACAACCGTTCCAGTTCCTTGTTCGCGCATTTTAATTACAAAGATCCCGGGAATTGAAGCTCTGCCAGTCATGGACTCTGCAGATTTTCAACCGTTCCAGGACAAGCTGTCGTCCGCACTGGTCCAAGTGACGCGGACTGTTGGACAGCTCTCTTCCGAAGACTTGAACTTCCACCGCACCTTCAACGCCGATGTCTCAGAGTCACTCGATGAGCAGAGTGAGCGCATCATTGCGCTGACTACCGCCGTGCTCAAAGCTGCGACAACCGGTACCGATATCGCCGCTCCGACCCTGAACGACGAGGATTCTGTCGACGACAACTGGCGCGGTGTGGTAGACGTGATCGACTCGCTTTTGGAAAAAGCCGATGCTTGTCTAGATGAGTTTACAGGCGTCATTAAGAAGTTGAGTCCGTCGGAGGAAGAGCAGGCTCCCGTGATTGTGAAGAAAGCACCAAACTTCCCATCGATTTACGACTACGGCCCGTCCAAGATTCCCAAGCCACAATTGGAGTTTGACCGCAAACCTGATAATTCTGACCTGGGACCTTTCAAGCCGCTGCTCAAGACCAAACCAAATGCCATTGTCCCGCTGGATCAGTGTTTGAAAACACAGAAGATCGATGGCGCAATCGCTTATCCTCACCCCTACGCTGCTGAGATCCGTGCCTCCGAGTATCCCAAGCCCGTATATGAGATCTCTCCCCCGGTTGACTATTTACCATTTGAGAGTACGACAGCTACATTTGTCGATACATTGGATGGAGTCAAGGATATGTTGGAGGAACTGAAGAAAGCGAAGGAAATTGCTATTGATTTGGAACACCACGACGTTCACTCTTACCACGGCCTTGTGTCTCTGATGCAGATCAGCACTCGCGAGAAGGATTGGGTTGTGGATACTTTGAAGCCCTGGAGAGAAGAGTTGCAGATGCTCAACGAAGTGTTTACAGACCCCAAGATCTTAAAGGTCCTTCACGGTGCTACTATGGATATCATCTGGTTGCAGCGTGATCTGGGCCTCTATATGGTTGGCATGTTCGATACTTTCCATGCTGCATCTGCGCTCGGTTTCCCCAAGCGGAGCTTGAAGTTCCTCCTGCACAAGTTTGTCAACTTCGAAGCTGATAAGCGGTATCAAACTGCTGATTGGCGAATTCGCCCACTTCCCACCGAGATGTTTGACTATGCACGGTCCGACACACATTATCTTCTTTACATTTACGACTGTCTACGCAACGACCTAATTGAAAACTCGACCGCCGAAGCGAGCCACATTGACTACGTTAACGAGCGGTCAAAGGACGAAGCGCTGCAACGGTACGAACGCCCTGTTTACGATGCCGTGCATGGACATGGCCCGGGAGGTTGGTATGATCTGCTGTGGCGTAACGCTGGTAACCTCACCAAAGAGCAATTCGCTGTTTTCAAGGCTGTTCATCAATGGCGTGATGAAGTAGCGCGCGCCGAGGACGAGGGATGGCAGTGTGTGTTCCCCAAGCACGTTCTTTTCAGGCTCGCCACCGCCATGCCGCTCGACATGGGCACCCTGTTCCGCACCCTGTCACCTGTCACTCCCATTACAGGGGACCGCAAACATGAGCTCCTGGACCGCATCAAGGAGGCCAAGGTTGCCGGTGCTACGGGCCCCGAATGGCGCGATACGACACCCCCAAAACACGCGAAGATTGCAGAGGTGACTGACCAGCAATCTCAACCCGCCGATCTCCCTATTGCAAAGCGATTCGAAATATCCCAGTTTTGGGGCGATATTTTGGAAATCCAAGAAACCCCTCTTCCCCCAGCATATGCTCTCACTGCCTCGGCAGAGGCTCTTCGCCTCTCTCTTCCGTTGCCAGCCATGCCGAGAACCGTTTCTGAGACTCGGGAAGCCCTCGGCACGGCCTCCAAACCCGTGGAAGCACCCAAGCCCAAACCCACGCCCGGCCCCGAGGCCGAAGACAAGAAATACTTCACTGTCAAGGACCTCGGTGGTCCCCGCAAGCGCAAGGTCACCCCCGTCAACGACACCACACAAGCCCTCTCCACCACGGCCGATCTCGACGACGGCAATGCCGACTCGACCGAAAAGAAGTCCAAGAAGTCCCGCAAAGAGAAGAAGGAGAAGAAGGCTAAACAGGCACAGACCGCCAACGAGGCCGCCTTCGACTACAACAATGCCAATGCCGTTCTCAATGCCCCCTCTTCCTCCAAAGCAATGCAACCGAAGAGACGTACTTTCAACCCATATGCCAAGGCTATGGAAGCACCGTCGGGTGCACGCAAGACCAAGCGCGAGACGCCTGGCAAATCTCTTACTTTCCGAGATTAAACGAGGGAGTTGGGGTCACGACACCCCCGAAAAAAAAAGCATGGTTGGGGTTTGGCTGGTTCCAAGGTTCTGTCTTTGTATCTTCTATATCTATTATTTTCTAGCATAGCGATACCCGTGTGTCAATTGAAGGCTCTGGGATTCTATTTGTGTTGAATATCAGGGTTTTGATGGCAGAAGTCTCCCGTGCCACAGTTTCGATCTGATTAGATGGAGGGTCGCCAAGTGCTCCGTAGTGGATTTGGTGATTAATAGTTTGAGCCCTTGGAATCCACCTGCAGTTCGTGAAGCAGAGCGGCAAGGATAGTGGCGTTTCTGGAGCCGATGATATACACATGCCTGCATGATGTGAACTTTCCGATATATCTACTGCCAGTTGCGACAAGTCCACCCCTTTTTTTGCTTTTTGCTCTCTTTTCTTTTCCCGCTTTGAATGGATTGATATGGAGTGTCTACTGTACTGTCAGTCAGTTCAACACGTCCTCCCCGCTCAGACCCCAAATCAAGACTAAAATTGTGGCCGCGGTCAAGCCACAGACTAGCACCGATGCAGTGAGACACTGTCTGAGGGAACTCCGTTACCTGTCAGTTTTCGATGTTCTGCTGTTCTCTCTCCTTTGGGGCTTTCGAGATTCATTAGGTTTCAGCCCCCCTGCCAACCCCTATCCAGTACATACACACTGCGAGACATAATCGACTCACGAGATAAGGGCACCTTTTACCACGAATCAAACATATTCATTCCACTCTGCATGGACCATCCCCCACTAAAAAAAGCAAAAAGACCAAGCTAATAGAAACGGGGACAAGACAAGAATTCACTTACAGTACACAGTCCACATGTACACACCACTTGTACACCACTGCACTGAGGATCTTCAATGCTCTGATCCCCGATTAGGCAGTCACCGAGCCGATCACCCGCTCTGACCAGGCCACGTATCGAGCATCAGTTCGGTTCTAGTGCGTCACTCATCCATGTAATACACTGATTTGAATTACCTGGTTACCTGACGTACCTCTGTCGATCCGGAACAGGATTTCGCTGAGATGGGACGGAGGACGGAAGTCAGAAGTTTGTGTCGGAGGTTTAACTTATATGCATGTACCCTTCTACACTTATCAGGGGGTCAGGATCTGCGGCATTGGCGTGTTTCATACCGGACAGGATGGCGGTCTGTGTCAATGGAGGTGAGATGTTGAGTTTATAGTTCTATAGTTTATGTTAATGTTTATGTTTAACTGCCATGTTTAACTGATTGAACTGGGATGTTGCTGATGTGAAGTGATCAGGGGAAGAGTCCCACTCGTCTCCACTGAACCCCCTGAGAGCATAGGCCGTATGTAGAACAGTTCCCAGGGTTGGCTTTCTTAAACTAAATTATGAGATTCCAAGGTATGGTAGACTCTCTGGGTTGGCACAGGGGAGAGTGTAAAGTACCGTACATCCGAGACTATCCGTGAACGATCAGAGTAGTGCAGTAGAAGTAGCAGTAGTCTAGTGTTTACAGTACAGTAGAGGATCCTGATCATCCTGAAACTCGACTCGAATAGCACATGGACGGCTCGTGGACTAGGGCTGCAGGTACCCTGCAGACATGAGACTTGACGTCAAAACAGTCGGGACAAATAGTGTATAGACAAGATCAAGAGTGGCGAAAAGGCGCATTGGGCCAGGGGTAAAGGCCCCTTGCAGTCAGAAAAAAAGGGCGCTCCACTGCCATTATCCACCTCTCACTTTTTTCCCCAGAGACTAATCTCCCCTCCCCCTCCCTTCTTACAATCTCTTCTTTGTTCTCTCTCTGTCTCCCTCTCCTTCTCTTGTTTAGTCCATTTCACTCAAGAGGTCCCTTCGTTATCTCATCCCCCCAGCGTTAATCACCAGGGGTTATCTCATCCCGATTGCCCCTACAATTGCCATTCGTCCGACCACCGGCAGTCTGTATTTGGCTCCGCGACACGACCCGGTTCTGACGACCAGTCAAATTCCCACAATGTCCGTGGCTACAATGCTTCAACCTGCGTCTAGACAATCTCGAGCTTCGTCGTCCTCTTCGTCCTCGTTTCAGCCCGTCGCACGACAGAACACAATGTCGTCGCACGATACTCGGTCGATCCGCCAATCCAAGCGGATGTCGGTAACCGCCTTGTACCTGTCCATGTCCGCCAAGGATAGGGACTTGGAGATTTCCGATGACCTGGCACGAGGTAGGTTGCAGTCGTCGTCTCCAAAGGTCGCACTAACCCCCTGGCAGCACAAAAACACCTGCGGGACCTGAAGTCCCGGATCTCGTCACAATCCAAGAAGAACTTTGTGTTGGAGAAGGATGTGCGATATCTCGATTCGCGGATCGCATTGTTGATCCAAAATCGAATGGCCCTGGAGGAAGTAAGATGATCACTCAACGCCCAACTGACGCGTCCACTGACCCTTATCTGCGCAGCAAAATGAAGTCGCCAGCCACCTCGATGACACCGCAGATCCCCAGGAAGGCTTCTTCCCGAACGATGAGCGAACCCAGAAGTATGGCAATCTGCTCTTCCTCTTGCAATCCGAACCCCGCCACATCGCCCACCTCTGCCGACTGGTCTCCATGGCCGAAATTGATTCCCTCCTCCAGACCGTCATGTTCACGATCTACGGAAACCAGTACGAGAGCCGCGAAGAGCACCTGCTGCTTACCATGTTCCAGTCCGTCCTCACCTACCAATTTGACAACACGCCTGAGTACTCCTCCTTGCTTCGCCAGAACACCCCCGTTTCTCGCATGATGACCACATACACACGCCGTGGTCCCGGTCAGAGTTATTTGAAGCAGGTTTTGGTGGATCAAATTAATGCGCTGATTGAGTTGCGCGATGTTGATTTGGAGATCAATCCCCTGAAGGTCTATGAGAGCATGATCAAGCAGATTGAAGAAGAAACCGGCTCTCTCCCAGACTATCTGGCCCGGTCTGTGACAGCCGAAGATGCAGCAGATAACGCCCAGGTGCAGGCCATTATTGCTCCTCGCTTGAAGATGTTGACCGACATCGCGAATGGATTCATCACAACCATTATTGAGTCCGTGGACGAGGCTCCATACGGTATTAGATGGATTTGCAAGCAGATTCGCAGTTTGTCGCGCCGAAAGTACCCCGATGCACAGGACCAGACCATCTGTACTCTTATCGGTGGTTTCTTCTTCCTGCGTTTCATTAATCCCGCGATCGTTACTCCTCGGTCGTACATGCTCATTGACGCCACGCCTACCGACAAGCCCCGTCGAACCTTGACTTTGATCGCCAAGATGATCCAGAACTTGGCGAACAAGCCTTCCTATGCCAAGGAACCTTACATGGCAAGCCTTCAGCCCTTCATCCAACAGAACAAGGAGCGTGTCAACAAATTCTTGCTTGATCTGTGTGAAGTACAGGACTTCTACGAGAGTCTTGAGATGGACAACTACGTGGCTCTGTCGAAACGCGACCTCGAGCTCCAGATCACGCTGAACGAGATGTATGTCATGCACGGTCTCTTGGAGAAGCACACTGCAGCGCTTGCCCAGGACCAATACTCTCACCTATCTGTGTTGCTGCAAGAGCTGGGCGCTGCTCCCCCTCAGGTCCCTCGCAAGGAGAACAGGACCATTACAGTGCCCTTGTTCAGCAAGTGGGAAACTGCCCTGGATGATTTGACCGCTGCCCTTGATATCACCCAAGAAGAAGTGTTCTTCATGGAAGCCAAATCGACTTTCGTTCAAATTCTGCGATCCTTGCCCCAGAATTCTTCCGTCGCCCGTCGACCTCTGCGACTCGATCGCATTGCCGAGGCAGCGGCGACTCTGAAGAATGATGCCGTGATGGTGCGCAAGGGCATTCGCACTATGGAACTGCTCAGCCAATTGCAGGATATGGGTGTGATCGACCGTTCTGATGAGTTCAGTTTGCTTCGCGATGAGGTGGAGCAGGAGCTGGTGCATCTCGGCTCCCTCAAGGACAAGGTGCTGGAAGAGACGCGCAAACTCGAAGAAGTGTTTGCCACCATTCGCGACCATAATGCCTACCTGGTCGGCCAGCTTGAGACCTACAAATCCTACCTGCACAACGTGCGCAGCCAGTCCGAGGGCAAAACTCGTGGCAAGACCACGAAACACCAGGAGCTTGGACCTTACAAATTCACTCATCAGCAACTGGAGAAGGAGGGTGTTATTCGTCGCAGCAATGTGCCTGAGAACCGACGGGCGAACATTTACTTTATGTTTAAGAGCCCATTGCCTGGTACATTCGTTATTAGCTTGCATTATAAGGGTGAGTCCAGCAATTTTTTCCCCCAGCTGCACACAACTTCAAAGAACAATTTACTGACAACTATCTATCAAGGCCGTGCTCGTGGATTGTTAGAGCTTGATCTCAAACTCGATGATCTCCTCGAGATGCAGAAGGATAACCTCGAAGACCTCGATTTAGAATACGTCCAATTCAACGTCACCAAGGTGCTAGCCCTCCTCAACAAGCGATTTGCGCGCAAGAAGGGCTGGTAAAGGTACCTGATCCCAGGCTCCTCAGAGCTGTCTGCTATTTACGAATGATGAGCCGAGGCAGGAGGTTGACTCCTTTCCGCCTGCCATCCCGGTGACGATTGACTATCGAGTTGCAATCCTGTGATGACCATGCCAATGCATCTCCCATATACCCTCAACAACGATGAATCGGACGTCTTGTCTCAAACGACTCCGACCTACCGTCTATGCAGTTCGGGCGCAATGCCCTGTGTGAATGTTACCCGTACACGAACATACCCACGAAGGACGCTCAAGACCCTCCCCGCTGGTTCGGGCAAGGGGGTTCAGCCGGTGATCTTGTGCTTTCTGTTTATTTTCTCATGGCCCCCGTTTCTTTCCATGTTATTTCCTTTGTCTTGCCTCGTCCTTTCAATGTCTATACCCAGAGGATATTTGTCTTTTGCTTTTTTTTTTTTCTTCTCTATTTCGTTTCTGGCTTCGGGGCCCTGTGCCTTATAATCAATCCCATCTCCGGCATGTTGTGTTCTGTTTTGTTTTCATCACCGCTCAGGCTTATATGGTCTGCATGCGCTGTGTATAATAATGCTTGTTGCGATGTGTGTTTTTTTGATTTGAATACCCGTATGGTTAGGATGGCGGTTGACCTCGTTCTGTACAGAGCCTAGGCAGATAACAATTCATTTCGGGGTTTGCACTTGATGTTATATAGTGCCAATCGTATTGCCAATCGTATTGCCAATCGTATTCGCATCAAATCAGAACCGGGAGTCTGTACACGCGTTGAATGCCAGGCTGGTGTCCACTGTCTTGCAGAGTGGGTTTGGGTCCCTAACACCGCCACGTTTGCCCCTCGCCCTTGCCCCTTTTCCTGCTTCAGGAGGGGTCTGTGGTTGAGTCGGAATCCGGTTATTTGTTGTGAGCTGTGTTGATATGTGTGTGTTTATATGCCGAAACCAGCAAGTAGTCATCGGGAGCTAAGGTCAACGGTCGACTCCCCGAGGCCGTTTGCGGATCAACTCGAACAGAACAAAGGATAGTGAACTTCATGTTAGCTCAAGTATTGTAGACACGAATATGTAGCAGCCTAATAGTGCAAAACAATAACCCAAGCAATAACCCCATAACTTAACTTAGTATTGCCTGCTTATTAAATAGTCGGGAATCACTTGGAAGAGACTTTGGACCTCAAAGTGGCCACTTACGCCAGACGCCAGACCCCCCCCTCCGCCTCCCGCCCTCAACCCTCCTCCCTCTCTTCTTTCCCAACCACATACTTCACAATGGCTACCGAGAACAAGTTGCCCACCGACTCCAAGTACGACCAGTACGACTTCCCTACGACTGCCCCGGAGTCGCAGCCTGGTCACCCTGGCCACACCACCCCGGAACAGGATGCTCAGGTGCACCAGCTCCGCGCTGAGCTGGAAAAGCTCGGCTACACTGAGCGTCTGGATACTCTAACTTTGCTGCGTTTCCTCCGTGCCCGCAAGTTTGATGTCGAGGCCGCCAAGAACATGTACGTTGGCTCAATTCTTGCGGGGAGACTTTTTTTTGGGTTGTTGTGACCTGACAACTTGGAAATCTCTCCGTTCCTGTTTCTGCCTTTGGGCTTTGACTGGCATCGATGTTTGAAAGTTGCTAATCTGATTTGCATCACAGGTTCACAAACAGTGAGAAATGGCGCAAGGAGTTCGGCACCGATGACCTCGCCCGTACCTTTGAATACCCCGAGAAGGAGAAGGTCTTCGAATACTACCCACAGTATTACCACAAGACCGATAAGGTGTGTTACATTCTTCTTTTCCTTCATTGATAGTCGACGTCCGAGGCACCGAATACATATTAACACCAACAACAGGATGGACGCCCCGTGTACATCGAGAAGCTGGGCAAGATCGACCTGAACAAAATGTACCAGATCACCACCGGCGACCGCATGCTCAAGAACCTCGTGACCGAGTACGAGAAGCTCAGCGACCCCCGTCTCCCTGCCTGCTCCCGCAAGGCCGGAAAGCTCCTCGAGACCTGCTGCACAATCATGGACCTGAAGGGCGTTGGTATTACCAGCGTGCCCTCCGTCTACGGATACGTCAAGCAGGCCTCCGACATCTCCCAGAACCACTATCCCGAGCGTCTGGGCAAGCTGTACCTGATCAACGCCCCCTGGGGTTTCAGCAGCGTGTTCAGCGCCGTCAAGGGCTTCCTTGACCCTGTCACTGTCAGCAAGATCCACGTCCTCGGCAGCGGATACCAAAAAGAGCTGCTTGCCCAGGTTCCCGCTGAGAACTTGCCCGTTGAGTTCGGTGGTACTTGCAAGTGTGAGGGTGGCTGCGAGCTTGCTGACTTCGGTCCCTGGAGGGAGGATGAGTGGGTTCGCACTCCCAAGTGGGCTCAGCCCAAGGAAGAGGCTGCTGCCCCTGCTGAAGCTGCTGCTCCCGCTGAGGCTGCTGCTCCCACTGAGGCTGCTCCCCCCGCTGATGCTACTGCCGCCGCCCCTGCTGAGGAGAAAAAGGAGGAGGTTGCCGCTGGGGCTACTGCCTAAATCTTTTGAAGTTCTTTTCCTGATTTTATCGGCCTGGCTGTCTCATATCCTCTGGCTAGACCTCCCGGAAAAATAAGAATGTAGGGAGATTACGATCAACCCCAAAAAAACAATCATCTCCTGCCCTGGTCCGAATACAATCCCGTCCGACCTCTGCATACCTCCCAGGCAGATCGGGATATTTCCTTCTGGTAGCTTCAACACATCCCCGTCGACCCATTCACGGCTACAGTCGTGGACTCTTTATCCCACATTCGCTTTTTTTGCAATCTGTTTGATTTTTGTTCAGATTTAGATATCATGGAGAGCTTGCTTTTGTTTTCAGCTTTGTTTTTTTGGGCCTGTTCATTGGCAGCGTGCCCTGCTGCGCTGGCTTCAGTATAGAAGGAACAGGACGTGGTGAAATTTAAAAGTGAGATGGTGTGACGGTGATTTGCTTGTATCTTTTTGTTTTATGGGGTATGCATCGATGAGCATATATTTAATCGTGGCTTCATATCTATGATGTTGATATCTTATGCCTAATTGCTCAATCCCAGGGCTGAGGTCTTTCCGTTGTAGAATTGTGCAGCAGCACGATTGATCTCTGATCTGAATTTACATGCTGCAAACATGATTGCATAAAAATGAATTGCTGGCACACTGAAGCCAATAGATAATAGAAAAGACATGGTATCATGATCCCCGAGTATACCCCAGGTTCCCAAACGCCCCATCACGAAAGCAACCCTAAAAACATAACCTCCCCCAAAGTAGAAACGCCAGTAAAAGAAGATCATAGACTCCTGAAACCCACTTCACATACTCTCCACCACCTCAGCAGCACGCCCAGCCCTCTCAGCTTTCCCAACAGTCGAAGCCAAAGCAAGCCCCTCCGCACCATCACCCGCCTCGCCCTCACCCTCACCCTGCAACCTCAAAATAGACCGCAGGGCATCCTCATAAACCCCCGCAATATCCCCACTAGCCCAACGCTCCTGCTCCTCCGTCGACCCAAGAGCAACCTCCAACTTCCACGCCGGATCGACACCTTTCAACCCAGACCCAGAATCAACATCCATTCCATCCCCCGCCGTTCCAGCCCCACTCGCAGCATCATATTCCTCCTCTTCAACCTCCCCCTGAATCAATCCCTTAAGCTGCGCCGCATACTCCCTCGCAGCGCGTCTCGGCGCGTCCCGTCTCTGCTGCGCGATGCCCGTCGTCAGCGACTCAAGCTGCGCGTAGAGGGCCGTCACGCGCGACGCTAGCTCTGTATCGTAGGCTTCATACTCGACTGTCTCGGTTGGCTTTGTCAGAGCTGCCGGGAAGGGGAACTGTTCGGATGTGGAGTCAAGCCCGTTGATGCTTATTGACGAAGAGGCTGTTTCGAACGTTGTGTTGATATACTGTATATTTGGAATCGGGATCGTTAGCTTGAAGTCCACATGGATCAATGGGGTTGACCGGGGCGCTCACATCGTCGACTAATTCTCTGACGCGTTCGCGCATCGGATCGGGCGTTTCATTGTCGATTGCCGAAGGGGGCAGATTCAGGTCTAGTTTGCGGCGCGCGAGCGCGACTGTGTTGGTGTATAGGTAGATGAAGTCTGCTGGAGACTGGAGCTCGATCTTGCGGTGGTGGGCTGCCATGGTGGTTTGGAGGGGTTGTTGTTGATGAGTGGATTGCCTTTTGTTTTTTTTTTTTGGAGAGGAGAGGAGAGAGGGCTTGGCGGTCTCCCCGCAAACGATGTCATCGTTGCATTTGGCTTTCTCTTCTTCAACCTCACTTTCCATGATTTTCGGTCCTTTTCTTCCCTTTTTTTTTTCTTTTGTTGATACCCTCCCATTCATATCTGTTTTTATATCTTTTTTTTCTCTGCGGACCATATTTTAGGATTATGCGCCTGACTCTCGGGCTCTGCGCGAGGTGATATCCGATCGAAAACTCCTTGGGTCCAAGATTCGAGATCGATACCACTTTTATACTCTATAACATACCTATACTACCTATAACATGACCATGGAGAACTCGACTTCGATTTCGCTGGTCGATAATACCCTTCCCGAGCAACAACAGCACGGCGAGGGGCCCTCACGACGAGCATCAGCTCTCGATCGGCAAACAAGCTTAACAAAACATTTAAGCCGCGCATCGATCCAGAGCCAGCTCACAAAGCGAAAATATGCAAAGTGGCAACCCGATAGACTGGGAATTGCGCCCGATACTAGCGAACCACTCAGTCGGGAATCGTCCCAAGCTCGAGGGGGATCAGTCTCGGCAAGCTCCACTGGAGAAGGCAGTGGGGGCAGAGATATTGATGCGGCCGATTTTGAACCATCCCGCGTATCCAGCCATACTGGAACTGGAACTGGAACTGGAAATGGGAATGGGTATGGAAATGCGATGGAGAATATTGATCCTGGGACCCAAACGACTAAAAGGGGCTCGGAATTAGACATCCTCTACGAAAACCAGCGAGGCTGGTTCATATTTGGTGTCCCACGGTACTCACACAGCTCGCTGTTGAATTTTGATCCCAGCCCCTGGATGACGCAGGATAAAAGAGCTAGTGCTGTCAATATCACGAATGCCCAGCTGCCCGACCCGAGTTGGGAGTGGGCGTGGAAGGCGTGGTATGTCGACATGTCGGGTGATGTCGATGAGCAGGGCTGGCAGTATTCTTTCTCATTCGCCTCCTCCTCGTGGCATGGGACACAGCCGTGGTTCCATTCGTTTGTTCGGAGGCGGCGGTGGGTAAGACTGCGGATCAAGACTCCGGAGAGGCGGCATCGTGGTCGTTCGGATTTTGAAAAGTCGCATATGCTTACCGAGGACTATTTCACTATTCACTCCTCCAAGGTTCGGAGCCGGGAGCAGAGTGTTGCGGGCTTGTCCCGGGTTGAGTCTGGGTTCTTGAATCGTGCCAACCTTACGGTTGACGAGGAGCCGCAGATCGAGGAGATTGGGAATATCCCCAGCTTGATGCAGGCTTTAAAGCTTGCTTCTATTGATCGGGAGAGGATTGATGCTCTCAAGATGTTCGTGAAGAATGGAGGAGATGAGCTTTATTACTTGGCTGATAGGGTGAGTCCAGCCTGCTTTTCAACGATTTTTTGATATTGTGTAGCTAACCCTAGATATCAGATACCCGAAATCATGCCAAGATTCCTTTTCCAGACATCACGCTGGCAATTCGTCACATACCTTTCTGATGCTGTTCGGGACTTATCCAGAACTCTTCCTGACACCGACAAAGATGCCGATGCAGTTCAACGCAAGAAAGATAATCTTATCCGAACTGCGGAAGCTTGCAAAAGCCATATCACTGGACCTGATGTTTTCAAAGACACAAAAGGGGAATCGGAGGCGGAATTGCTCAACCTAACTCCGGTAGCCAAGCAGGACTCATTAATGGCCAAGCGTCCGGTCCTGGAGGAGCGGTCACGGTCGATGAGGCGGATTTTCAGGGGCATTCCCAAAGCTGCTGAGATTGACCGAGAAGGCCACATCTATTAATGTAAAAATAGTTGCTACAAAATGCAAATTAGCTTGAATAGATGAAGTTTTGTTCGTGGCGAGCAATCAAGGCTATAGATCTCGTCGGGCCACCGCCTGCCGCATCGGCGCCGACAATTTTCGGGGCAAAAAGGTCCTCCGTCGCAAACACCCCATCAGCAACACGTCCATCTCCTTTCTCACTCATGACTTCCGGGTTGTTGGAGCATCGACCCCTATGCTCTCTCGTGGCCGCCCATGTCTAAGGAGGCGAGTGTCTACCTTCTTGGACACCGTCACGACTGGGCCCGGTGAACCTCTTCTCTTCCTCTACCCCCGCTGGGCTGCACCTACCTTACCACATCGACGACCAATCTCCTTTTTACATTCTACAGAGCCCCAGACAAGGACGTATCGGAAGTCTTTGGTACCCTTTCGTCCAACGGCTCGCCCTTCTCCGTCGCTTCCTCGATACTCGCGCCAATGGATTTCCTCTCATGTTGCTACCAGCTCTGTTGATGAGACGAGTCTCAAATCGCCTTTAGCAGTGACGCCCGATAAGTTGCCAATTGAAAATGGGACTGGCATTGACACCAATAGCTCCAAGGACAGCGTTGGGAAGACCACTGACTCGAAGCTATCCGGCTCCTCGGCTTGGATCAATCATGGCGCTTCGAAACCTCTATCTCCTTCAAGGCTGGCAAGAGCAAAGATGATACAGAAAAGTCGCCAGCATAATCGATCCCTGGATGATTCACCGCCGCGCCTCACGAAGAAAAAGATCTCCGACAGAAACTTGTCCACTCAAGACTCGCACAAGCTACGATATCGTGAATACCAGAGGGAAAAGTACAAGAAGAATGGAAAGCACTATGTGGACAAAGCTTGGTTGGACACAAAAGATGTGTTGGAGGAAGTACAACAAGATTCTCGGAAGAAAACCAAGCGTCGGACAAAGCAGAAGGAAGTACTTATTGCAGAAGACACCCTGGGTATATTTTGTGGCGCGACCAAGTGGACATTACAGGAAAATATTTGGTATCTTTCAGTCCACAATGGGTGCCGAGTACATTGTCTCTCTGTGGAAGAAAACAAAGGGCTTTATCGCCGAGTGATTCTGTCTGGAACAGAGCATGTTTTAGACCTCGTGCAGGCACGTATTGCCCGTGCACAGAACCTCCAAATGACTGGCGATCCTCTCGTTGATATTCAAAAACCACTGGCCCCCATGTGTCTCTCGAAAAGTGCCATGGAGCGTGCAAAGGTCCCCACGCCTCTGATCCGGGGAATCTGGTGCTTTGAAAAGCGTCCGTTGAATCGCAGGCGTTTTGACGAGATTCTCATGTCGGATCCGGCTCTGGCTTCGGTAAAAGAGTTTGTCGAGCAAGTTGAGGAGCTCACACTTTCAGGGGGATCGAAGTCAAATGTCATGAATGGGCAGGCATCTTCCACAATGAGGGCTGCCATTCCTTCCAAACAGATTGCTCAACGTCTCCTCGCTATTTTCCAGTCAGATCTGAACTATAAGCACATATCGACCGCGGCTTTAAATCACGCATTGATTTATCTTTGTGACCATGAGCTTCCTGGAATTGCTCGAGACCTCTGTTCATATGCAGAACATGTGGCCACAATTGACACATTTAATATTTTGTTGAAATACGCTGCCCGGTCCCAAGATGTGGCAATGTTTCGTGGACTTGCGCGGACAATGCCTGGAGCCCACATTTCTCCGAATCCAGCCACATGGATTGCCTTGCTCAGTGCTCTTGTGACTCCCTCTGAAAAGGCCGACCTCATGCAGCATATGGTTCATCGTGGTTACATGTCCAACACTGCGACTATTCGCAGTGCATTACAGTATACGATCCAGGATTCACTCATGACTCACCTGGACAGCGGGAAAAACATGGAGTCTTTTATTGATCTTATGGTTCACACACACGGGGCCAATTGGTTCAGTAACTCCATGCTCGGTCAGCTCGTGGAGACGGTGATCCGGTTGAGCGACTGGGATTCCCTGAACTGGCTTATACAACTTTGCATTAAAAACAGCGTGCCTTTGCCCGAGTATATACTCGTCAAAATTTTGCATGCGCGCCGTCGTGACACCATTGGCGCTTTACAATTTTATTTCCAGTTTGTTGAAATGCCAGGGTTCAAACTTTCGCCGAAAGGGTTCGAGACTCTATTCCTGTCTGCTTACAAGAATCGCCATTTCAACCTCTGCCGCGTTCTATGGCGGTATGCATGCATGTGGAGGCGCGTGACATACCAGATGCGCCAATGTGTCGTGACATCCTTGTCTCGCACTGTGCCTTTTCGGAAGGGACCGGAGACCGTTGACCTTTGGAGCACTGACTCTGGCAAGGTCATTGTCGGTCTTGATCTACACCATGAAAGTTACCCAGTGAAGGATTCCCTCCTCCACGGTATTCCCCCGGAGTTCCACCAGAACCCTCTTGCCTACCTGAATAAATGGAAACCCGTGGGCACAGAACGAGGCCTTCATCTGCGCCTTGCCAAGGCCCTTGTTCAGCGAGATATCGAGCTTGGTAGTGCCAATCACTATTATCCCAAGAATCCTCTTCCACTCATGTTGGATGCAGCAGCCATCTTAGATGAAGAATGGCGTAATGTCCCGCGGCCATTGGCCTGGTCCATGCAAAATGCCATCGGAGTTCCTATCGGTCTCTCATCGGAAAGAGACAACCAGATCTAACGCGCCACCTCCCTCATCTTCTTGCATCTGTGTTATCCCCCAATGTTCATTCTTCTTGTTCGGCGCTAGCGTGTTGCCTGCATATACCATCTGGCGGACTTGTTTTGACTTTGATTTGTCCACCTTCATGTCCCCATCCTTGTATTCTACACCTCTCTTGTATATTATGAAAACCCATAGAATCATGGACCTGTGATACAAACAGCCAACCAGCTGTCTCGTCTTGAATTTATCCCAACCCAAACAAATCAACCATTTTATAATACATCGCTTTATAGGTCTCATCAAAATCTAAGCAGCGCATCAAGATCATCCATAAATCCACGTGCGTCTGTCTCCTGTCCACTCCTCACTCCGACCTCTCCCGTCGAAGAAAGATCCCTAAGCACAATGCCAGTCCTGCAAGCTGCCACTCCAGATCCAGACTCTATCCCGCCCGACGAAGACGGAGATCGAGAGACAGATCTAGACGCCGGCATGCCAATCCCTTTGAAGCAGACTTTGTCCGCAGAAGCAACATCGATACTCTCGCGAGAACACACCCCAGACCCAGACCCAGATCCAAGCCCAAGCGAAGCATGCCCTTTGTCCTCATTCCCATCTCCTCCATCTCCCCCTCCATTACATTGATATCCTGCGACTCATCACTCTCTCCCTCACTTTCGGGCGAAAGGGGAGCCAACAATCGGCGCATCTCCGAGAACATCGAGAAAGCCGCACTCCAACGCGGAACTTCATGATCGATCCCTTTTGGAAATGGAAGTATATTCCCGCCGTATTCATCGCCAGAGATATCGTCGTCATTATGCTCATTCTCATTATCATTATGCTGGTTATTGTTGCGGTGGCGATGGGCGATTCGGTGGCGAGTAGGTCTAACGTGCCGAGGTTCGATGTTTAGTTTCCCCACGTTCCAATAGATAAATATGAATATGACGGAATGGCATGAAAAGAAGTGAAGTGAAGAGAAGAGAATGAATACCTTTCAATTGAATCTCTCGATATACAAACCTGACCCTCCTTACGACAGTGCGTACACTGGTAATAGGGCGGACTGATATCGCATCGTTTCTTACGCGCGTGGCAAGCGGCGCAGGCGGATTTCCCGGGTCGACGGCCTTGTCGTTTGCTTGCTTTTACTATGCCGGGAGATTGCAACTGGTGGAGGGCTGTGAAATCCATGGTGAGTGCAGAGGGGTGGGAAAGGAGAAAAAAGGGTCTGGAGATATTACATGTGATGGGGAGAGAAGCGAATTCCGAAACCCGGGGCAAAGGAAGCTCAAGGTTAATTAGGGTTTGGTCTGCAGCATCAGTCAGCTGAGACATCTGCTGTTCTTCTAGGAACGCGATACTCTCCGGATGGCCGGCCATTCTAATTGGATTTAGGGGTTGGTATATGAGCGCATTGGGGCTTTGTGGAGAATTATTGGGTCGAATGCTGTATGGTTGTCGTATACTTCGTATAACACAAATCCACATCAAAAGTCAAAGTCAACATCTAAATTGAGATTGAGAATGAGAATGAGAATATATATCTAAATCAAATGGGTATCGCTCATGCCTCGTATGCAGAAAGTTGTCTTCCCACGACTTCGCTGTATGGGGCGAGCCATATGATGTAGAAGGAAGATGAACTGAGAAATGCTATATAACAAGATACTTTTCGCCAAACATGAAAACAAGCGCTGAATTGAATGCACGCCAACAGTCACGAGTCTGGGAGATCTGATTCTGGCTGGTCTGGCTCTCGCAACCCTCCCTCGGACCATTTATCCAGAATCTTGGAAACCTCCTTGAACGCGACGGGTTTGGTTAGGAACAAATCCATGCCGGAGTTGAGAGCCTCGAATTCATCAGTCGAACCACTGAGTCCCGTCAGTGCAATGATGACGGATGAATTGGAGCGATCGCGTTGTTGTTCGAGGGCCCTGATGTATCGTGCGGCATCGAACCCGTCCATGACGGGCATGGAGATATCTAGATCGTTGGTCAGTATATAATGTTACGATTGATAGTTCGGACGTGGTGAAGAGCACAACTTACCCATGAAGATAATATCATAACCTGGTTGCAATTTTTCCACTGCGTTCACTGCTAGCTGTCCATTCTCGGCCGAATGAACAGTGTCCAGTTTTCGCTTTTTGAGGAAAGTAAGCATTAAGTTCAAGTTTATTTTGTTGTCTTCGACTACCAGGATTCGAGGTTTTCGAGGTTCTTCTGGTATAGGTTCGGTATTTTCGGTGAATTCGGGGGTAGTGGAGGACGGAAGGGTATTGTGTAAGGGTGGAAGGGCGTGAGAAATGTCCTCTGGTGCTGAAACCTGCATATCATCGGCTTGGGGAACTGGCTGGTGTGAGGTAACATCTTCGAGCGGCGTTGGTAGGAGGATTTCTTCCTTTTTGGGCAATACTACCAACTCGGTAGCTGGTAAGGGAAAGGCCTGGTCGAGACATTTGTGAATAAACCGGGAGAGCTTGTGAGGACCGTATGGGCGATTGACGGTAATCACAGTGTTTGTCGAAGACCATTCAGGCTGTGCAGAGTTGGGACCGACAAAACTGGGACTCAGTACAAGGATGGCTTGTTTGGATTCTGTATCCCAACTGACATGTTCTTTTAAAGGAAGCTCACTGACCAATATGGCATCAATGGGCGCTTTGGATAACGATGAAACCAGCTTGAGACCGTACCAGTCAGTCAGATAACGCGAAAAGGCTCCCCATTGTGGATGAGTAGAAGCATTTTCGGGCTCTACGCCAAGAATAGCAATGGTTCGACCAGCATGCGCGTCTCGCAAGAGGCGCACTTCAGTTGATATAGATTCGGGTTCCAATTCTGGCCCGGGTGATGGTATGGGACTAGAGATACCATCAAGATTTGGTTCGTGGCGTGCCAATGGGATTGTCACCTTGACAGTTGTGCCTTCGTCTGGGCGACTGTCGACGGTGATGTTTCCGCCCAGAGATTTGAGAAGGCTGCGAACAATCGAGAGACCCAACCCGGTTCCAACAGCCAAACTATTTTCTTGGGCGAACGGAATAAATAGCTTGCCTCGTAGGAACTCTTCTGAAATTCCTCTGCCGGTGTCGGTGACTGTCAAGGTAATAGTGTCTTCTTTGGTGCCTTGCTGCTGAGTCCGAGTATCGGAGGCTTCCTTTACCTCCAAGCGAAGCGAGACACGGCCGGAATCGGTGTATTTGATCGCATTGCTGAAAATATTCATAATGATGCGACGGAGGGCACCAGGGGGCGTAGAATAAACCCAATTGTGGTGAGCAATGTCCATATCGATGTCCACGTGCATTTGAGGTATATCAAAGCTCTGTGATGTGTTGGAGTTCAACGGAGGCGTGCCAGCTGGAGACGATAATGCTGGTCGTTGGCTGTATGAATGGCCCAGACAAACGCCCTCCACCACCTCTTCGGCGAGAAGCGAGAGATCGATAGGCATGTATGCATCCAACTGTGAAGCAGAACGTTGCATACTCTTGAGATTCACGCTGGAGGGTCTGTTTCTATTCAATTGGTGTAGATCCTTTTCCAAAGACACGAGCTTGGTGTAATCCAAGACCTGGTTCATCGTATCAAGCAGCGTTCGACCACATGCGTTGATGGTTCCCAAAAGAGAGCTTTGAAAGTCATCGCACTCCGTGCCTTGTAGCAATTCCGCTGCCGCGAGAATTCCATGAAGTGGACTGCGTAATTCATGGGATACACTTCCAAGGAAGTCTGCCTTCTGTCGGTCAGACATTTGAGACTCAATTCGGTTGCATTCGGCCATAATAGAAGATCCAAATCCGAGCAAGGAGCTCAACTCCACATGTTGATCGAAGACAACATTCTCAACATTGTTCCAGCAGAAGCAACCACCGAACCACTGAGAGGTGTTAGAATTCCACAGCGGAACAAAAATAACTTGAGAGGCGCCCGGGAAGTATTGATTGAGCATTTTGTTCTCAACCGTTTTCCACTTCTTAGCACGTTTTGCCTTTGTGGTTCTACTTCGTTCACGGGCACGGCTTTGACGTGAGGTATTGGCCGATTCGTCACTGTCAGAGCTGGAAAACAACCCATCCCGGTGAATTGACCAAAGCTTTCCCTGTCCATAACGACAGAGCAAGCCGTGAAGGAAGCCATCATCAATCCCAGAAACCGGGTACTGCGCAAGAGACTCCGTCTCCGGGCCGATAGGGGCTTCACCAGCAGAGATAGCCAGGACAGTCGCAGATTTGGAGTTCTCAAAGGAGCCTGAGACTTCACTTCTTGTGTCGAAACCGGCCATCATGTCGTTTCCACCTTGGACGAAAACCACACCACTCTCGCCTTCCAGCTCCAGACTTGCTCGGATGATGTTTGCTGCTCGCTGGAACGTCCCGGCGGTTCCTTGATACTCATCATCTTCGTCCGGTATGTTCATACTGCCGGATCGCAAAACAGGAAAATGCGAAGCAACACTAGAGCCTCTAGATTGATCGGTATTGACATCTGACAATGAAGTGATGGAACGAGTATCGCTGCCTCGAGAATGAGATCTTCCACGGGGAAGTTGATTATTAGAATTGGAGAGATGGCTTGATGGTGTTTGGGAGGTTGGACGGGATGTTGGATGCGGGCTGGGACTATGCATCGTTGGATCGTCGAAGACTTCTGTGAGCTCCGATCTACCCTCAACAAAACAACTCAACCCTCGAGATAGTCGAGCTGCACGTCGACCTTCGGAGGCTTGTCGGCTCACTTTCAGGAAGTCCATGATGAGCATTCCCATAGTTCCCATGGTCTCCTTCTCGGAATGGGTGAATTCGACATGAGGCTTTGTGTCGAGGACAAATAAGCAACCGACATTGATATTGCTGTCTGTGGTGAGGGGTGTGCCTGCGTAGAAGCGGAAATTCGGCTCCTTTTGAACAAAGGGAAGGTTTTTATAGCGTTCATCTTCCTTCATATCATTGGAAACAACAAAGTCATATTCGTCTTGTTCTCTGTTGGACTGAGGAAGGGCTATTGTATCCTATTAGTGGCAAAACAAAACCATAGTTAGTTCCATTGAATGGAGGCAAAAGCAGAAGAGCTACCTACTTGACATGGCGTCCACGAGCTGACATCGAGCGTGGTACTGCCAGAATAGACTCCACCGCTGAGAAAATCATATTTCCCGTTGTCTTTGGTATTCTGGGCAGCCTGTGCGATAATAAATTGAGACTTGCGATCTGAAACACTGTTGACGGAGCGATCTTAGCAAGTCTGCGGGAGCTCCTAGGGAGACTACTGTCGACTTACCTGATAAACACACGATCAACGTTCAACCGCAATGCAGCTAGTTGCGCAAATAAATGGAGGGTCTCATTCGAGTCGCCCAGGACCAAACTATTTGGCATAGGGGCTAACGGCGGTGTCCATGATGTTAGTGAGCCAGATCGGGAGCTATTTAAAGATTGTGAGATAGACGTTGGGCGACTGGAAGTAGCAGAACCCCGCCGCGCTGAAGGCTCTAACAGAACCGGTTCCTCGCTGTTCAAGGACTGATTCTCGTCTATTGGGGCTAGTCGCTCTGGTCGAAAATAACGATATACCTCGCGGGCCCGACGACCCGCGTTGTGATCATCGTCCTTGGGCAAGGGTTCCATGATGCTCTAGGTTCCGAGGAAATGAGATCAGGACATGAATATAGGTTGGGAAGCCCTGATATATTAAAAGGAGTCCGCGGATGTAGAGTGGGGGTGGAGGGGTGTGTAATTAGGGAAAATCTGTGAGTAGGAAAGCTTTGGTATAAGAGGTCTAAGAAGATACAGCAAAATTCCACATCAGGCAGTAGGGGACAATGCCCTAACCTCAGTCATATCATCAACCTTGGCTTCGCAAATTGAACAGCCACACTGTGACAAAGTCTCGGGAATGGCAGTGGCAACAGGAAGGTAATCCGCAAATAAAGCTCGATCATAGGGGGTTGCGGGTGAGGATATGATGAAACCAGGGCACGTAAGATCGGCACATCAGATCGAACCAGTCTGTACACCCTATAGGTGACAACCGGGTCTCGGGAATGCCACAGGGCAGAGAACAGTTAGTTCAGTGGGGGATTGAAGCTGAGAATTTCACCTCGTTGGCCGGTGGAAATGAGAATGCGCAGGCCAATTCGGCCTGACGGTCCGTCAACCCGCCAATCAGAGGCCGGCGTTGGTCGATCTATAAAGAAAGGCCGGGAGTTACTCAGTTAACATGACCCTGAGCCAACCATCGAGGCTTTTTTTCTCCCCGGTCTATGTGATTGGCTTGTATATTCTCCATCGGAAATCTTTAGAAGTTTTCAGATCGGAGTGGGTGGAGTTCCGCCAGTCAACGTGAAATCTGAATTCTGCACAGGGCACAGTACTGTCCAGTATACTGTACACTGTAACCAGGAATCAAAGGACGTGATAGGATCCCTGCCATTTCTGCCTGATGTGTCTATGCCGTCACGCTACATAGAGTCCCATAGTGTCGGGATGAAGGCGACTCGGGCAGGTGATGTGGCTCGCTGATTCTAGAATGATCGGGCAGACTCTGGCCAATATATGCACCGAGGCCAGAATACCTGTAGTATCGACCGGGCCGAGAATAATTGAGCATGCTTTCTATAAGCATCTAGGCTACTTGCTTGCATCGTCCAGCGCTAGTTGCAGCATGACGAAGGCTTATCTTGCTAGCACTGCTACAGTATAAGCCATGGCGTAAAAGGCAAAATATACACTTCGCTCTGGGACCGCTAGACGTATGATAGATGCACCACCGTTGTGTGGCTGATATGCCACTTACATTTCAGCTTGTGAACCCTTGGAAGATTGCATCAGGGTCACCCGGACGCCAGATCCAATGAGGAAGGTATATCTATTTTGGTCATTTCCCATAATTATCATGACATGCCATGTTAGAAGACGCTTGAAAAAGCACAAATGCAGCTGTACACAGCCCACGATATCAAATCAGCGAGCCCATGTTGGAATAAAGAGGATCCATGTTTGCGTCAGGTACACCGGGAACCGGTGGCGGGGGTCCGTAGGGATCAACAAAGGCCGTTCGAATCGCACCCACGCCTTCCTTCAGATAAAGTACAAGGCGATAAGCTGAGTTGCCATTGAGGTAGTATCGGTGCAGCTGCTTGCTGCGCAGGAAGCCCAGTCGTTCGTATAGCTTCATGGCGGCGGTGTTGGTAATTTCGGTTTCGAGAACGATCTACTCACGATAGCTTGATTAGCTCTCTCAGTCCTCAATAATCAGGTAGGCATCCACCCCCTTCCCGGGGGTGTATGATCCTCATGTATTTAACATACCTCATCTGCATCCCGCTCGATCATCGCATCGATCGCCATGCGTACAAGCTTGGTAGCAATTCCCCGACCCCGGTACTCCTCGCGCACGGCCAGCATGGCGATATAACCTCTCATCGGACCGTCACGGTGTGGTTCTAGCTTGGATACCACAACTCCGACCATCTCGTTCTTCTCGTCCATCGCGAGGAAGCACAGGTCGCCCCATTGGTAGAGGAAGTAGCGGTAGACGTAAATGCTGTACGGTTCGGACAGATCCTTGGAGATCAACTGGCGCATGGCGGGGACAAATTCATTTTCGCGAGAATTGTCGTACCGCACGTAGCGGAGCTCAGAGGGGTTCATCACGGAGGTGGTGAGAAATGGAGGTGGCCGGAGGTTGAAATGCAAAGTTACGTATCTGCCATGTGATGCCGATCCGTCCGTTAACTTTACATTTTCATGTGCTTCGCTTTTTCTTTCCTTCACTTCTGAGCATTTTTCTGTTCTTCTTCAGCTTTCAGGCAATTGCACTGGGCCTTTTTCCCTCCCCCCTTCCCTCTCCTTCCTCGCGGTTGGTCGCTATGCTCCGCCGCCGCACGGGCAAGGACAAGGTCCCGCAGCCCAACTCCCTTAGCTCTGGCTCCAAGTCTGAGGAAGCTCGGCTTCGTGCGGAATTTGGTGATGCAAAAGTCAAGCAGCTGGTCCTTAAGCCCCGGAGCAAACGTCGCAATGGGTTCATCTTCGTACTGGGCGGACTGTTCGGTATCTTTATCGCCTTGTTCTTTGCGAACCACTCGGAGGTTATTAGTCTGGACTCTCTCATGGACTTGAACCTGGAATCGATAATGGACGCCATTCCTCAGGGGATTGTAAGCGATGTGAAGCAGTTCTCCGTACGTGGACCCGAGAGAGTAGCTCTCTTATCTCTTCACCCTACCTTCGTATGACTGACGACCTTGAGGGTATAGCAGCATGAACGTGATACTGTCAGTTATGACTCCTTCTCGGTTGGTCTACATCTTCAATCTCAGGGCGTCCAAGCCAAGCATCCCGTTGTGATGATCCCCGGCGTTATCTCGACTGGTCTAGAGAGCTGGGGCACGGGTGAGAACTCGCGCCAATACTTCCGTCGACGGTTATGGGGTAGCTGGAGCATGATGAGAGCCCTGGTTATGGATAAAGCCGAGTGGAAGAACCACGTCATGCTCGACCGGGACACTGGCCTCGACCCGCCTGGCATCAAGCTGCGTGCGGCACAGGGATTCGATGCGACGGATTTCTTTATCACTGGATATTGGATTTGGAACAAGATTTTGGAAAACCTGGCAACTATTGGTTATGATCCCACCAATGCTTTTACAGCTGCCTACGACTGGCGGTTGTCGTACCTGAACCTCGAAGTGCGCGATAAGTATTTTACTCGGCTCAAGTCTTATATTGAGACCGCAGTGCAGGTACAAGGTGAGAAGATCACACTGGCATCTCACAGCATGGGATCGCAGGTAGTGTTATACTTCTTCAAATGGGTGGAGAGCGAAGAACACGGCAAGGGCGGCAAGGATTGGGTCAACAAGCATATCGACTCATGGGTCAATATCAGCGGTTGCATGCTGGGTGCAGTCAAGGGATTGACAGCCGTGCTATCCGGTGAGATGCGGGATACCGCGCAACTCAACGCTTTCGCCGTGTACGGACTAGAAAAGTTCCTGTCCAAGGAGGAGCGAGCAGAGATCTTCCGAGCCATGCCGGGAATCTCCAGCATGCTCCCCAAGGGCGGCGAGGCCGTATGGGGAAATGCCACTTGGGCACCAGACGACCAGCCCGGTCAGCCTCTGTCCTTTGGCAACCTGCTTAACTTCCACGAAACCAACTCATCCTGGACAAGACGCAATCTCACTACTCCAGAGAGTCTGCAGTACCTCCTCGACCAGAGCGAAGATTGGTATCGTAATCAAGTATTGGGCAGCTACTCGCACGGTGTAGCTCACACTAAGCGCGAAGTTGAAGCCAACGAGAAAGATCCTCGCACATGGCTCAATCCTCTTGAGTCACGTCTACCCTATGCCCCAGACATGAAGATTTATTGTTTCTACGGCGTGGGGAAACCTACAGAGCGCAGTTACTTCTACCAAGAAGAGACTGACCCTCTGGTCAACCTGAATGTCAGCATGGACACTACCATCACCAGCAGCGAGGATGGTGTCGACCGCGGTGTGCTTATGGGCGAGGGTGACGGAACCGTCAACCTGCTAAGCACGGGTTATATGTGCGCCAAGGGCTGGCGCATGAAGCGTTACAACCCAGCCGGTACAAAGATCAAAGTCTTTGAGATGCCGCATGAACCAGATCGTTTCTCACCCCGGGGAGGACCTAACACCGGTATGTTCCTCTTATTTTCTCACGTCAGTAACAGAATAGGAAACTAACCTGGCCAAGGCGACCACGTCGATATCCTAGGCCGCGCATCCCTAAACGATCTCCTCCTCCGCGTCGCTGGCGGAAAGGGCGACCAAATCGAAGAGACCTTTGTCTCGAACATTCGCGAATACGCAGATCGTGTACAGATCTTTGACGACTAATTCCTTCCTCCTCCCAACGATTACGCAACCCCTTATGCCTGGCCAATGTTAACCTTTTGTTTTTATTCTTCTGTTCTCATCCTCTTCGGACTCACGACTTGATCCACCTCTGTTATTAGACACTCCCGAGGATATCTTACAATAGACGGGTTTTGTTAATAGCACTTTTTGTATATTCACCATACTCTACGATCATCCCCACGATAAAAGCCAGTTTGTGAGCAATTGACTGGATCTGAGAGATACATATATACAAATGTACGTATGTTTACATGCTAATTCAGTGTAATGAGCCTATTTCTCTTCCTGGCCCTATCCAGATTGCGATCTGGAACTACTAGTTCGGGGTGGTAACTTATTGATAATCGCATAGGTCCAGACAAGTATCCAAGCCGCTAGGAACTAATCCAGACCTAGCAACCGCCTAACTCCCAGCAGTACTGTCCTCTGACATGTCAAGAGTAGTGTCAAAATCATGCACAAGAAGATCAAAAGGGGAAGGGGTGGACACGGAACGGGCAACGGATCCAAGGACGTCCCTTCTCCCGGGGTCCGGTATGCAGTCTAACACATGTACTCCGTACTAAGGTCGACTTGGCCCTGTTAGCCTGCAAGGGAGATGCAAGGATCGGTATCACATCACTGTACTTGGTGTGAGTTGGGCTTATCGGAGCATGCTTGCTTTTCCTCCCGTGTTGATCGACGCTCGTCACAAGTGTCAGGCGGGGGTGGTTGATCATCGACTTAGTTTGCTTATCA